GCTGCATGAAACACTTCCGAGGGTACTCAGCTCACATGGACCTCCCCCGAGCAGCTTGACAGTCCTGCCCAGCGATGGAGAGATGTGGGGAAGCAGAATACCACATCTCCTTCCCTTCGTCGTTCCAGACCAGATACCCACGCCACTACGTCATTGTCAAACAGTCCCTGTCGATGTCTCACTCGAGACTACAAGCTACATGATATGTGTGTCAACGACTCTGGGCTATCACCATGCGCGTTGGCTCCTCGGAGCTCGGCAACGACGCAAGTGCTTTCAGTGCGCATCTCCTTACGCTTTCTCCTTTATTTTCGCTTGCAAAGGGCTGGCGATATCGATGGGCAATCGCGCCATCAGCGCTCTAAGGGAGACAGCAGAACAAGGATGATAGGAACTGACGGTCAGTCTCGCTGCCTTCAGCCGTTGACCTGATCCATAGACTTACCCGAACCGAGCTTTGTCCCCCTTGTCACCTGCGCTCATGAGCTTGGGAACATAACGCAAGGCCTCTACGTTTGCGCGGGACGACAGAAGCTTCGCAATGAATGGCTCATAGCCAATCGGCGGCGGCCGTTTCGTGTTCGCTGTGGGATCGAAGATGTCCGGAGCGCACTCAGCACCCAGCGAAATCGGAGCGACTATTCGTGCTACTCACCAAACGCCCAGAGGCCCTCCCAGTCTCGCATTCTGATGTAAGCATCTAGCTTGATAGCCCACCATCTTTTCTCGGGCACCTTCCAATCCGATCGCAGCTTTTCTGCCCTTTTGGCCATTTGACCGCCATGACGACCTTTGATGAGGCACTCGCGAATGGTATCGTTCAACGATAGACCAGTCCATTGAGAACGGCCGCCGTCATCCTTCTCCAGCACTTGCTGGAACGAAAGCAATCTGATTGACTCATCGACGAGTTTGGACTCCAGAGACCGCTCCTTGTCCTCGTTGAACAATTTAGAAGCATCTTTGCGCGCGAAGACAGCTTGACTGAGCGACGACTCGCTTTGTTCCATCCCCTGTGTAATCTGGCCACCTTCCCACGAAAGCAGGGCAGCTTCGGCTCGCCGATCGTCAGTGAAATAGAGGTCCTTGAGTAGGTCTCGATCATAGCTATGCGCGTAGACTTCCAACAAACGCACAGCTAAATCGTTGAGACTGGTTGTCCCAGACGTGGAGGTGAGAGCAGTGGTGGATGGCTCGATGAGCCGAAAGAAGTCCCCTCTTGGCAGTTGAGTCTTGAGCCGGAGCAGGACATGGTAGACTAGGTCGGTGTCACCGCTCTCAACGCTCTTCTGTAGCGCCAATTTGTCCTCACCCATCTTAAGCAACAGAGGGACCTGGTCGACCGCTCGCGGCTCATAGTCCAAGAGCTTTGTTGCTAGCCTCACTCTGCCAGCTTGAAACGCGGAAGTGGCGATGGAACTATAGCTGACAGTGACCGCCGCGTCGTTTGCTTTCCCTAGGTCTTCGAACTTGCGAACGATCGTGGCACATAGCTCCTCATCTTCGATGCTCGCGGCATCCGTGCCGCGACGAGCATTATAGGTACCCCTTGAAACACCCGCTTGAGCGATCTTCGCCCGGGCCCAGTGCTTGAGAATTGGGTCTAGTCGCTGGGAGAGGTGCGAGGCAACACGAAGAGAGAGAAGGTGGTGGTTGCGGTTCGTGAGGCGCGACAGCAGCGCCGTGACACCCATGCTCTCGAACTGCTCGTAGGACAACGGGATGCCAATTTCGTATGAGCGAAGATTGTTCAGGACACGCAGGCGGCGTGATACAGCTACGAAATTAGTAGGATCGTAGCTGCTCGGGTCCAGGAAACTCTTGCCGAAATTTGCTGCTCTGAGAAGCCGTTTTTGCCATATCACGTCCCACTCCTGAGATGCGGCATCAAGACATGTATCCACCGCGACAGCAAGTTCGCTGCGAATCGCACGTATTCCGTCATCGGCCTTCGGAGACCGTCTCGAGAAGCTCTCTGAAGCGTCGAAGAGCATAGCCGAAGCTTCGGATGATCCAGGGCGGAAGACTGCAGAAGTAGAGTCTAAGAACAGGACACGAAGCGATTACCGTGCTTCAGCGCTTGCGAGCGTGGTGCTGTGTGCCAAGACTGCACATAGAGGGACTCACCTGCAACTTTCTGGATGAAGTCGTGCCGTTCGGCACCTATTATTCGTACTCCATCGACCTCTGGCACCAAGTGGATTCCTGCCGAGTAGAAGTATCTACGGGTCCAAAGCACCAGCATAGTGAAGTAAGCAAACAGGGCTCACCACTCTTCCTCCCTAAGCGCCAAGTAAGTCTGGAACCTCACTCACCGAAGAGAGTCGCCAAAGGGTCCCACCATGACGACTTCGGAATCAAACGCCAGGGCCACAGTGTTGTTCCCGCACCACTCAATCTGTCTGATACCAGTCTGACCCAACGATGCGAGAGCGGCACCAGCCCCACTCCGGTGAGATTCTTGTACCTCCCGATATGCCTCACATTCGGTGACATCGAATTCACTCAAGCTTCGCTGGAAATCGGAGCTGACGACCCAAAGCTTCTTGTCCGAGGTCAGCAAAGCAAGCAGCTTGCCGTTCGGACTGGCCACGATGGAAGAGAAGGGTCCCCGGGTCAGTCGCATGTCCGTGGGTCCAGAGATGGAGTCGAGAGCGATGAGCGTTCCTCGAGAAGGCGTAGCTTGCGGTGGATGCGGCGTAGATCTTCCAAAGCCACCATTGGCCGAAACGCCCGAAGAAGCGGCCCCGCCGCTGTTGGTAAGAGGAGCCAAACCACTGCTTGCGGCTACGGCCGGGGAGAGGAGTACCTCGAGCACGCCAGAAGCGGATACAGTCGGCGGCAGAAATGTCCATGCAGTCGGGAGCGGTGGAGGTCCCGTTGACGAGCCTTGAGCTACAGGTAGAGCTTGTGGCAGAACTTGAGGAGCTGAGAGAGACACATACTGGTCCCATATGCCCTCGTCATCGTCTTCCTTACGCTGGGGAAAGCGAAAGTCCACGAAACTTCCTCCGCCGGTGAGCGCGACGATGCCTTGTTCCCACACCTTCCCCTCTACCACGCCAGTTTCGGTCGCTTCGGTGCCAAGGATATACTGTGTATAGTAGCAGGTAGAGGTGACTGGTGTGGGAACTCCACTCGAGTCCTGTACGGAGGACGCAGCTGACGTGGTGGTCGCTGGACAAGGCGATAGAAGGGTGTAAAGGCGCACCACGCCCTCGTCCAGAACCACAGCAAGCTCTTCTCTCGACGTAAAGCCAATGCCAGCAATCCGATTCGAATTGTCCCACTGCAACAGAGGTTGCATTGGTGTCAGAGCTGCAATTCCAGTCACTCTTGGTTTCACAACATTCATGCACTCACCGGTATACTCTCCACTAATTGTCCCGCGGCTGTATACACGAGTATTCTCGGCTTGAGAGCTGACGCCTTGCCCAGCATGACCACTTTCCTGGGATCCCTAGTGACGGCTATGAAGCCTCCATTGGCGGCACTCACCACCAAGTAGCCACTGAGGTCCTGAGATGAGTGGGACCACGCGAGAGAGTAGAGGTCACGCCGGCGATAGAAGGCCGATTGGAGCGGCGAAGATTCGGAGAAAGGATGGGTCGACATCGCGGATTCAGAACCGACGTCGCCGACGGCGAAGGTGGTGGCGACGTGAGGCAAAGGGAAGACGTGTGACGCAAGAGAACAAGGAAGACGGTAGGGACGAAGATGATGGTCCGGAAGGAAGCAGTCGAAGGCGCCGGCTCCCCTCGTCGCTCACGGGCCACGCCGTGTGAGTCGGGGATCCAAAGCGCGAGGAAGGGGGAAGGTAATTTTACCAGCGCGTGTCACAAGGATCAAGAACAGCGTGCGGCTTCCGGAATCGGAGCGACACAAGGGATTCATTGAAGGATGCAGTGCTCCGCTCTCAGGCATGACAACAACGTCCAATAACTTACTGTCGCATCTTATAGCTGATAGCTGGGCGGCCTACCTGACATAGGCCTCTAGATGCCGTGCTGCAAATTCGTAGGTGACAAAGGTAGCGGCATTCGAAATGGGTGCCCTGGCAAGGGTGGGGGCTAGACCTCTGAAGAAGCCTTTCCATCCACTCTGCTTGAAGATTTGCCGGGCGCAGTCTATTGTACCTTGATACTGTCGCTTGCCCTTGTCCAGAGCATCCGTCTGCAGCCTCGACTTGATCACGTCCATAGGGTAGACCATCACCCACAATGCCGGACCTGAGATGGCGCCTCCCAGCATGGCCCACACGGCCGGAAGTTCGGCACGAGTCAGGTTGTCCTTCTTGAGCTTGTACCCCACCACTGCCTCATAGACTAGGAAATACATGCCCATGCCGTGACCTTCTCTGAACAGGGTTGGGACCATACCTTTGAAGAGACCAGACGCGCCGGAAGAAGCGACGATCCTGGGTAGAGGGGCAGCGGCACGAGGGAGGCGCATGAGCAGTTGTGGTCAGCTTCATATACGATGGTGCAGAATGGATCTCCACGTTTCAGACTCACTTTCTAGCGCAGTCCAGTGGGCCACTGTAGATCTTAGTCGCCTGGGTCTGCAAGCGAATACGGATGTGCTCTACAGGCCCTGCAACAAAGGAATTGGCAACTCCAGCGGACACCCCGGCGGTGTATAGCTGAGGACTAGTAAGGGCAAAGGCCTTTGGTCCAACTCCCAACAGCGACTCTGCGCCCTCGGGTACGCCTGCAGCCCTGGCGTTCCTAGAGGCAAACTCTCGCTTGACTCTTTCCACGACGCCGAATTGGATAGAGACGCAGAGACCTACACCTAGCAGGGGTGTCAGGGTACCCTAACAGCAGGGAAGGATGAAGACGTTGTGCTCATGGCCATCAGCTCCCACTTGCCCAATGAAGGCATCAACGTCTGCTTGACATTTGATTACACACCTTGTAGAACCCGAGAGGACCGTCCTTCTTGATGATCTGCATAGCACAGTCGCCCATACCTAGAGAGTCGGAATTGCCTGATGTATCAGCGTCGGTCGTAGGCGCAAAGAGTCACTGCCTTTTCATCATGACACTCACCAGAATAAGTACCGTGAGTTGCGGTCTGCAAACGGACCTTTAGCATATCCAGGGGCCTAGGGCGAGGGCGAAGCGGGCCGGATGAGAGGACCTACGAAGCATGTCTCCAAATCATCGGCTCTGACATACTCACTGCCCGACCAAGACTTGAGCAATGCCTCCGGCCGTCCCTGCAAGATGTGAGGTTCCAGCAAGTGGTGAATCCGCGTCAGACGGACTTTGCACTGCGTGATGGGCTGACTCGGGTACGCTGGTGCCTCGACTCACCTGACAGGACATCTTTTGCGGTCCTCGAGATGGTCACTGCGCTTTGCGCATCCTTGGAAGCCATTGCAGATCCCAATCAGTAGGACAAGGAGGTTCAGAGTGGAAGGCACTGATAGGAGAGGACAGGCGTGTGTAGTCAATCATCTCGGAAGAAAGGAGCTGCTGCTTCCTGCAATGCGGAACGAGGGTCCGTCGGAGCCTGTGCGCGCGTCATGTGGCGGGGAGGCACACGCATCGCACCCTCTCTTGAAGGGCGGTGGGCGCAGCCGGCGGAAGCCATCACTCGTAAGCAAATTCGAAGAGCATGAGGCCAGCGTGTGTAAACATCGTTGGGAACCCTCATGTTGCACATCACCGCAAAAGTGACTTCACGTCTCCGAAGCCTTGGAAAGTCGAGTGACCAATTCGCGGGGCGGTTCGGAGGACCGAGACGAATGTGACGACGAGGCAGTGAAAAGCAGGTACAAAGTCAAATGGTCGTGGCAGCAACTGCATCACAGGTGCCTCGAGGTCAGGGCAGCCTCGGAGATGCCAGGCTCAGCTGACATTCAGGCGCATGGCAGACTTCGAAGTGGTCGTGCCAGCCAGTCGTCTCCTCAGCTCAGCCCAATTTACGAGTCACGTTGCTTCAACACCACCACTACCACGACCCACTCCACTATCACTCACACTTGCCACACCCCCGACTGCCATCGTCCTCACGTCTCTCGAATACCTCCAGCTCCGCAGTCTGCTCTCTTACCATCACCAGACCCCTTTCCACGTGAGTTGCTCGCATAATGCCCTTCAGCTCCCTAGGCCTCAGGCTCTGCACTGGGAGACGACCACTTGCTTCAATGAACCGCCTCCTCAGTCTCCCTCGACGACCATCTTGTCTCACACCTGTCTTCTTTCGAACCTCTTCGGCTGGCATCCACTCCGAAGCTGGGAAGTCCGACAATGTGAGCAGTCAAGCTTGAGAGTCAGAGGGCACACTCGGTCAGACGGCCGTTGCCATACCAATGGATGTCGATATCGTGGGGTTTTCTGACTTTGCTGACCCTCACATTCATGTCTTCTTTCCAGTCCAACATGACGGAAGCTATCGCACTGTCCAAAAATGTACACCATCTGAAGGTAGCAGCCAAATCCGATGGCGCCATTGACCTCAAGCTGGTGCAGTCTCACCTCAAATTGATCGAGAGGAAGTTCCAGGTGAGACAGGCTGGCAGTCTCGGATGAGTCAGCCGCTGACGCCGGCTCTACGCTGCTTCCTTGCAACTCTTGGTCCCGCACACCACAGCTGAACATCACAAACTATGAGCAGAACATGGCACAGAAGCATCCTCATGCTCAGGCAGTCCGTGAAGATGCTGACAAATCTGCCGAAAACGAAGGCGACGTCCCTCTGACCGATCAGCAAGATGAACTCTGGACTGGCACCATCTCTTATGGCGGACAGCCCATCAACATCGATTTCGATACCGGCTCAACTGACGTAAGTCGCTTGGCCGTTCGCGGGCATAGGTGGCCACACATTGACCCTCTCTTTGCTATTCGCTAGACGCTTGTCAATGTCGGTGCTTATATTCCAGGCGACGGTGCCAAAAAGACCTCACAGACATTCAAGGCCAGATATGGAGACGGCACTACTGCCGAAGGAACCGTCTATACCGACACTCTCGAGATCGGCGGATTGGCACCTGTTCCCAATGTTGCTATTGGTCTTGCGACGACGACCTTTCTCAAGACAGAAAGCGGCTCACAGGGCATCTCAGGCTTGGCTTATCCCAGTCTCTCCCACTTCGGCAAGGATCACCCTCCTTTCTTCGATTGCCTGGTCACCGCCAAAGCCGTAGCTCGACCTTTGTTCTCTTTTGCACTGAGTAGCGAACCAGGTCAGTCCGAGCTTGTCCTCGGCAGCATCTCTTCCAAAGCTGCTGGACCCGCTACCTACGTCAACGTTGATCGCTCCGTCGGCTTCTGGCAATGTGCTCCTGGGTCTTGCAGCATCAATGGCATACAAATCAGCGCCATTATTGATTCAGGTAAGCGAATGCATACGCCCACGAGGTGAATTTTTGGGAAATTCCGCTCACTGACCACTCTCGCCTTTGTGCGCGCATCGATTCAGGTACAACTTTGATCGTGGGAAAGCCCACGCAAGTAGCACAGCTTCTGGAAAGCCTGCCCGGAGTCAAGACGGAGACCCAGAACGGTGTCACCTATGGCTATCTCACTACCTCAGTGGTTCCTCAGATCACCTTCCAGCTTGGTGAGAAGCAAGTCGTCTTGACGGAGGACGCGACTACGTACGGAACTGATGACAGCGGACGGAAGGTGCTGAGCATCGTAGGTAGAGACATAGGAGTCGAAGGTTGGGTGAGTATCATCCTGATCAGCGCAAGTGGGAGCCTGGGTGGGGTCAACCGAAGCTGATCCCAAATCTCCTGACCGTGTTGTGCACATCCACTCTGCAAGATCGTCGGCGATCCGCTCTTCAGGTCTTCTGTCATCATCTTTGACCGAGGAAATGACACCATCGGTTTCGCCGACCGCCTCGCGTAAGCTTTGGAGGTCGTGTCAGGCGAAACAATTGCAAATCAGACGGTTGCGCGGGGGAGTCCGCAGTTGATCACCACGAGAGCCTTGCCTTTGTGCCTTGTTATTGTGATCAATGACAAGAGAAAGAACTACGACCATCGGAATCAAATCCAATTCCTTTGCCCTGCCTTCCGATGTTGATTACACAAGATCTGTGGATGTGTTGACACGGGCGGCTAGCCCAACGTACATGCCAGTGCCTGGGGGACAATTGATGTACTCATAGTACTGTTGATCCTCCTTGAGCACACAGATCTCGTGCCAAAGTCGAAGGTCTCCTTTACCCTGGGTCTCTGTAGCGTATTTGAAGAAGCCATTGAAGATATCAAGATGTGTCTTGTGCTCCCGTGCCCACGCTTCGAGGGAGGAGAGAGAATCAAAGTATGCCAGTCCGAAAGACTTGGAAAGGGAAGATTCTAACGAAGAAGCGTCGAGGTGATCCATAAAACGACAATCATAACAGCCGTAGGTCCGTCGCTCTTTTTGTGCTGCACTGGTCTCACGTTGGGAGAGAGGAACCTTTTGATGGGCAAGGAAAGACATTCCCCTTTCGAGAACGGGATGCAAAGTATGCAAGTACAGATCGCGATCAGACCCTGTCATCTGCGACCAATCTTGGCCGGAGTGAATGACGCAGAGGTTGTGCTGGCCGGGGACTATGACCCTTTTGGAAGATATCTGTTGAGGACGTGGAGAGCCACTTGCTTTTTGGGGTCCTTCAGCGCGGACGGCCAGCCCAGCGACAGGGCACGCTGAGCGGACAGCAGACATGGGGTCGTGCTGTCCGACCGCAAAGCGGTCTCGGGCGCTGCCCCAATATCCGTGCTCTTCAATCGCCCCGCTCATGTGGGAACTGAGCACCGCGGCCCCTTCGAGGCTGGCAGCGTTCGAGAAGACGGTCTCGAAGCGATCCATGCTCGGGAATATAGCCTCGACGAACCACCCAATGTCTTCTTTTTCCCTCTCCTCGCCGGCGAACCAGGCGGCAAATCCACTTGACAATCTCCAATCCTCAAAGTCTCGCCTGCTCGGCCACCATGCTTTCCATGCTCTTGTTTGGCGAAGCGTTTGAGGATCCGTAGAAGTACAGAGGGTCCGATGGCCGTGTAAAGGACTGCCGAGTTCGAGCAGTCGGTCAAGTGGGACGAGTGCATCGTAGTCAAGGGTAGTGTTGTCCTCAGATGATACGGCGCCCAGCATCACCATTGCTACGTCTTGCATGTCCTCGTCGAATCGCGCAGAGAAGACTGGGAAGGGTGGTACATAATTGGCTGGTGTGGATTTTGGCAGCGTTCTGTCACGGCGCAGATGCGGACAGATGGCAGATTCCAGAGTCATGATGGTACCGTACGGAACACAAGCGATACGTGGGATGAGTGAGGAGTACTGGGGGGAGCAGCCCCTCGTATTATCTCGGCAATTTCAAGGTCTGGCGTCCTCGTATCGTCTTGGCATTCTCAACGACCGCCGCCGCCGCCGCCAGTGCGGCTCTTATCTTCCTACCCCTGCGCTTGATCTGAGGGCTGTGGTACGGTGGAGCGATAAGACTACAGCACGTGGCCGGGTGAATCAGCCGTCGGCCTCTGCTGGTTCAAAGAAGTGCAATGATCAACAGAAGAGCAACTCTGCAGCGCCCGAGCCACCGGTCCTGTTTCACAGAGCGGCAGGCTGCACGTTATTTACCCGAACCCCGCGCGCTTGGCGTTTGGATGTTTATCCGAGATATCGGCGAGCGAGGACCAGAGATAAGAATTGTTCGCTTATAAAAGACAGTGATCGTCTCGAGAGAGGCGGGGACGGGCAACTTCAACCGCATTTACGAGCATTGACACAACTGCGCCTGCCCTTCCCTGCTCTCATGCCCGTCCCCACTCACAAACGTCTTGCGTGCGCTCAAGCAGAGTCAGCCTGGCTCGACTTACGCGCCGGCATCGAGAAGACTAAGCGCCTCATCAAGGATGCAAAAGCTCAGGGCGCGGACATCCTAGTCTTGCCGGAGCTTTGGCTGCCTGGCTACCCTGTGAGTAGTCATCGCTTAGCGTGGCTATGCGTCGAACTTAATGATCACCCCACTGATGGCTTTCGAGATTCCGCCTCCCCACTCGACTGTACAGTGGTATCTGTGGGTGCTCCCGTACGCAGCGACCGTGCCTTACACCCTTAAGTATCAAGCAGCGGGGATGAAGGTCGATGGTCCGGAGATGAAGGAACTGCAGCAGGCTGTAAAGGAAGCCGGCATTGTACTGTCAGTTGGATTTGCAGAGAAGCGAGGGGAGAGTCTCTGGATGGCCAATGCAATCATTGACGCGAATGTAAGTCTTTACAGAGGCAAACGGCGCAATTTTCGACTGAACTCGACTCTCCTTGATCTTGACAGGGCTCACTGGCCGCCATCAAACGCAAGTGGAAGCCTACCGGTGTCGAGCGAGTCATCTTTGGAGATGCGTCGGGAGACGTATTCAACACAGTAGCTCCGACAGCCGTAGGTCAGGTCGGTGCCCTGATGTGCTGGGAACATCTCATCAATCCCCTCAAGATGCACTGCTATCAACAGCACGAGACCGTCCACGCAGGCTCATGGCCACCCATTTTCCCTCATGGCGGTATGGAACACTATGGTATGAGCTACCAAGGCATCAGGTCCATTTCGGCTACTTATGCCATGGAAGGGGGCGCTTTCGTAGCCATGTCTACTGGCATGGTCTCTGAGGCAGGTGCCCGTCAAATTGGCCTTGACTATGCCGTCAGTGGCGAGCCTTTGCCCGCCGGCGCATTCCATACAATCCCAGGAGGAGGCTAGTGAGTGAAGTTCACACCGACCACGTCGAGGTGCACGGTCGAGATGCAACACTTCAGTTCAACTTACAAACACTCGTATGATCCCTCCACGCAGCGCCACCATCTTTGGACCCGACGGGCGACAGCTGACTGCCGACTTACCGCCATCGCAGGAAGGCTTCGTCTGGGCGGATCTGGACCCAACTTTGATCAAGCTTGCTAAGCAGCTTGTCTGCCCTGCCGGCCACTATGCCCGTCCCGATCTAGCACAATTGATTATCAATAGTGAGGCGAAAGAGGTGGTGACCGGCGCGCGGAGTGTACTTGGCACAGACGGCGGGCCCACTGCTGGATTGAAAGGACAAGGGCAGCTGGTTGATGACTCAGAGGAAAATGATTGAGGCTTACGTCGCCCCACGCCTGATGTTTTTGGGATCTGTCATGTTATACATTATTCGTTGCGCTCGTGCCCGGCAGCAAATCGGAAGATCGTCCGTCTTCTGGTGGCACGTCCTCGTATCCGATAGATATCGGACAGCGTCCGTTCCTAGCTGCGCGGACATAGCCCTTGCTGACACGATGGGCAGGCAAGTGGGCAGGCGAGTGGGCAGACGAGTGAGCAGCAGAACAACAATGTCAACACCCTGACCTCTTATAGCTGAGGTAGTGGTGGAGCAGGTGGGCCACAAGATCAACGTGCAGCGATGACGTACTGTATTGTACCCTTTCGGTTCGCAATCGTCTTTGCGCAGTGCACGCGGCTGCAAGCATTGCACAGCTATCACGGGTAGTGCAGTGGGATCGCAGATCAGAGCTCACGTCTGACAGCGATCGTTCTGGGCTGACTACAATGCTGAGTGGAACAGCAGTGATACTGTGACGTCGCGAGCAATTGGGTGGGCTCCTGATTCATCTTCACTGGCAACAGACCATCAGTGCCGCATGGTCATCGGTATGACTTCCCCAGACGGAACAGCACAGGACCATCGTAGACAGCCTACACTCGGTTCGCTCGTGAAGCTTGCGACATCTTCAGCTGCGCAAACGAGCAGCGCCACGTTGAAGTTGTCGAACAACTCTCTTGCATGGGCGTTAGTTCTTTTCAGTTCGAACGAGGCTATGCGTCGTTAAACAAACGCAGGCAAAAAGCTTTCCGAAGCGTGGACCGCTTGCGTCCGGAGACAGACTGTACATTGATTGTTGACATGCATCAAAAGTGTAGTGTACTGTACAAGATCGGTGCAAGATCGGTCAGTACAGTATTGATCACTGCACCGGACAGAGCCGATAGCTCTGGATAGCCGCGTGTGCTCGACCCCCTCCAGATACCCAAGGACAGTGACGGGAAAGTGGCCTGATGACGCGCTGTCGAGTGTCAGCTGCAATTCAATGCGTAGCTGAATATGCTTCAGCTCACTACAGACTGTCCTAAGAGGTAATCTCTGACTCACAGAAAGGACGAGCGAGTCGACAGTGCCGGACAAGGTGGCACAGAAGTCTTGCACCGTGAGACATAGACTCTTGCAGGCTGCAAGATGGACAGGCGTGGCATACCGCACTACACTACACTGCACTATACAGTACAGATTGCGTCACTGATCATGTTCGGAGGCTGCGTGTAATGGAGCCGCCATTCCACCCTGCCTGCCCGCGTGCGCGCCTGAGCGCGCTTGTGCCTGTGTGTGTGCACTGAGCTTAAAGGAGTGGCTCGACGGCGCGTCCCGATACTCGGCCAGGACAAACCCAATCAAAGTCAAACTCAAACCATAGAATATGCCCAGAAGGGGCTACACAGTGCTGTTTTCAGATCGACGATCGGCCTTCTCTACGGCGCGTACTGGCCGTCCCAAAGTGGCATGCCAGACACCCCCTAGATTTAGGCGCACATTTCTACACCACCTTGGACGACCCGCCACACCGTCCATACGCAACGTCACGCAGAGATTCTGGTATCTCCAGAATCTGCTCAAAGAGAGCTTTCCAGCCGTACAGGTTTGACCACCCTCCGGCCTCCGTGCAGTCTGTGCTGAGACGCGCAAACTAGCATGCCAGTGCAGACTCCGACCCTCGGCGAGTCTTGCTCACTCTCAATCACTCTCATTGAGAATGAGTCACTCTCATTCACTCTCGTTCACTCTCATTGAGAATGATTCACTCTCATTCACTCTCGTTCACTCTCATTGAGAATGATTCACTCTCATTCACTCTCGTTCACTCTCATTGAGAATGATTCACTCTCAATCACTCTCAATCACTCTCAGTCACTCTCAGTCACTCTCATTCACTCTCACGAGACTCATTCATTCTCGTGATCCAATCCCCAGATGAAGACCTATATAAGAAGCCCCCCGGGCATCCCCCACTTTGTACTTTCCTTTCTTCCTTCAGAGCAATACACACCCACTTCTCCGTCGCTACCTCCTCCTCTACATCATCCTCGACCACCAGCCTCTACTAGTAAGACTGATCATCTTATAGTAGCACATCCCAGCTGAATACCTGCCGTACACTTTGCTCTCCAGGTATCAGCCTAAGCCTCCCTCCGTCCTTACAGCTATTCTGCCTGCTATTTGGTTCAAGACAACAAATAGTACTCGGAGCTTACTCTAGGGTTGCTACCACTACAACCACCTACTGTACAACTACAACCCGTGACAACCATCACCATCACACTGCGCGTCAAGGCAGCGCCGCGGATGTGAAGCTTCTGATCCTCATTTCACCAGCTCTCCAGGTACGAGTATGTACTGTACTGTACAGTAATCTTTGCCGTAATTGCCCGGTCAAGGGATCCGTCGCAGCACAAATGTATTACCTCTGTGAACACTGTACAAGCGTGTATGATGCACCGCGCTACGTTACAGTTCATCCAGCTGCAGATCAGAGTTTGGCAATCTGTCGTTGATTTGTGTCGATGCTATGTGTGCCTGTCCGTTGACCCAGTCTCTTGTGTCCTGTACAGAACAAAGTCACGAATGGGGCAATCCAGCGGCGCGACCCTGCGGCAAAACTTCAGACTGAGCTTGTAAGCCGTTTGTCGGATATAGGACCGCACTCCTTTCGTCACTCAATTCTAGCCAGCTGCAGCACATTTCAGCCAGGTGCACCGCAATTGAGTCAGCACAGAAAGATTCTGGCAGCATGCACGTCCAAAAGTAGCCGCATGACACTGCTCTAGCGCCTGACCTTGGCTAAAGTGTGGCTCAAAACGGTGCGTAGCCAGAATCATGTACAGCAGCGGTCGCAATCTTGGCCGAAAGACTGGTGAATGTGCTTCAAGCACAAGCACCCCAGAGAACTGCGATAGATACTCTACTGTCCCTCATCTATCCTTGCACATCAATTACCAAGATACTCCGGCATCAAGGCCTTTCAAGTGCCTAGAGCACTCGCAAATTGAGCAGATGCGCTCCTTCCGTCGCTCAAATCTAGGCAAATGGGACTGGATTCAGCACTTTGACAAGTAATCTGGCAGTCTGCCTCGCAATTTCCCAATTCCGGCCTGAAATTGAGCCACAGTCTAGCCAACATCAGGTAGAGCAGTGTTCAGCTTCCTCAATTGAATCTGCAGGCTGCCAACATGTCTTTGCGCTGGCTACTTTTGAGGTTTTGGTGCCGATATGACGTGTATCTGGCTAAAATGAAGTGAACAAAGAAGTACTCAACAAGTACTGTACCATCGAGATTTGAAGAGTGACGCATTGTCTGCAATGGGCAAGATCAATAGTTTGCGAATGTACACTCATCTGCGACGACCAAGCGATTTCTTATGAGCAATTGCGTACACAAAAGCAGGCATTCTAATGGCAATCTTTTCGTCACTCACTCGTCAGATTAGCCGCTGTACCAAGACTTTAGCCAGGCCAGAAATACTTTGGCAACATGCATGTTCAAAAGTAGCTGCATGACACTGCTCTCGTGCTTGAATCTGGCTAAAACGTGACTTGTTTTCAGGCTCGGATTGCTACTGTAAAACGCAAGGCAGACTGTCAGACCTCAACCCAGCCTGTCAAGCTGACCTGCAGCCGGCTAGGATGGAGTGACGAAAGGAGTAGAACGGAAGGATGAAAAGTGTTCTGTACTGTTGGAAGCCGATTGAGCTGATTTGAATCGAAGAGATGAGGAATCTCTTAGAAGTGAAAACCCGCAGTCGAAAGCGTACTGTAGATTCTGGAGAACTGCATTCTTATTGTAGGCAGCATCTGTGCGTAGTCGTCGCAGCCAGCGGCGTAATGGTTGTGTACAGGTGTACCTCTGCACGACTACTGAGTAAAGATCCCATAGCATCAATCTTTGAGACAGTATTGGGTAGATTGCATGGTGTCTTGCGTACAGTATGATACTGTAGTAGCAGACGTTTTTTGGAGTCGTGCATTACAGCATGGAAGGAAGAATCAGCATAATAAGGCTGTTGCTAGAGCAGATTGATGCAAATTCCGCGGGACAGTCCCCATCTTGAATGCTGATTACGCGCAGTCCGGTGGCGAAGTTGTGCACATACTTAAGACCATGCGATTGACTACAAGTACCGCACATTCCCATCGCTCAATCCTAGTCAGCTGCACCGGTTTTTAGCCAGGCACTCGAGGTTCCCGCCAGCACCAAGATATCTTGGGCCACAAGCAGGTTCAGATTTGGCCACAAGGCACTTATTCAGTGCCTGTTTCTGGCCCAATTGCGGCTTGAAGTCAGGCTCAGTCCGCTGACCTGCAAGGCAGACTTTCACACGTTCGCCGGCTTGCCTTCCCCAGTCTACAGTATTTGGCTGGAATCGAGTGATGAAACGTGTATCACGTATTGACGCTGCAAAGGCCCGCATCTGGGTGCCCAGATACAGTACGTACAGTACTTACAACATTGTACTGTACAGTAAAGTATCGGAGTATCTGCGCACAACGTCGGCAATGTGGTGATATACTGTACAGTACATCTTTTGCTACTGTGGAAGCGCATACTCTGCAAGGATCATGGCGTTTGGGGCTTGCAATATGGCACAATGTACTGCATTGTACACTACGTACAGTACGGTATTGTCGCGAAAGGCGGAACAAGATTGTCAGTCTTGTACGGTGCGGTACTGTACAGTTGAGCTGTGGATACTGTACAGTATGACACTCAGAACTCCTCACGGTACAAATCTTGCTGTACTCAGGCCACATGTGAATTTTCGCGACTTCCGTCATGTCCTCACTGACTGTGCGGTGCACTCCGCTTCTGTTCCCGGATGTGAGCCAGATCAGACTTGTGTGAACAGCTTGATGCAATCTCTCACAGCCTGCCTTGCCTTCTGGCAATCGGCCTGATCTCGAGCCACTGTCTAGTCAACAACAGGCAACAGAACAGTGCTCTTTAGTCTTGGACGGTATGCATGTACTGTATCTTGGCCTTCTGAAGAGTCTCGGGCTCATGGCTAGAATCGGCGGCAGCTGGCTAGACTTGGGTCACAAGGACAAGGAGCTGGTCGCCTCTTTATGATTGGCATACGGCAACACCAGAGGTACAACAGTGCCGACAGGCCACGGGCAAAGCACTCCAGTGGGGGACGAGTGACCCCTCGTGATGAACGGCGGTGTGATGACTTGACAGTTGTAAATATTCTCTGCAGCGCAACTCGAGCACTGATTTGTGAAACTCGAACGCTTGGCGCCCTGGACAGGTGAGAGGCACCCTGTCGAAGTTCTGTCACCCAATATACAGTAGCACCAATTCTGCACATGCGCGAACATGTACAGCACGTTACACGCATTGGACAGTATCTGCGTACAGTCCTGCACGGGAATGCGATAGTGCAGACCAATGCTCGTTGCTATACTCTTCTTTGGAAGCTGAATTGCAAGTTCCAGATTGCGCTACGATACTGTACCTCAGACTCCTGACCCTTCTGCGGCACGGATCTTCCCTCAGGGACGAAGCTTTCGCAAAGCACAGGTAAGAAGCTTGCAAGGCGGCACGGCTAATGTGGACCCTAGGGAAATCTCAGCGAGGCAGCATACAGTAGGTGCAGTCTCACGTACTGGGCTGTGACAACGGCTCTTTTGAACGGCATCGTACCCTGATTGGTGTCTCGGGCCGGCACCTGTACATCCGGATCGCTTCGCGTCGCATATAGTGATCGATAGCATCTGACACTATATCTCCAGCAGCGGACCAGTCTACCCCACGGTCGGCGGGCAGAAGGCGAAAGCGACAAGCTGGCCTTGTAGGCAGCCTCGTAGTTTTTCCCCGGAGTGGCGTAAGGTTGAGTCTTGCGTCTTAAGCTGTGATGAGTGATCGTCGTTCGATCCTTCGATTTAGGTTTCACCTTCTCATCGGTGCCTTCGCGCCATACTGGAGCCGGCGAAGGCAAGCCGTGGACTGTCTGGCCGACCAGTTCTTTCAACAGCTGCAATAGACCACAGTGCCTTGGCTTGTGCTTGAGACCTTGTCAGCAACAAAGGCGAGGTGCGTCAACTCTTCGCATCATACTTGGCTCGTTCTGTGTTCCAAGCAGTTCCTTCTAAGCGAAAAAGGCTCTGCTTACAGCGAGTCGGACGCTGCTGCCCAAAAGGCTTCACTCTCACCATGTCTACCCACTACTTGTATCGCTAGCCAAAATGTGATGTTGAGATCGAGACCCTCCTGGTCAGCCCAGCTCATTGCTCGGGTTACGTCTCCTGTATGTGTGCTGTCGCTTGGTCTCGGCAGCTCTTCGACGGCTATCCCGGCAAGGTTGTCATTGAGCAGGCAGACGAATGGCACTTCTGGACGTATGTGAGTCGCAGTGAATCCTTCGTTCACCGGACGCTGATTGAAGTCTCCCGACGAAATGCTCTACTGCTGTCTGTGCTCGAATCGCCAAGGTGCAGAGTGTAGGATCTCCTCGCCACTCAAAGGCAACGATGACGCAAGCGTCCCTCAGACTCGGAGGCAGCTTTCCAGAGGGATCGTTGATATCGGCTTGCCTTCTTTGCGACCTGTCCGGCACCGCAGTCTAGTCAACTGTATTGCTCTATGCATGGCCAAGATTACTTGAGCCCGTTCTAAGGGTTGCAGAGACGCAACTCCAGGGAAAACTCCTCGACAGCTGCCCTACAGGCCACCAGCGTCTTGTCCTCATCTTTGTCGTCTATGAGCTGGCAGACAATTGCAACCTCTTGCGGCTCTGTCGCCCCAACACCTCGTCGACTCTTGTGGCCCTGGCCCAACGCCTACTGCATCTGAGCCCTTCTGGTACAGAGTCATCGATGAGGGCGACAAGGATGCGAAGGAAGTATTTGATACAATCGCCGTCTGCGAGACAGGTGCATGGAAGACTCCGGACGAGTACACCATACTCACCTGTCGGGAGCGACTTCTCTTCGTCGCTTCCCTCGCGTTGGACTCCGCCTAGCTCCGCCTGCATTCGTGAATGCATCCCGAAGTGCCGGCTCGCACTGACACACCCCTTCCATTCCCTCGCATCTCCTCGCACCACCTCGCATTCCTTTCGCACGACGCGATCGGGTGAACGTCATGGCATCGTCACAGCCTCCCATTGTCCTAATCACAGGCATCACAGGCTTTCTTGCATCGCATGTACTCGATGCTGCGCTGGCAGATCCGGCGGGGTACCGCGTACGAGGAACGCTACGCAGCAAAGCGGACAAGGCCGACGAGTTGCTGTCACGCTTGACTGAACAAGATAGGAAGAGGGTCGAGCTGGTAGAGGTCAAGGATACCGGAAGCAGCGACCTCACAGAAGCCATGAGAGGTGAGTGAAGCAGTGTGCCTAGCCGCGTGACTGTGCAGAGCTCGCTTCCGCTCTTGCTTGTGGCTAAAGTGCTTTCCTCGCATGTCTTCAGACGTCACCTTCGTGCTACATACCGCTTCACCTTATCAATTGAACGTCAAGGATGCCGAACAGGACCTCTTGATCCCCGCTCGGGACGGGACGCTCAACGTCCTTCGCTACGCAGCGAAAGTGCCCTCCATCAGATTCTTTGGAATCACTTCCTCCTTTGCTGCTGTCAGCGATTTCAGCAAGGGCGGTCCAAACAGACCTGGCTTTACATATACGGAGACGGACTGGAATCCCAATGGCTGGAAGGAGGCAGTCGACTTTGGCGGAGAGGGCGCATTCGCATACAGCGCTAGCAAGAAGGTAGCCGAAGAAGCTGCGTGGGACTTCAAACGGAGCAACCCGGAAGTCTCCTTTGACATCGCGACGTTCAACCCTCCCATGATCTATGGCAAGACCCTGCAGCCGGGGGTAAAGAAGAGCAATCTGAACACGAGCAGCGCAACTATATATGCGGTAAGTGGCACCGACTCGACAGGGACCAGGCAGCATCTGACGTTCATTCCGCCCGGCCTGTCATTCGCAAAGCTGATCTCGTCACTCGATGCCATGCCGGGAGACCGCCTTCCACTGTTCTGTCATGCCCGTGACGTAGGTGATGCCCACGTGCGTGCTTTATCTCATCTGCCTCAGTCCGCCGGGCACCGCTATCTCCTCCACGGCGATACATTCACCTGGGCAATGGCTGTACATCACTTGGCAAGCGTTCGCCCCGCTCTCAAGTCGCGTCTACCAAAGGGATGGGAACAGAGCGATCCCTGGGCCAAGCAACCGACCGTGGAGCACTTTGCCCAATTGGACACGACCAAGGCAAAGGAGCTACTGGGTATGAGCCATTTCAGGAATTGGAAGACTACTTTGGAAGAGTGTATTGACGACCTGCTGGAGCTGGAAAAGAGGGAGGGGTGGGCCTAGAAGGATGGAGACGCTGCCGGACAGCGGTCCTTGGCAGTGGGATTGTCTATCTGGCAACGTCAGGTTGGGTCGGGGAGATCTATTGCTCGCGATGTCCATCATTTTGCCATTTACGCGTCCGCGCCCTTCGGACGCGAAGTGTTGGTCTTCCGAGTCTCTGACAAATGCAAGTCAGCTCTGACCCCGGCATCCTTCGCGTCCCATCACCATGACTGGCCTGTGAGATTCACAACTCGTACTGAGTCGTTCATGCCCAGTCCCTCTCGTCCGAAGCCGAATACGTCTGCCAAAGGTGCTCCTTCATCGTCTCCTGCACTCATGGCAGCCTCATCAGTGGGCCCCAGCCACTGGCCTGTAATGACTGCTGTACCGCCGGAGCGGCATCACTCTCCTCGCTACCACGAGCCTCTGCTCCTGCACCCGCAATCCCACCGAGAGCGCAAGGCCGCTGGTGCAAGCTTGGACCCAAGCGATCTCTTGGGCCAAGACTTATTGCTATGGTACGCAAATGTGGCAGATACAAGGGGCATGCCGTGGCGGCAGAAGTGGGTCTCCCCCAATGAGGAGCAGTATGTGGCCACGACAGCAGGGCGCGCTAATCTCAGGGAACTTCTTGAGCGGAGAGCGTACGAAGTCTGGATCAGCGAAATCAGTGAGTCTTTCAGCGAATACTACGGGGACTGGAAACGGTCATCCTCACGCGCTTTCTCCTCCGTGTCCACTTGCAGTGCTCCAGCAAACTCGAGTCGCAACGGTCATCTCATACTGGCAGTCATGGACGTCACGATGGCCGACGATTCAAGCCCTCGCTGCTGCTTCTCCCGACGATGTTCTATCAGCCTGGAAAGGCTTGGGCTACTACTCTCGCGCAACCCGGATTCACCAAGCTGCACAGGCCATTGTGGCCGATCCCGAGCTCAAGGGGCTCTTACCAGCTACTGCCCAGGACCTCGAGAAGAAGGTGGCTGGAGTCGGCCGCTATACAGCTGGCGCCATCAGCTCTATTGTGTTCGGCAGGGCAGAGGCCATCCTCGACGGCAATGTATCCAGAGTACTCTCACGTCAGCTGGCTCTCTACGCAAATCCTAAGAGCAAGATGACCACGGATCTTCTCTGGGATGCTGCTCAAAAACTCGTAGAAGGTGTGGCTGGTTTCAGCAAGTCTGATGACGAACGAGCTGTAAGTGAGGTGCCAGGTCTCTGGAACCAAGCGCTGATGGAGCTGGGCAGCACAGTCTGTACGCCGATCCCAAATTGCGGAGGATGTCCTATCAGATCCACTTGCAGAGCATATGCGGAGGGAGAACAAGTGGCTGTGGATAGAGGGCTATTGAGCACTGCAGATGTCGTCAACTCACTGCTCGCTGCCAGACCTGACGAGCGTCATACTGAAGATCTGGAGGACTTGTGCCAATTGTGCGAGCCATTCTCGGCCTATGCTGGGCAGGAGGAGCAGGACGTCGTGAAAGTGCAGGATACAAAGGAAGGCCCCAAAACAGCAGCGAACGGCAAGCGCAAGAAAGACACTGCTGGTGTAGGTACGTCAGCAAAGAAAGCAAGGGCTCAGCAATCTAGTCTTCTGGTTCACTTCAAGAAGAGGAGTCATGATACGACCCAAGACGATGCGGTGAGGCCTGAAAAAGATACCCACAAAATCGAGCCCAGGCTTGCGGGCTCCGCGACTGCTCTCACGCCTCGTGCCCCTTCACGAGAGGCTCTAGAAGTGATCCAAACCCATGTCAAGCGGTTTCCGTTCAAGGTACGAAAAGCTCAGGTCCGAGAGGAGAAATGTATCGTTTGCATCATCGAAACACGCTCCTCTGCAAAAGCGAGTCGGTACCTGCTAGAGCAACGTCCTGACAAGGGCCTGCTGGCTTCACTCTGGGAGTTCCCTACTCTGACGCTATCACTACCTGACTCACATCACGATGATGACGACGAAAATCATCTGTCCACTGCGCGGGATCCTCCAGCCTCCCACACCACTCAAGCTACAAAGTTTGTGCAAAGGCTCCTCAAGCTGCCACAAGCAGGAAGGGCGGAGCACTCGGGTCCATTAGGTACTCTGACGCACGTCTTCTCACATATGAAGCTAGAGATGAATGTGCATCACTTCAGCGTCAGCGGGGATGAGGATGAGGGACGTATTGAAGCAGCTTTGGTCAGCAAGGCGAAGCGGAAATGGTGTACGGCTGAAGAGGTGGAAGCAGCGAGCATAGGTACGGGTATGAAGAGATGCTGGGAGCTCCTCTCCACTAGAGACACGAGCGCCGTGAGGGGTAAAAGCGGGCCACAAGTCAAGGACAGGAAGATGAAGCGAAAGTGAGGCGTGGGCGAGCGATGGCCCATCGAGACATCCTCAAGGTCCTCCTGATGCTGTGTGCAATGCTGATAATGAACATTAAAGGTTGACGTGAGAGTCATGGTGGTGTTGCAGATCAACTAATCAGTGCTGTTGCGCTCGAGTGGCGACTCAGGGACAGCCTCTCGTGCGTCTTCGACCCTCTCTTCATGCTCCTGCTTCCCCTCCGCCCGTCTAGCCTCGCGCTCCGCCTCCAGAGCCTCGGCCTCCTGGATCACTTGCCCCAGACTTGCCGAGGCTGCCCCAGCCTCGGCCACTGCTAGATGTGGGCTCCCTAAGCTGAAAGGCTGAGGTGAGTCATCGATACCGCTGCCTTCCGTGCCGACGCTGTTGGGCAGGCTGGACGCTGCACCGGCAGAGGAAGGCTCTGGAGAGAAGAGCAGCTCCTGTAGCTCTCGCAAGCTTTTGAGACTTGCATCCTTGGTCGAGATCGTGTCAAGGTGCGGAGAGCGTCGCTCTGCGAGGGCAGCGATTCTGGTGCGTCCCAACTCGGCTTCTGCTTCTTCCGCTCGAGCTCTCAGCGCGAGCACCTCCGCCTCCAATTGCTCAAGACGATTCTGTACCTCTCTGGTATTCTCGCCATCGCCATCGGGCGCGGCAGTGGACACAGACGACTCGTCTTGTGACGAACCAGCAGAGGGCTCGCCGGTTTGGCCTGGTGGCAACGCCCCTATGCTCTTGTTGTCACCTCCTCCCGATAGAGCTTGCTTTGCCATCTGCTTCTTCTCCCTCTCCGCTTTCTCGAGGGAGAGTCTGCTCTTTTCCAAAGCCGTTTCGAGATGGCGTCGTTCTTCATCGCTGGCGTCAAGCAGCATTTCCATCTCTCGCCATTGTCCTAGAAAGACCTCCATCTCCCTGTGCTGCTCTTCGAATCTTTTGACGTCCTGGTCCCACAAAGTCAAGCAATGCGTCAGATGAGCATTCTTTTCCTCGTATTCCTTGACCTTGATGACCTTTGGCGCAATAGAGTCCATCTGGGTTTTGAGCTCAAACAATTCGGCGGACGCCTCGTTCAATTGACGAGTCTGGGCTTCGTGGTTGGCCTTGAGAGCTTCGAGCTCAGCTTTCAGCTCACGAGACTCGCTCGTCCAGTTCCTCCTCTCGTCTCTGAAGGCTTTGAGCTTGCTTTGCAGTTCGCTCTCCCATTGCGCATGTCGACTCTTGGTCATGTGGGCCTCATTCTTCTGCCGCGTCATCTGGACGTCAAGCGCAGAAAGCTGTGTCCGCAGAGACTTCACCATCCGAATGAGGTTCTGACGTTGAGCTTCGGAGCTGGAAGCCTTGATACGATTCGAGAGGAGGCGGCCGATGTGTCGAAGATGTTGGTCCTTGAGGTACAGCTCGAAATTGAGCTCTCCTCGGAGTAGAAGGTTTTCTCTTTGCAAGTATTTGACCACTGTGTAGGCACCCGAGTGGGTACTGACTTCCTTCATAGTGGCTCGATCGCTTCGTCCTAGGTGAGCCCTTCCGCGTACCGGGCGTGACGGGGAGACGGTGATACTGCTCAGCGCAGCAGAGGTACCAGCCCCAGCGTGAGGCCGCGATGAGAAGGTCGGGCTGCTCATACTGGAGGGAGATTGGTCGAGGGCGAAGCTAGCGTTGCCGGTGAGTGAAGTCGCTGGTCTACCAGAGACGGACCGCACTTGCGGTCGGAAATCAGAAGAGAAAGCAGCGTGGATAGGAATCGATGCGGCCGTAGCTGTCGAAGGTGGGCTCGTGGTTGTCGCCATGTTGGGGGCGCGACCCCGACCACTTTGAGAAGAAGAAGTAGACTGGTTCGGAGTCGCCGCGGGTGTCATTAGTTCCCCTGCAGTGGGCGAGACAGGGCGCGAGAGGGGGCTGGGGCCGGTCCGCCCAAGCACAGGGCTGGAGGGTCCTGCCGAGAGAGCACCAGAGCCGTGCTCAGCTGCTATGTTGGATGTCAGCGCCTGTAGGGTCGCCGAACGAGGCATACGTGACGTAGGGGTTGGTCCAGGAGACACACTTGCCGCGCTAGCAAGACTGAGTCGTCTGAATGTCTGTCCCCACCGAAGATCAGTATATCCGTTGAGGACATCTTCCATTGGCGCTGCTGTGCCTTCAGTCAGATTCATGTGGTCTTTGGCGTCCAGAGAGGGCTCAAGCATCTTGCTGTAGCGAGGCAAAGAGGCAGCATTAGACGAGCGACGTGAGAGGGCGGCATATGCTTGGTCTGTCGTCGTGGGCCTGGCCAGACTCTCTGTTTGCTGCCTGTCCCAAGACACTGTCTGCCAGCTTTCTACTGACAGTCCGATGCATTCGGCGGTGATGTCTGCAGCGTCGTGCTGCTCCCACCTCTCCTTCTTGGTAAGCTCCAATTCAGCATTCGAGCTGACCAAGGAGGGGTGAAGTGCGTGTCTCCTCAATGCGACTTCACTCCTCTTCTGCAACTCTGGCTCGTGGATGAGATCCTCCCAGACAGCATCAAGGGGCGATTGATACTGACTCTTTCTCAGGTAGTCGATGGGACCGCGCAGGAATCGGAGTGTGTTGCAGGGGAAGATACCGTATATGATGGTGAAGAAGCGAACAGCGTCCGGAGCCGTTGCCGTCTCAGAGTCAACTGACGATTCTAGCCTTTTCCAGTCGACGTCCGCGCGAGGCTGCAACCGCTTGCTCAGTCGTCCCACTTCTTCGTGTTCCTCGTCGAATTGCATCCTCAGACTCTCCATCTCTTCCCCGCTGCCCACGCGGTGTTCCCAGCCCGGTCCGAGTTTGCGCCAGTCGACGATGCGAGCGAAAATAGCTAGCAAGGCAGGCACCCCTCCAGCCCCTCCTGAAGCAATCCAGTCCGGCATATGCGGAATCAGCATGATGAGCGATGTGATGCAAAGCGAGACCAGCATTGTTGATGTATCCAATTGTAGAGACAAAGCAATATTGCTGAGCAGAGATGTCTTGGTGATATGATATGCGTGAATGCTGTTCAATCGTACGAAGATGGTGAGAAGGAGCAGAATGGGGATCCGGTGGAGCGGCTCTTCGAATGATGCCGAGAGGTGGTGGAAGAACTCAGTGGGACGGTCTTGACCAAAGGTGATGATGATGGCTTCGAGGTTCCCCTTCCAGGTTGTTCCCGCTATATCGACTGGCTTGGCGTCGTCTGAAGCCACCGCCTGGAGCAGATAGGGCTGGGCTTGTTTGGTGACTTGCACCTTGGTGGAGGGAGAAGGACCATCAGCTGGGGTCAGACTAGCTGTCGACGCCTGAAGCTGATCGAGGACATCAAGTCTGTCTCCTTCGTCGTCCTCTTGTCGCAGAGGTGCAGATGCCTCTTGAGTATACAAATCAAAGAGCCTCTGTGTGAATCGACGATGCATATCCACAGCTTGACCACCAGCCTTTCGACTGCCAGGTCCGCCGGCGGCACCAGAACGAGGCTTTTCCCCGGGCGGTCCTGATCGACCACGTTGCGCCGAGTCCGAGGGCAAGGACTCTGTGGTAGCTCTGGGATAAGGTGCACCTCCAATCACGCGGCTCAGAGCGTTATCTGAAGTATTGGGCCATAGAGGAGTGGGAGGTGGTTCATCTTTGTATGCGGAGCTGGGAGTCGCAAGGGCGGCCATGATGACTAGCCCACGGGCTTGGTCTGCCAGGTGGTCGCTGACCCGAGGGTCTTTCAAGATCGGGCGGAGGAGGATGTCGAACCATTCGGTCACAATGGGAACGGAACCTATCAGCGGTGCGAGCTCGGAGATGTAGCCCACAAGAGTGGCCTGTTTAGCAGAATCTTCCTGATCCATCTCATCCCAGAGTGACAGCAGATCGCTGTTGAACTTTTGTGAGACTTGTGATTTGAGCTGCTGAGCTTCCATGCCAGCGAATTCCGCCGGTGTGACGTTGGGGTCGTTGATCAGAGCTTCGATTGCCTTGTCCGCAGAAGCTTGGGCTTTGGTCGGGCCCTGCGCCAAGAGGACGGAGCGGATGCGTGCAAGAGCATCCTTCAGCCTCGCCTGGGTGGCCTTGGGGACATGAACAGGCTGAACGGGCTGTGAGCCCACGGTGAAGTTGGGTGGAGGCATCTCGCTGCGCTTTGTGCTGAAGGCGAAAGCTTCACTTGTGCCTTTGGGCCTGATCAGCCGGTGAGAGTAGAAGATCTGGTCTGGCAACTATTGTGGGACCAGGGTCAAGGCAGAGGTCAAATGAAGAGAGTCATTGTGTGGATGCTACGATGGGTTCATCGGTACTTCTGAGCTGATGTGAGGGCAGCAGGTGTCATGGTCGGGGGACACTGGGTATGGGTGTACGAGGGGGTTGGAAGATGCGAATCCAGGAATGAGTGGGCCGCTTCTTGTCTATCTCTATCTGCGCCCAGAGTGAGTGTGGAGAAAAGGGGGCGGCGGCGCGCGGGGCAGAGGCGCCTTGCCGTGCGTGGGAAAGTGAAGCGGGTGGTGGTGATGGTGTTGGTTGCTGCGAGGAGACCAAAGGATACTCACGTCTGCCTCACCTTCTCGCACACAGTCCACCACGAGGATGACCGCAAGCTTCTGGACATCAGGTGGACATGGTCTGACGCTCACTACGTTCCCCGCCATGCTCCTCGCCGGACTCTTCCTCGCACTCACCCTGCCTCTGCAAGTCACCTCCTCGTCCCCCTACCTCTGCAAATGCACCTGCTTCTCCACCAACAGCACCATCCTCCCGCTGCTGTCTCCAATAGATCCTTCTAACCCATGTACTACCTGCACTCGGCAGTTCTGCCTCGACCAAAAGCTGTATGGCTGTGAAGGGGCTAGGATAGAGAATCCCAATGCCGATACTGGCACAGGCTGGGAAGGCGAGGTGTGGGCAAGATGTTTCCGTGAGTACCAAGGCGAAAGAGAGTTGCACGAAGTCTCTACTGAAAACGAAACCACCTCTTTGTGCCTACCCTTTATCATTCTCCAGAGCGCGAGTCTGGAAAGGACGAAACCATCGTCTCCTTCTACCTCTTTACAATAGTCACATTGCTCCTTGCAGCGGCGCTGAGAAGCCATCTCATCGTGTGGTGGGAGGTGAGTGATCAGAGACTCTTAACGGAACATCCCCCTTCTCATTTGACGCTTCATACTTCCTTCCACCTGCTGTCCTACAGGAGTATCAGACCGGCGGGCCCCCTGCTCTGCTCTCAGCAATCAAAGCTTCCCTCCCTGGCAGAGATCAAGTCAGAGGCGCCGGCAGAGGCTGGATCAACAGATGAGGGTGTAATCTCGTTCGCCTTGCACATCTGCCTTCCTCTGAGTTGCACATTGGTCCTCAAGTGAGTCGCCCTGAAGCAAAGGAGGCTCTAGTGAGCACTAAGAGCTGCGCTCACCTCGCCATCTTCTCACCAGTCTCTCACTTCGTCAAGCTCTCTGCCCTGCCACTAGCGAGCAAAAAGAGATGTTTGAGCTTCATGCTGCCGAGAAGAGGTCTGCAGGGCGATTTCCATGTCATATCGCCGCATCCATGCTACCCATGGCTCAACGCATGTCAAAACGATCGTTCGACCCAATCTGCGGGTACGTGTCCATTTGATGTAGTAGCATGCATCTACCGTGGAGACATGATAGGATTCAAGTCATGATCAGGCAGCTGCAATCTCTCCTGCCTCGCCGTCGCCCAACAAGGTCCAATTCTTGACCGTCTCGAGCCTCCTCTTCCTCTCCTCCTCCCAACCCTCGACATTCCAAAAGGATTCCTTCATCCAATCTTCCCTGGTGCCCTTCTCCTCTGGCAAGCGCTTGTCCTCGGCAGCTGCAGTGAATGGGCCGTCAGGGACAAAGCGCGAGAGAAGTGCTGCGCTCGGCTGGCTCGGGTCTCTCTGCAAAATGCGGGCTCGAAGCTCCTCGGCCTTCTCCCAGTTGCCCTGGCCGGCTTCCACTGACGAGGGTGTGAAGCCGCAGATCGACCAAAAGAACCACGGCGGAATCGTCTTCCTCCCCGACTTTACACAGAGCCTGCCGAGGGCGATGCAGTGGACTGTTGGCTTGCCGCCTTTCTTCTTCGACTTGGAGATGAACTTGCCAATGGAGTCTAAGAAGGGGAGGACAGAAGCAGGATAGAGAGAAGAGCACGGAGGCACAGTAACGTGGTCAATGAGCATCAGAACCTGTTCCAAAGCGGATCGAGCACGACTTTGCTACTCACAGACCCACTTGGAGTCCCAGGTCCAGACCCTGACCTCGACCTGATAGCTGCTTCCCAGAGGGATCTCCTTTAGGAATCTGAAGCTCGTACCGCCCAATGCAATCCACGCCTTGTCCCGCTTGCTCGCCTCCAACAATCCCCGCGTGAGGATGGAGTAGGCAAAGTGTAGCCTTGCAAAGTCGCTACGGGGGTAAGGGGGTCAAAAGGGCATGGGAGGAACAGATATGGTCAGAGAAAGTGTTTCGAGGTTTTGGGACTACAACGAAGAGACTGACAAGTTTTTCGGATATGAAGAGTTGCTCAGATGCATATTCATATCACACTCGTCGATGGAGGCAACATGCTTGGAGATCGAGGTGAGGTTGAAGATGGAGGAATTTGGAGGAGGAAGACATGATAGCACCTGGTATGGCTTGACGACAGTTGTGATTCCCTTCTTCGGTCTCGGTGGGAAGAGCTTGGGCAGAAAGTAGGAAAGCGCCTTTGGGATCAGAGGATGGAGGGAAGGCGTCGAGGCAATGGAGCGTGTGTGGATGATGTAGAAGACCCGAGCGGTCCAGGCAAGCGGCAGTGAGTTCCGAATAGAGTATAGAAGCGGCAGCAGGGCGAGGTAGTAGTAAGACACCATCATGAGTGTCAGACGCACGGCAGGGTGGTCCCAACACCAGACGGGGATAGATGATCAGAAGCACTTCTATAAGATCTGGAATCGTCCCCAGTACGCTTTCCCCTGTCCCCACAATTCTTTCGGCACAAAACGTCGGTATTTCCGGGCACAGCTGTCCAACACCTCGCTTCGGTCCAACAATTGCCCTTCCGCGGAACCTTCCCGCTGGCTTGGGCTTCGGCCGTTGCAGCTCCCCGCTCAAGAATGGGCCGGCCTTGCGCGTTCAGGGGTCGCTCCCGATTTCTGGCTTGCTCAAGACTTCCATATCGTAGCAGCTTGCATCGTGACTCGAGTGCTCTCATATGATCTTGACTGTTGCAGTCGTACTGCTTCTCCTCGGCTTGTGTGTCAGGGCTGTCATGTTGCCCATTTTCTGCTGCTGAACCATGCCTGCTTGACCTGACATATCTGGCGTGGCTAGCTCTCTTCAACTTTGGCTCGATCTGCTGTAGGTCAGGGGCCCGACGCAGGAGGAGCCATTGATGGTGTCGGCGATTTGCCGCACACTTCCCTCCGTACACGCCTGCTGTGCGGGATCTTTCTCTGGTGCGGCCTTCTGCTTCCGTTCCGGTCTACCAACGGGATGTGGTCGAGGGAAGCCTCCTGGACCGTGCGAGGGATGTCAGGCGTCAGAGCAGTGTCTCACCTCCCGCCCTTACCCGCCGGCACACCCCGCCGAGGACCTGACCTAAGTGACATTAGCCGGGATACGAGATAACAGGGAGAGCGCGACCACTGGTTCGTATTTCGTCTTTTGTCGCACCTGACTCGCCCTGTTCGTCTTCACATACCGCTCATCGTAGTCCTCCTGCAGGCTGTGTGCAACTCTGATCCGTTTTTGGGTCCGAAACAGACCCACCGCCCGGATAAAGCCTCTGCAACCGTCCGGGTCCTCACTCGAGCAAGCCCCGTTTTGATCCGGCTGCCCCGCCGTGCCTTGGCCACCGCGACGAGGCATCAGGCGCAGTTCTTATCTGATTAAGGGGCGAAGAGGCATTCCAGCACTTCCCCCAAGGCTGAGGGAGGTGCCGGCTGCCCCTTCGGGACCCCCTCCCAGCGACCTTCGCGGACCACGTCGCGTTAGGGAGATCGAACTTCTGGAAGAAGTTGGGAGACACTTTGTTGTCTGTCACGACGACAATTCCACAAATACAGACCAACAGCTTCCTCCGTTCATTCCCGTTCATACTCTGCAAAATCATATTGGACAAGTCGACCCGTACTAGACACTCTTTTCCGTACTGGCATCAGTGAAAGCTGCACACATCACGAACACGACCTCTGTTACGACCTCACGCGACATCTCTTTTCGACATCCCGATGGCCACATCCGCGACGACCATGCATCTACTCAATGAGTACTACGGGCCCTTTGCCTTTGCAGGTCCGGGCTGGGCGCAGGCCCTTCTTCCCATTCCACCACAGGTGAGGGAGCTGGCCATCCTCGAAGAGCAGCGAAGAGCAGGAGGCAGCTGCGAGATCTTCCTGCGACTACCCAGTGAGGTATGGACCCTGATAGCGCAGGAGCTCTGCTGGATGGGTACAACCGCAACCAATGGGTCAGCAGCTTTGGCAAGCAGTGAGTGTAGCCCGTCTGACATTCCGCCCTCCTTGCTCTACCAGCGTACTCAGATCTCTCTGTCTTCACCCTTGTAGCTAGCAAGTTCTTCCACCACCTCGCGACTCCCGTCCTCTACTCGTCGCCTATCCTTCGAGGACCTGCAGCTTTGAAGTCTCTTGTTACTACCTTGAGGTCAACGTCCAGACCCTACTCCCCTTTCAGCGACCTTCACTCTCCCAAAGCCAGCTACGTACACTCGCTGAGCCTGCAAGATCTTTCGGCTCCAGACTGGCTGATAGCCCAAGAGCTCGGCCATCTCCTCGTATCCTCTGCGCCTACTCTGACAAGTGCCGCGGAAGTTCGTAGAGGTAGACCCCTCCATCGGAGGCGTACAAGCCGTGAACGTATGCAGGTCTCACAACTGCGTCGCTACCCACTCCAAACCCTCTCCGTCGAATGTGCAGGCCGCGATTTGACGAACGCCATGCCATTCTTCCAACAGCTCGATGTACTCGAGGCATTCGAGTGGAACACCGCTCCCTGTTGGCTCATCAGACCTGCTGAGCTGTTTACTGCACTCTTAGTGAGTCCTGGCGATCTTCAGCCGCCTACAGGAATGTCGCCTTTGCAGAAGCTGACCTCTCATATTGCACAATGCCTTTTTCAGCTGTCGTGGCGCTCGATGCACACCCTATCACTCTCGGGCTTCCGGTGGGATGAGACCTTCCTGACCTCGGTTCTGGGCCATGGATCCCTGCGCAAGCTGCACCTGGGCGGCCGTACGATGAGCTCTTTGCGGGAAGAGACGCTGCGCGGTCTCCTGCTAGCAGTCGCTGATAGGCCGGAGGATCCAGCCGATGCGGAAGATGATACCTTTGAGTATGAGCAGGGGGACCATAGTTATGGGCAATGGGACGACGAGGATGAACCGATGGCCTCATACTCAGACTCGGGCTCGGCTACCTCAATGTCCTCATCCCCCGTAGGCTCACTGTCGTCCTCCGTATCTTCGCTGTCCTTTGGTGGCCGATCAGACGATGGTAGCTCTAGTCGGGAGCGACGCTCTGTGGGTACACATACCGCCATCACCCCAATGGGCATCGCTCTCCCTCTGGTATCGCTGCCACCGAAGGTGCGCCTGAGGCTAGACGAACTGATCTTGGCCGATCTTCCGCCGGGGAAGGGCACCACCTTCACCTCGATCGCTGACGAGCAGGAAGAGCTCCTGTCCCGATCTGGCCTCGAGCGGTGGAGAGTGCCTCAGGCCGAGTGGGGCATGCCGGCATCGACCCAATCCTCGCCTGAGGAAGCACCGCAGCGACCGTCGCCTTACCCGATACAGGCGCCGGCGTCAGGCCAGGGTGAACGAGGTCGAGCGTCTTGGCAATATGAGATTCGCGATTATGGTCAGCAGCAGGAGGGGCGCGGGTGGATGAAGTGGTCTCGGTCATCTCTGAGCGTGGAAAGGGGCAGCACGGGCAGCTCGCGGCGGAGCAGAGGTGCTTGTTGGTAGGCTCATCGGGGCGTGGCTATCATTGTTCGTGATTATATCTCCAGTCATTTGCTCTATACGTGCACCTTGCAGTCCAGTCCCCACTTGGCGTCGCTCTGCCCATTTAGCCCGCGCCCGAAGCACGGGCTATTGCGCTTTTTGCCTCGGAAGCGCGCCAGGTAGATTCTGGATGGTTGACGCCTCCTCCACCTAGACTTGGCGCATCGTTCCTTCTGACCTCCTCGATGCTATTCTACCTTGGACTACTTTGCATTGTATTAGCGATTACTACAGCCACTGCCCATCAGCATTTCCCTCAACTTTCCTTCGACGACAACAACCACCTCCGTATCTGTAACGCACCGCTCTCTCCCTTCTCTGAAATCATGGCCGTGCGCAACCTCCTGATCGCTGGCCGCACCCACATCATCGGCGACGCTGTGGCTCGCAACGTAGGTCCCAACTGGCAATGTGAGTTGAGGAGCCCAGGACAGTTGCTCTGCGCATGAGCTACGCAGCTCCACCGAGGTCTGTTACTCGCATACTGATGTGCTTCTCTCCCTCTCCTTGCCTCCTCTTCCTGCAGCTGTGGGCTTCATCGGCTCGGTGGAGGAAGCGCTGACGAAGATTCCTGAGATCACTCGCTCAAAGGAAGTCTACGCCATTGCCTTTGGCGGTGGATACGACGATGCCGCCTTTGGTCAGATCTGGGATGCAGCCAAGCGGGAAGACTGGCCCTCGATGAGTTGGCTACGCCCTGATCCGGCCAAGCTGAGCAAGACGCCCGGATTCAACAACGACGAGGAGAGGATGAAATACGGTGCTGGAGTGGGAGAGAGGGTGGTGGACGTGCTGGCAGGACTGGAAAAGGAAGGGAAGCTGGGCAAGATGGACGTGACGCTGTACTAAGGCACAGGGTCACCAAGAGGGTCGGCACAGTGTCATAACCTTCGTTGAGTCCCGGACATGGCTGTTCCACTGCTCCCTACAATCCCAGACGTTTTGCTTTGTCCGGCCCTTTGCACGGCTCTTTGCAATCTCGTCTGCTTCCATTGTCCTGGAAGAAGAGGTGATGGTGAGGGCGGATGTCGTCTTCTTCCTGCCTCGGGCCCGGCGCTGCGTGGCTCTGTGCCTTGGCTTGCGCGTGACCCGGCCCTGCGAGATTATGCGCCCAGGCGGCAAAGTCGCCGAAGATGGCCGAGGGTGGAGTGGGGCCTCAGAGGAAGATGTGGTCCAGGCAGCAACCCAGAAGCATCCGAGCCAAGCCGCCTTTGCCTCGTTGCCTTCCTTGCTTCCTTGCCTTCTTTGCCTTCGTATCGTTATCTTAAGCTCCCGCCTTCCCTCCTATATTCGACTCTATCTTAGCCTCTCCCACCTTCCTTCACCACTTTAATACCACGACATCTCGGCTGGCCCTACTCAAGTTCCTCTCATCCGCTCTCCACTGAGCTACCCAATCTCCATCTGCAGCCTCATCATGGTCCATTCCACCTTGCGCTCCCTCGCTGGGATGGCTGCTACGGCGGCAATTGCCATTGCAGCACCTGGGACATCGCCCTCCCAGCAGATCAGGTCCTCTTCCTCGCCTCTGTCGATCAGTGACCTGCCCCTCACAGCCTACCTCGCTCCCTCTCAGGGCCATTTCGACGAGCATGGTCCGCTGGGCAAGCAGGGCGTCGTCTCCTCCGAAGTCGACCTCTGCTCCAATGTGGGAGCAGACATGCTCCTTGCAGGTGGGTCAGCGGCAGATGCAGTCATTTCCACGGCCCTCTGTGTCGGATCCATCGACTCCTTCCACTCCGGCATCGGCGGAGGCGGCCACATCCTCGTCCGGTCCGGCAAGGGCAAAGTGACCCACATCGATATGAGGGAGACGATGCCGGCAGCAGGATACGTCGACATCTTTGTAGACCACGGCGCAAACTCGTCCATCCTGGGTGGACTCGCAGTGGGTGTACCGGGCGAGATCCGAGGATGGGAGAAGCTTCATGAGAAGTATGGCAAGCTGCCCTGGAAGGAGCTCTTCCAACCGGCCATCACGATCAACAAGAAAGGTTTCAAGGTGCCCAATCAGCTCGCTACTGCTATTGCAGAGTCTAAAGCCTACGTCTGCGATGGCAGCTACTTTGCAGAGAGGTGAGTGAAGGTCGGTAGCGGATTGCGTAGAATGTCTTGATTCTTATTCTCGACTGATTTGCTTTCACTTGCAGCTACTGTCCCAATGGCACAATCGCCGTTGAAGGACAAACTATCACGCGGCCTCGTTACGCCAAAGCACTCACTCTGATCGCTGAGCGGGGGCCTTCGGCCTTCTACCAGGGCACTCTCGCGAACAGCACCATCTCTGCTGTCCAGTCCTCCGGCGGCATTATGACACTGGAGGATTTGGAGGGCTACCAGGCCATCGAGAGGACCCCAGTCAAGGTCGAATTCAATGGCTACCAGCTTTACGCTACCTCGGCACCTTCCAGCGGAGCCGTTGTGCTGAGCGCTTTGCAGACTCTCAACCAGTACGACGATCGAGAGACGGCAGGGTACGACCTTATCACACATCGTCTGATCGAGGCTACAAAATTCGGTGAGTATGCTCCGATGCGTCTGTCGCCCTCTGAGTCTCCCACTGACGTCCCTGATCGCGGCGGTACTCACAGGCTACGGAGAGCGTACCAACTATGCCGACCCTGCCTATGTCAAGAACGTGACCCGGCTACAGTCCGAATACCTCAAGGTCTCTCGTGCACGAGCAAAGCGCGATCTCATCAAGGACAATGCCGTACGTGCCGCCAGTGTCTACGATCCTAGCAACAGTGCCATCCTCAACGACGCCGGTACCTCCCAAATCGTCGCTGCCGATGCCTCTGGCCTGACCATCACCCTGACCACGACGGTCAACACGTACTTTGGGAGCAAGGTGATGACCGACTACGGCATCATCCTCAACAACGAGATGGACGACTTTTCTTCTCCCGCTTCCACCAACTCCTTTGGCTACGCTCCCTCTGAGGCCAACTACGTCGCGGGCGGTAAGCGGCCCCTCTCGTCGATTGCAGCGCTCATTGCCGAGGATGCCCAGGGCAATCTGAAGCTCGCGACAGGCTCAGCCGGGGGTTCGCGCATCATCACCGCAATCATCCAAAACACCTACCACGTCCTCCAGTCCGGGATGGACATCCAAAGCGCTCTCGACCAACCCCGCTGGCACAACCAGCTCAGTCCCGACGTGACCAATTTGGAGTGGGCAGCTCCTGCAGACGGGATCAGTGAGGCGCAGGCCGTGGGAGCGAAAGCCTGGAGGGGGTTCAGCAACAGCACGGCCGACTTCCTGAAGAGCGTAGGGCACAACGTCACATTCGTTGTGCCTGGGTCGAGCACGGCGCAGGGCTTGGAGTACTACCATAAGCAGGGCCTCTTCTACGGTGGAGCGGAGGTGAGGCAGATTGCTGCTGCTGCCGCTGCCGTATAATGGGACAGAGCCCAGATCCCTTTCTTCGAGTTTCTTACCAAATCTTCCAGTATCAGTCTCGGAAATGATTCCGCAGTGTACCTAGTCAACGAAATTCACAACCGTTTCCAAATGTCATCATCATCATCATAATCATAATCATCATATGCTGTATCATCCCATTGACATTGCGAGTGCAGCCGTGCCATGATTGAGGACAGGTCTCTTCTCACGTCCTGACACCCCATCCGTCTAGGCGAACTTGTCACTCTTCATCTTCGACCTCCGATCGAGGAGCTCCTCGGCTGCTCTGCCCTCCTTGATCGCCCGCTTGAGGGCTTTGCGATCTGCGTGGTCGTCCCCGGAGGAGTACATCGGCGTCCTGCCTAGCGTGTATGATTGGCGTGACTTCCTGCGAGGTGAGAGAGAGTTCAAGGCAAGAGGAGAAAGAAAGAAGAGGCGACGTTGTCAGTGAACCTCTCGCTACCTCGGCTTGCCTCGCTTTGCTCGTGCTCTCTTACTCACATCAAGCTCTTCTCATCAATCGCCCCTCCTGTCTCGAGCTTGAGCCTCTTACTCAGCCCCTCCTCGCCCTTGCCTTTACCAATCTCCCTCGCCCTCTCCCCCTGCCGTGCCTGATGTCGAAACTTCCACTGCACACTCGCACTCCACGTTTCCGCCGCTCCGACCGAGGAGGAGTCAACGCGGAGCACCAGCTTCCCACCGGCAACTTCGTCGAGGCAGAGGTAAGTACCGTGCATTGAGCGGAACGCCAGGCCTGTCGTCGGGCTCGACTCTGCCCCCGGCTCAGACTCTGATCCAGAGGAAGCGCTCAGCAAGCTCCATTCCTCCTGCGGTCCTCTCGCCTCTGCACCACAGAGGAGCGTGCCGTGCTTGTCTGCTCCCAAGAAGCGGTGTTCCGTGGTGCGGAGGGTGTACCGTGGTGGGTCGGCGGTGTCCAGTACGCGAGAGGCGACGAGCACTTGGTGCACTTCGGTGGGTGGCAGACCTTCTGCCCCTCCCGAAGAGGACGAAGCAGCTAGAGAGGAGGCATCGACGATCTGCGCTCCCTCTAGCTCTGCTTTGTCCTGGGCAGATAGTTGGGCAGACAGTGGTTCGGGAGGCGTGAGGGCGGTGAGGGACATTTTCTGCAAAGTGGGGTTGAGGGTAATTGCGTGGAACTTCTTCGAGGAGCTTGGGTCGCTTGCGGAGGAAGAGGAGGGAGAGTATTCTTGATAGATGACAATTGGGCCTGAGAGATCCGTAGGATGACGAGCTGGTACCCAAGCTGGGAGTAGAGCATGGCACAACAGGGCCGAAGATCAGCAGGTCTAGCCACCACTACAACTTGAGCTGGGTTGCGGGTCCTGTGGTGACTCACCTTGCTCGTCCCCTCCCACCTCGTCCACATCCGACACCCCATCCTCCTCCCTCTTCTTTCCCTTGCTCGTTGATGCACCACCGCCGTCCTTGTCAGAGCGGCTCTTCTTCCTCTTCTTCTCGGGCTGACAAGTACGTACCAGGAGAAATAGGCATGCAGGTTAGGTCAGTAGGTGTGAGGGGCACATCGCATGGTCTGGACCTCGTGAGATGGGGCAGGACTCACCTTGTCGCCCTTGAAGTGGAGACGCATCGACTTGCCAGAGGAAGACATGATGGGAGGAGTCGCCCTCACTGAAAGCTGAATGGTGATGGAGGAGATGGGATCAGAAGAGAGAGAAGGGCGGAAAGCGGAAGTGCAAGCAAGATGCGGACGGAGCCTTTTGCCGATTTTCCGGGGTTGGCGGCTGCTCCACCTTGCGTCGGCCACTGCGACTGGACCATCAATGGCCTACTGACGCCCTGGACGTCGGATAGATCTAACGGTATCACTCAATTGACGCCTCGAGCAGACTTGGTGGTTTATGAAGCAGGAAGAAATGTACAATGGATGAGCCCACGCCTTGAGGTGCTGCGTTACTACCCCGTCTCTGTCCCTATTGAGCCCCACTTAGTCCAGCGTCCAACCAGTCATACCTTCGCTATCATCATCATCATCGTCGTCATCTTCCTCTTCCTTCGCACTCTCACGTGCCGCTTCGGGCACCACAGCCTCGTACACCCGCGCCGTCTTGTTGCTCAAGCCTCGCCGAGCCGCCTTACCCTCACCCTCGCGCAGTCTGAGAGATAGCACTGCCTCCACAATGAAGCGCATCTTTCCGCTAGCCGCCAAGCTCTCAAGACTCTTCTCTGTATCCTCCTCGTCCTCTTTTGAGATCTCCGCCTGCACTGAGCGTTTGAGTCTGGCTACATCACTTGTCATGCCGGATACAGCTATAGCAGTCTCTGGACTACTGAATGAGCCAGCTCCGAGGCTGGTGATCGTCGATGTGGCCGAAGGTGATGGTGAGGTAGCCAGCGCCTGCTGTACAGAAACAGGCGCGGCGGTGCTGGTGTCACTGGACGTGCTAATGCCATTGCCAGCGGTCGCGGGCACACCTTCGGGGGTCTCGTCAATGTTGAGGGTCAGGCCCATGCCGAATGAGTCCTCTTCTTCCTCATCGTCTTCGTCCGAAAAGGAGCTGAGTTGGCTTCGGGACAGCGGGTGGGATCTACTGCCACCTTGGCCCGTCGAAGCAGTGCTAGCGCCATTTCGAGCTGGAATGTTCACGGCAGAGGACGGCGGAGGTGCAAATTCCGGACGATACGCAGAGTTGTTGTTCCTGCGATGACCCTCCGGATCTTGTCCCATGGCTCGCCGGCGTTCCTGCCGCTTGCGGCGGTTTGCAGATTTCCTACTAACTTGAGTCTCTCCACAGGGGGTCGCATCCGCCTCTGCAGCTGGTGTTGTAGGCGCAGGGGTTTGGACATCGCCTTCCACCGTGATCGATTCTGGGTAGTCAGAATTCGCCAGCGCGTCCTTGACTTCCTCGGGTGCCCAGCACTCAGCTAGATCTCTGACTTCCTTCACAGTCAGCCATTCGGCTACTTCTCTCACCCAAGCCTGCCTGACACTGTCATAGTGGGGGAGCTCGTCCTCAAACGTCAGGCCCGCATACCTCCACCACTTCACTCGCTCTTCCAGCGAAGCCGGTGAAGGATCTGACTCGGCGGAGGAGAGAGCAAAGAGCAGCCCTTCGCCTTCTCGCTCCCTCGCCTTGAGCTCTGCAAGACGACGCGCTCGGCGCTCCAATCGGGGACCGCGACTATATTGCGACTTGGTGGGAAGTTGCTTGGGGTGGTTCGCAGCCGAGTGTGACGGCGCTTTGGGCTCTTGAGGGTGAGGACTTGACGAACTCGCTTCCTGCGGCTGTTCCTCTTCCTTTACTTTCGTGTCAGAGAAGAGAAGCGCTTCAACTCTTTCCCTCTCTACCCGACCCCGTCTTCCGCTCTTCCTCTTGGTCTTCTTTGCTGCAGCATTGGGCCTGGTGTCAAGCGTGAAGCGGAGGACGCCTTCTACATCAAGTCCAGCCAGGTCGGTGAAGGGATGCTGCTGCTGGGTCGGAGGAGGTAAGAATTGTGGACTTGAGGTTCTTGGTTCGAAAGAATTGTCGATGGAAGCCGCATCAGGTGAAGACTGTTTCGGCGAGAGACCGAGGATACTACCCGAGGGCGGACTGCTCTTCGTGGGGCCATCGCAAGAGGGGTCCCGGGTCAAGTGCTTCTCTACAAGAGCTGGCAGGAGACCGCTGCTGGAAGCAGTCGCTGTGCGAGTCTGTGCTGCGATGACAGGAGAAGCTCTGCTCACAGTCGGAGAGAAGTCGGGTGTTCTGGCTTGCCAAGGGGAGTTGCTTATCGGCCGCGAAGGTCTCCTAGATTTGTCATTCACCTTTTGGGCTGGCGGCCGCACAGCGAGGTCCTCATCATCGCTGAGACTCAAGGAAAAGGCAAAACCGTCTTCATCCGACTTGTCTTCCTCTTCAAGAGGTGTCCCAGTGTCCGTGGCACCTCCACTACTGGTCGCGGCGCCGTCCGTCCCTGTAGCATACTCATCGCCCTCTGACTCGCTGTTGGTTATGCAAAAGTCCCAACTGGATGCGTGTTGGTCGTTATCACCGGTCCCCAAGACCTTGGCTGCCTCTTCATTGTCCAGGGCTCGTAGTCCGACGATATTGTCAAGACCTGCAGACTGGTTCTTCGACGAGGTACCAAGCTTGTGCCGATATGGAACAAGTTTGGGAGACTGGCCTGCTGCGGCTTCTTCTGAATCATTGGTCGGAGCGCTGCCCCTCTCGACCAAGATGCATCTTCTGACTTCGCAGTCTGCTCCCAGTGCCTGGCCCATCATCGCGAGCTGAGTCAAGCTGCCCCTCATCTCGTCCTGAGGCAAACCAATGAGGGTACCATCGTCCAACACGCCAATCTCGTAAACAGCGAGACCTCCCCCTTCAGCTAGACGCCACTTCAGCTGAGTCACCAAGCGGGAGAAGCGCGAGGGCGTGACGGGAAGGATGCGCAGCTTGTATTCGAGATTGCCTCGCTTATCAGGTTCTGGGTGTATCGGAGAGAAGGAGTGGGGCGAAAATGCCGAGGCGGAGGACAATGAGGAGCCTGTGCTACCCAGCATCGATGGAGAGGCGGCTGCGCCGGCTGTCGCTGCTGCTGCGAGTGAGGGCGATGACGATGTTGCTGCCCTCGTGCCGGAAGAAGAGAAGCGGCGGTCGAGCCAAGGTGAGGAAGATCTTTGGGTGAGAGGTGGCAGTAAGGTAGAGAAGCCGGTGTCAGCTAGAATGTCTTTTTGAACTACGTACTGTACATCTGGTCAGGGACTCACCGGTGCCCTGCCCTGCCATCGTCCGTAAGGGTCGCGCTTCTACTGAACCCTGCCATGAGCTCAATCGCGTCAGGGGAAGCAGACGAGGTGGTTCCAAGGTGCAGCCGCTCTGCCCTATGAGTGGTATTGGCTCAGATGGGTATCCTGATGAGCATCTCTTGAAAGCGTATATGCTGGTCTGCGATGGTCACAGTTGCTGCGTTGCGTAGGCCCAAGGGGATGATGATCGATGGTTGGGAAGCGTACTTGAGTGCGGGGGTGACTCGTGCGTGCCGGGGCTTCCGTACTTCCGCTTTGCAGCAGCGCGGGGAAGCCGAGGGCGCAAGGCGTGGAGGAGCAAAGACAGAAAGAAAGTATCAGAGCAACACCTCAAACCTTCGCATTGCACGCTACTCTACTCTGCCGATACTGGCCAATGATGGCTACGACGGCGGCGGCCACAGGTTCAACTCCTGACAGGAGCGGTACGAGTGTCACTACTGCCACTGCCGAGGCCAGCCCCCTGACAAGTCTCGATGAACGATCCGACTCCCTATCCACCCTCTCCTCTTCTCTCTCCGTCGTGCTGCAAATTGCAAGTACAGCACTTTATCGTCTTTCGTCTACGCAGCACATCCAGATCAATCCGGACATTCCCACTCATACACATCTGCATGCAGGAGGCACAGCTCAAGGTGCTGATGGGCTCATTGCCCCTGCGCAGATCAGGGAAGATGTAAAGGAGATGACAGAAGATTTGATGGAGAGGGTCAAGTGGATGAAGGATGAGATTGGCAGGTTGGAGGCAGAGAGAAAGGAAGCAGAGCATGTGAGTACACCAGAGAGGCAGGAGAAGATACAGCCGAGCTGTCGGGTTTGCTGACCCCTCCTCCTTCTGCTGGAATTCCCGCCTTGCTCAGGAAGAAGCTCTGATAGCCCTTGACAAGGAGCTCGTGGTAGTCAATGCCGAATACGTGGAAGCTCTGGCTGAAGCAGGTGAGTTATCTAGCGAGCTCCCCTGCACATCGCGTTCTTTCAGCTTTCTCTGACCCCAGTGTCACCCTCCTCTGCTCAGAGGAATTGCAAAAGGAGATTGACGCTCTACTGCTACAATGCTGCTCGTGAAGGAATCTGGCAAATATCATCCTGTATAGCCTGCTTCAATGTCTGGTTCATGCGACACCAGATGACCCTCGAGCCAGATGGGTCAAGGATACGCTGCCCCCGCAGTCAGAGGTCCACATCGCTGACTCTCTGCTTGACAGAAGACTGGCCCCGCCGGCCGACCTCTTGACCCATCGTGCAAGGCAACCAGATCACACTACGCCAAAGGCACACACAGCTGTGCGAAGGGCCGCTAAAGTCAGGTTGGGCGGCAGGCGAGCCAGTTGTCAAGGGATACAATTACATGAAGAGGAGTGATAGGGTAGGAAGGAAATTGCAGAGAGTCCCGGCCAGCATCAATCCATGTCGGACGCTGAGCAGGGGCCAAGCATAAAAATTGAGCAGCATCTCCGGGTCTTGGCTTCCCTCTAGGTTCCTCCAAAGACTGCCATGCCGACAGTTCCGAAGTGCTTCTTTGTCATCTGCTTGTCGTAGTGATGTCCCCTCATCTAGAAGAATTTCGAGAACATGTTCTTGACAAATTCTCTCGCGTATGGGATGTATGACAGACCTGAGTGGGAGAAGCGAACAGTCAGGGATCGAGCTATGCGAAATGAGATGGCCCTTTGCAGGTTCCAACTCACTGTACCAGATGTATGCCAGATATAGTACGACGACAAAGACGATTGCCATTGGCTGATGGCGACAAGGAGGGTGTGTGGTCTTGAGGTCAGTACGCAATGGACTTCTCTGCTCTCCCTTCCCCTCCCCACCCTCTCTACTCACTGCGCTATCCACTGCAAATGCCGCGACCCAAACCAGAACGAAGCTGACCAGGAGTACAATGGTGGCCACCACTCTCACTGGGTTGAACATCTGTCTGAATTGTTTCATGAATCCAATCAGGAATCCAGTGCCCACGAGGGAAAGGACGACGCCGATGGAATAGAAGATGGCAAAGAGGGCGGTGTTGAGGAAGAGGAGAAAGGCGCCTGCGAGGGACAGAGCCAGACCTCCCACGAGACTGGTGAAATGGGGGACATAGCGGACACATTGGATGATGACAATGTGTTAGCAGAGCTCACGGTATTCCATCATCATGGTATGAGCCATCCCGCCGCTGCCTTGCTCCTTCTCCTCCTCTCCGCCTTGGGCATCTCCAACTCACCATCCAGCAAATCCAATCAACCTCTGTCTCCTAGTCAGATCAAACCCCCACTCCTTGAACTGTGAGTTCTCCCCGGTCAGCTCGCCATAGGAATTCTTGATCTGACCGGGAACCTCGAGGTTGAGCCAGGCGCCCGCACCGCCTCTGCCGCCTCCGGGCAGTCCGCCGGAGGAGGAGGAGGTGGGCGCTTCGTTGGACGAGGTGAAGGGCCAGGGCATGTGAGTAGGGTGTGCAGTGCGGCAAAGGGAGGAGCGTATATGCGGCGGTAGCTACGAGGTGAGCGCAGAGGTCGTCGTCGTCGTAATGGTGAGGAGGCTGAGTGGATGGTCGTAGCTCTTTTGCACTGCTTGCCTGGTTGCCTTGAGCGTCTGTGTCCGACTGTAGAGGCTGCAAGCAACACTCTCCTCTGCGCCAGGCGCGACTTTTGCTGAGTGCAGCCAAGCCAAGCCAGGCCCAACTGAATGCGTGCGTGCATTTTCTCATCTGTGGCCTCTGAGCAACTCTCCACTCGAGGAGCGGAAAGAGAAATCTTGCACTGGCACCGACGGAAGATCCCAGCCATCGCTTCATCATCCTCGTCCGTCGTCCATCGTTCATCGTCCGTCGTTCGCATACAATCTCCTCTGCTCGCCCTCTTCCACAGCATGGCATCCACATCCTCCTCTTCCTCCGCAGCATCAACCTCCTACGTCCTCCCCGGGCAGCCACTCCCACCTCCACCCTCGAGCACAGCAGCCACCACCTCTTCCACTGGCGTCTACTCGCGCGGCGAATACCTCCTCTCCTCTCTGCTCGGTCAGCCCTCCTACCTCAAACCAGCATCTGCGAAGAGCAGCAAGAGCTACACCAGGCAAGGAAGCGGGACTGTCACCAATGGGGCTGCTGCGCTACAGGCAAGGGTCGATACACCACTAGCGCCGCACCTCCGCTTACCAGAGCCAGACTCGGTCGTGCTGGGCAGAGTGACACGGATCACCAGTCGGCAGGCCACTTGCTCCATTCTCCTCGTCTTGCCCTCTACTTCGTCCAATTCATCAAGTACTCCAGCACCCACATCCGCAGCGCAAGCCGGCTCCACGACGCGCCTCTCGCAGACGCTCGCCTCTGGTCGCGCAAACCATGCAGCTGGGGAAGACCCTGCAGGTTTGGACTTTAGCGGGGTGATTCGCTCTCAGGATGTCCGTCTTACAGAGACGGACAAGGTCAAGATGGGAGAGTGCTTCCGTGTGGGAGATCTAGTGCGGGCAAGAGTGGTGAGTAGTAGCGTGGAGTAGAGGAGGTGCCAGGGGGGGAGAGAGAGAAGCTGTACTGACCGTCTCCCTCTTCATCTGCGCTGCACCCCGCTCCACCAGATCTCCCTTGGCGACTCGCGCTCTTACTATCTCAGCACAGCATCCAATGAGCTCGGTGTACTCTTCGCCACAGTCTCTACACCAGCCGACGTCCTGCCTTCCTCGAGCAACAGCGCACTGTTGCCCAGTCGTCTATCAAACCCTGTTTCGGCCTCTGGAGAGTCTCAACAGACAGGCACAGCAGCCACAGCAGCAGGTGCAGGCGTCGTGGGAGTGGAAGGGGCACTACGTCCGCTCAATTGGCAAGAGATGGTGCATCCTGCTACGGGCACGAGGGAAAAGAGAAAGGTGGCCAAGCCCGATGGGGTCTGAGCGACAAAGGCGGGAGGGGAGGGGAGGGGAGGGGAGGGGAGAATAGCGGACATCTTGCAGATGCAGATGGGCGAATGTACAGAAGCAAATGCCATCGTCATTGTCTCGAAACCACCGCCATGGACACTATGAGCGCAGCCTATCACAAAACCTCTCACGTATGCTCTGCAGACCATCCTCCCCTCGCCGTCAGCGCTCCATCTGACCGCCCCTCCTTCCCGCACTCAAAGCTTTGCCCTATCAGGCACAGGAGCCGGCGCACCACTTCCATAATCCAAATGAGCCTCTGCATTACCTTCCCTCTGCCAATTTCCATCTACTCCACCAGGAGGAGCCTTTAGGGATTCATTTGCACTGGGCGTAGGTGCGGGGGGAACACCAAATAGACGGGAACGCTCTTGGTTGAGAAGAGTGGCGATGCGAAGGGCGCGGTCGATGTCGCCCTTGAGCTTGATCTGGAGGGGTAAGGGGGTAAGTGGGGGAGTGGAGGGAGGTCAGGACACCGCATCTCTTTTGGATTCGCTGCGTCGCTACTCACCCTGCCGACGTTGTACAGCTTCTGGGGGTGCTGTTGTCCCTGTGCCATGTGCAGTAAGTCTCGATCGGCTATCAACGAAGGGGGAATAAGATGGGTGACGTTTAAATCATCAGCTTCTCCCCTCGCTTCGCTTGACTTTCCCTTGAGCTGTATGCTCCGTTCAACTCACTACACTCAATGACCACATCTGCCCTCTTCCTAACTCCCAAGATCCCCTTTGGCGGATGTCCCTTTGCGATCCCAGCCGTCCTCTTGAGGTCCACGTACCACAAAGCAGGCCTCAGAGCACCTCCACTACTCTTCTTCGTCGGCCTAGTTCGAGGATTAGACTCATCGATGGGTTCCGTAGGTAGGACCACAAATTGGAAAACGGTATTGACGTTGCGGAGGAGAGTTTTGCGGGTGACTCCTGCGGGGGGAGAACGGATCCATTTATCCAGGAGGGCAAAGACGCGAGAGGACTCGAAGCCGGGACAGTTCAGGTCCGGGTTGGCTGCGAGGGCCTCTTCGGCTTCGCTGCGCATGCGCTGGCGCTCCTTGGAGATGGGCTGGGCGGCTGAAGAGGAAGAGGAAGAGGAGGACATGGTGGTGGTGGTGGTGGTGGTAGTGGTGGTGGTGGTGGTAGTAGTGGTGGTGGTGAGTGGCCTTGAATGTGGAGCGCAAGAGTGTCTTGATGGGTGGGTGGCTAGTGCAAGTAGATCCACTTTGTCTCTCGGCGAGTGGCTGGATAAGCTGTCAAGTCTCCTTGCTATACCGCTTGCAATGGTCAAGAACAATGGAGGAATCAGTTCTAGTAAAGGTAGGAATGAGTGATTGATTGGTAAACTCAACTAGAGTAACGCTGCGCCCCCCCCGCACCCGCACCCGCACCCGCTCCCCTTGCCGGCGTGCGGATGTGGGTGGGTGGAGATTTCCTCAGAGGTGCGGTCCGGGCAGAGGAGCAGAGGAACGGGGGCGCCTGCCTTGCCTGCCTGCCATCCATCCAAAGCGGGGTAAGGACGAGGGGGCGCGGCTCAGGGCGGGCAGGCAGGCAGGCAGGCAGGCAGGCAGGCAGGCGGAAGGGCCTGGCGCGGCGCAGAGGGGAGGCGAGGGACACGGCCTTGGACCGGGATGAGGCGCGTGAGAGAGGGACACGGCCACTGGCAGGGATGGGCATTGGCAGAGGCACGCAAGCAAAGGAGCTAGTGGGGTCAGCTAGTGGGGACCTGGACGAAGAACAGACATGCGACGTGAGTCTTACGAATGGGGAAAGGAAACCTGACATGGCTTCTGATTGAGCAAATGAGTGAGTGAGTGAGTGGATGAGTACCTGTACAGATGGCCAGATGAAGGGAGGGATAGATGGACAGAGGAAAGAATGTGCGAGATCGAGGACTTCGATAGAGCAATTGTGACTGGTTGCAACCCAGAACCCCCAAAGACGTAGAGGATGCGCAGAAGCAGTGGAAAGAGGGGAGCAAAGGAAGAGACGAGCAATCTAGTATGGCCAACCCGAGCGCATCGGCGACGGTCGTGCCAGTCCGCTCCTCCTTTCTTCCTTCTCTCCCAGAGAGGACTACCCGTTTCGACCTCATCTCTGAGCCTGCACGGCTGCCTCCTTCTCCCTATTCTCCTTCCTCCGCTCCGCCTTCCTCACCAGCGCCTGTTCCACCCAAGCCTTCATATCCACTCCCTCTGCTCCCCTCTCCTCGTCATTCACCAACCAAGGGTGCTGCAGCATCTGACTGTACGTAACTCTCCGCTCAGGAACCTTTTCCAGACAGCCAGCGACAAAGTCTTGCGCAACGTCCGAATAGTCGTCTGGCAGGCGTGGAGGATCGCCATGCACAATCGCTTGCAGTTGAGCAAAGACGTTCGAGTACGTCTCGGGAGGGTAAGGGTAGACGCCCATTGTGCACTCCACAATGGTCAGACCAAGAGACCAGACGTCGGAGGCCACCGTGTACGTCGAGGGCATCGACAGGGACTCGCCCTTGATTCGCTCTGGAGCCATGTAGCTCTGGCAACCAATGTTCGTCTTTGCTAACGACTTTTCCAGCTGACCACTGACGCCAAAGTCGCACAGCTTCACCTCGCCCTTGCGATTCACGAGAATATTTGTAGGCTTGACGTCTCGGTGCATGATCTGCAGGTGCTCCTTGAGGAAGTTCAAACCCTTGACCGTCTGATGCACCATTCGTGCCAAGACATCTTCCGGCACAGACGAGGGTCCATCGTAGAGATTCTCCAGAGACCCAGCATCCATAAACTCGATGCAGTAAAAGACGCACGATTCCACAAAGAAGGCTCCGTAGAATTCCACAATCTCCGGAGCGACGGCTCGATGTAGAATGTCCAGCTCCATGATGATGGCGTTGAGCTTGGCCGCGTCTAGCTCGAGCCGAATCTCCTTCATTGCCATCTCCACGCCCGTCTTGGTGTGCTTGACTTTCCGCACTTCACCGTAGGCGCCCTTGCCGAGCACATCTTGTAGCTCGAGGTCGTCCATGTTGATCTTGAACGAGGTGCCGTTGCCAAAGTCAACTCCCTTGGCGTGCACAACGGCCTTGCCAGCAAAGTTGAGGGCACCAGAGGGGTCTCTGCAGGGTAGGGGGTGGAACACGAGGGGTCAGCGTCCTTGTCCAAAGCTCAGGGAATACCCTCATCCACCAAGCCTGACTCACAAGACGTCTGCAAAGTCTGCAAAGGCAGAAGCCATCGACCCTCCCTTTGGAGCATTTGCCAGTCGTCCCGGAGGAGCTGCTCTGACAGTCCCACCAGCTGACCGCATCGCCGCCTCGCCATCCGCTGCCGCCGATGAAGACGGTCCCGACTGGAGCGGTGGGATGCCCATGTCAGACAACTTCATACCAGGCTTGGGTCTCCTTCCCGCAAGACCTCCGCCGGGGGGACCACTACCGTTTGCACCAGGAAAGCCGGGCATTGCGCCTCCTGGAAATCCTCCTGCCCTACGAGCGGCCAGACCATTCATGCCTGGTCCAGTGGAAGGTGGAAATGCTCCACCGCCGATGCTGGGTGCACCACTGGGTCCACCTCGAGCTAGCAACGAGGAGGGATCTATTCTTTGATTCGACTTGAGATAGCTGGGCAGTTCCTTGGGGGCCGAGGGAGTAGAGGATGAGGATCGAGCCGCATTCTATGGTAAAGGGTTACAGCGAGCAATGAACGGTCAGCTTCGCCGGCCCTGGTTCTCTGTGCGAGCCATCAACTCCTCTACTCACAGCAGCAAGCTTTGCCTGTAGACTAGGAGGTAGCTTCGTTCCCGCCATTTGCCGAGCCCTTTCCTGTGCATTCATCGGTCCACCACTTCCTCCCGGTGGTCCTCCTCCAGGCCGAGAAGGCGGCCCACCTCCTCCGACTGATCTCATCGGCGGTCCTCCAGATGCGGTAGAAGAGGATGGGCCTTGAGCCGATGTAGGGCCTGACGGCCGGGGTGGTCCGCCAGTCGCCGCACGAGAGACGGGGGAAGGGGGTGTGGGATTGTCCTGGTTGCCGCTGAGTGACATCGAGGACAGCGACGAGGCGGCCTCATCGGCAGCAGAGGTAGATGCGGAAGCCGTATCGGTCGTCATCTTGAAAGGGGACCTTCACTCGCGATTGTCGAGTGAGGCGTGGAGACGGAAGGGTATGCCGAGGGGAAAGTCTATCTAGACTGAATCCCGACAGGTGCTGATAGGGATGCTTCGGTAGCGTAGTCGATTGCGTCTCGATAAGATGTACGTGAGAGGGATGAGGATTGCCGGGACAAAGGCAGAGGTCGAGGCGTGAAGGAATGGGTAAGTCTCTATGCAGATTCTTCCCAGAAGATGAAGACGAGTGGGGGAGGGCCAAGTCCGGAAGGGGAAGATAATCGAGTGACCGGAAGGTGCTGAAGAAGGCACTGCACAAGAAAGTGTGTGTGTGTGATGGCAGAGGTAGGATGGAGATCAAAGGGCTTATGCCTCGAGATGGTCGTGGTACGCAGAGGCAGAGGGGAGGGGAGAAGGGTAGGATCGGCAGCGGCAACACGAGGTGAGACGGCAGTGGCAGTCGATCCATTTTGAATTTGTCACTGTTGCTCTCCAGGCGGGATGCAGCCATCCTCGGCCGCCAGCCACGCCAGCCAAGAAGAGGCGCGCGGCATCTGCACACCGCCCAACCTGACACCCACACCCACCACGGCCTTTGCCTGCACCCCACAAGATACTCGTAGGAAGACTGAGACAGGCAGACACATGATCGTAGATAAGCCGCGCCACATGCACGTACTTCAGATCATTGCAGACGTACAGACTACTGTGAACCACCGCGTCGTGGTTTCAACCATCACCTGTTGCGCTCCTCTTCTGCCACTTTGAGTGCCCACTGCTCCACCACCCTCCTGAGCATCTCCTGCCAGTCCCCCTCTTGCCTCACGACCTTGACAGCGTCGAACATGAGAGGATGATCTGAAAGAACATTTCCATCCAGGTTTGAGTGTTGCTGTGAAGCACCGTCTTTGACACGTCCACTCTTGATGCCGTAGCGCAGGGCAATGGCCACGGTGAACTTGTTGAGATTCTCCACCCGGCGAAAGGTCCAGCCAGGCTTACGATGTATGTCGCCCAACGAGCTCGTCGTGCTGTCCATCTCTTCGCCGATCTCACTGGGCGTGTGGCGGCCCGTAGAGCTCGTGTGCGACGCATTGACACTGCGGGAACGACTGGGGATGCAGTGATCCTCGTCTGCCCTAACATCGTGTATCGACCCAGAGGGTATAAAGCCCCACGGCTTGCTGGAGCGGCGTAGGGCAGCATTGAAGGCGTGACAGAGCAGTTGACCATCCGAGAGAGCCATCAAGAGCCCTTCGTGTGTTGCTTCTGCGAGCTGGTCACTCTCCACTGTCGGTCGCAATTCGGGATAGACGCCCGGCAGCACATCACAGAGGAGTGCACGCGCTCGTCCTGAGAGGAGCAGGAAGACAACAGTTGTTCAACCAGCAGTACGGTGATGGCAGCTGCTCATTATGATCAGAACTCACCCAAATTGTCCTCGTCGTAAGCTGTGCGAGCCCACTTCGGTAGATTGTCGTTTCCCTCACTGCCGTCAGAAACGTGATCGTCGTCGCCTTTGGGCGCGTACCCGAAAAGATTCGGGTGACCCTCAACCCCGAGGTGCAAGCCCTTCATTTCAGACACTTCAGTCGCACCGCTGTATGATGCCGCTCTCTGTCCTCGCTCCCGCTTTCGAGACTCATAGGGCAGCCGATCCAGAATCGCCTCGACCTCGACTACGTAGGTGCGCACCACTTCTCGCTCCTTGGTCAGAGCAGCTAGACTGACGTCTGTACGGTACTGAGCAATTTTGGCCCCTTCTCCTGGACTGTGGCCCTTCTCATCGCCCGTTGCACCAGCAGCAGCATCTGAAACACGGTTTCTGTCCTCCAGCTGTTTGAGCATCCCCAGCACTTCAAGCCCGACTGCCCTAATCAGGACCAGAGGATCAGCTGCGGAGGCATTGCTGGTGCCTTCCTCGTCGTCGGAACTCGCAGGTGAGGCGGAACGGTCAGAACGGAAGTCCATTGTGCTCGCTCTGCCAGACGCAGAATGTGCCATGGCTTCGGTGGCGGCAAAGATGCTTTTGATATCTCGGGCCAAATTGCGAGATGCGACGTCTTCACCCCTGCCCGTCTCGGTAGGGGCATAGCTCATCCTCCTCACTGTCTGAAAAGGCAAGAAGCTGCTGGGTGCGCGACTGCTGCTGCGCCTGCCTGATGGTGAGTTCTCAGCGCCAGGGGCTGCGAAGCCACTGCTGAGAAGGACGGTAGACGCTCGTCGGGTGAGAATGTGGCTCATGGACTGTCGCTTGAAGTTGTCCCTGGGCTTGGGCTGTGCTCCTTCCTGGCAGAAAGATTGCTGTCTCCTGAGTCGGGAGAAAGCCGACCTGCTCTTCTGACGTGAAGGTGAAACAAGACTCTGCGGAGGCAGGGCGAGGAAGTAGCTACGGACAGCGCGGACGGTCTTGATGCTAGTCGCTACCAGCTCCGCAATGTCGAGACCAGCTGCCAATTTGGAGGCGGTGACTGGGTCTGTCAGAAGCCACTGCTGACGACTGGGGGAGGGCGAAAAAGTGTGAGTGGACAGGTGACGACAACTTCCCGATCGCAGTCGTAGAACGGTACTCACGTCACCTCTAGACACGCAGTCATCACTTTCCTGAGGCCCTCCAAATCTGCTTCTACAGGTCTAGCGACATCAGGGAACAGCTTGCCCTTCCACGTAGAGCGAGGAGCCTCTTCCACAATATTTGATTCAGCGCCTCTCTGAGATTGGTTCACTACTCTGGACTGCTCGCCAATGTTTGAGGAGCCTTGTTGATGGCCCGAGTCTATGGTGCATGGAGGAGGTAAGGACCCACCTCTTGCAGCGGCGGCAGCAGGTCCTAACGCCAATCTCCCGCCTTTGGTAGCCATTGGCGGGCTAGGCGCTGCCCTATTGGTATAAAACCCCAAAGAGAGTAAAGCTATCAGCCTCACTTCTCCTCTTGTGTCTATCTGCTCTCCCCCCGCCCACCCTGACTCACAACCCCTGCCTAGCGTAAAACTTTTGAAAACCAGCGATACTGCCCAGTGCCATGACCGACTCTCTCTTGGCAGCACTATGGCTAAAGGGCTTCTGGTTCGTCTTGCTCTGGAAGTCGGGTGATGGGTAGGAGAGGATGGTGCGCGCGGGATGGCCGGAGGGTTCGCCTTGCGACGTTTCTGACAGAGAGGTAGGACTAAGGTCGTCGATGTCTGGAGGCGCTGAGCTTGATCGGTCGGTGGCTGCTCGTGAGAGTGAGACTGTTAGGCGCTGCGCTTGCGAGTGAGGTAGCGTAGACGGTCCGTCAGTGGCCCCTGGGTCGAGAGCGTCGTCCATACTGTCTCCCTTGTCGACGCTCAGTCCCCGTAGAGGATGTGGACAAGGGTGGAAGGGTAATCAGATGGGCTGATCTACATACGTTGGTATGACCTTCATGATGGAAGCGACGTGGAAGGTGGCATGCTACACGACGAGGTCAAGGGTCATGTGCTTGATGAATTACTCTTGCATTTCCAGGCACCAACGGCAGTCAGGGCTGGACAGGAGGCAGGCCTATGCTGCCCCTGCGCCGGGGCCCCTTGGCCCTTTGCCAGTGGTTGCGCCTGGCTGCACACGTCGCCATTTCATCAGTAGCCGGGACGCACGCTCGGTTCGCCTTGAGTCGATGCAGGTCGTGCATGGCAGGGCAGGGCAGAGCAGGGGATCAAGGCTTCCCTCATCGATATCAAAGGACACAGGCAGAACAGAAGCAGACGGAGCTCGCAATGTATTCTCTAGACTCAGCGACTGATAGCTAGCTACAAGCACACCTCCCACTTACACCTTGACCAGCCTCAACTTGAGAACAACGTCATTGATCTCCGTCTCCTCCTCCAGCTCCGCCTTCCTCTGATCCACCTCGACCTCTTCTCTGGGTCGCCTCCTGAGACTCTTCTCAAGATAATCGCCATACTCGGTCCAAGCACTCCTCAGCGCCTCGACATTCTCACCCGCAGACGTCTCGAAGCTGTACAGCGCATCGACGGCGTCCGTGGCGATGAAGCCGGCACGCTTCCTAGCGCGATTGATGCGGTTGACCAGTTCTCGAGCGAGACCTTCGGCCTGCAGATTGGGTCGCACCAGAGTGTCCAACAGGATAATCGCCTTGCCGTCCGTGTTGGACTGCCAGGTGACGGCCTCGTCGCTCGCTCGATGCTTCGTCGCAGCCTCAATGTCCACATCCCTCACGACCCTCAAATCACCCTCGCCCAATTCAATACCCTCGATGACAATCCTGCCCGTCTCGAGGTACTGCTTTGCCTCTGCACTCGACACCTTCTCCAGACCCTTCTTGACTTTACCCAAGTCCTTGCGCAGCTTCTTGCCCAAGACGGGCCAGTCGGCCAGGAGAGCGTACCTCACTCCACAGGCCTCCTCGTCTTGGCTCAAGCTTAGATCTCGCACGTTTAGCTCCTCGGTAATGTAAGAAGAGAGAGCATTGACATCGTCTAGGTACTGGCGGTCAGAGTGGAAGACGACGAGTTCCTTCAGCGGCACTCGGATAGGCAGCGTGTTCTTCTCGCGCACGTTGCGGGTCAATTCGATGATCGTCTGCAGAGCAGCAAATTGGCGCTGGATGACGGGATCCAGGTACTCCTGCTTGACATCGGGGAAGGGCAGGAAGTGGATCGAGCGAGTGTCTTGCTTCGCCTCCGAGTTGGGTGGGATGAACGTCTGCAGACCCTGGTAGAGATTCTCGGTGAAAAAGGGCGTGAAAGAAGACATGGTCCTGCAAAGTGTGTAGAGGGCCTCGAAGAGGGAGTTGAGGGCCGAGAGCGTGTCCTCGACACCTCCCTCTCCCTTCAGCCTCTTGCGGTTGAAACGAATGTACCAGTTGGTCAGCTCATCGACCAAGCCCGTCAGCCGAGGCATAACGGTGTACAGACGGTAGGCATCCATCTCCTGCCTGACGAACTCGATGAGGCCCTGGCAGCGCGCAAGGATCCAGCGGTCCATGACATTCTCACTCTTCTTGGCATGCTCTTGGTAGACGAACTTGACCCCTTGATCCTTCTCGAGCATCTGCACCGAGCCTAGGAAGAAGCGGAAAGAGTTCAACCATGGGATGAACACTTGGGCCAGCGTCTCCTTGACACCTTCCTCCTTGAACCTCAGTGTCTCAGCCCGCACGACGGGAGAATTGACAAGATACAGCCTGACTGCATCGGCTCCGTATTTGTCAAACACGAGCGTAGGATCGGGGTAGTTTTTGAGACTCTTGGACATCTTCTTGCCGTCACCTGCCAGGATCATACCAGAGACGATCAAATTCTTCCAGGGAGCCGTGTCGAAGAGATGAGTCGCAAGAATCAGTAGAGTGTAGAACCATCCTCGAGTCTGATCGAGGCCTTCAGAGACGAAGTCGGCAGGGAACGAGGCCTCAAAGTGCTCTTTGTTCTCGAAAGGATAGTGAGCCTGTGCATAGGGCATCGATCCTGATTCGAACCAACAGTCGAAGACCTCTTCCACGCGCTTCAATTGTCCCTTGCCCTTCTTGGAGGGGATGGTGATGTGGTCGATGGACTCTCGGTGGAGATCCGTGATTTCCTTCTCGCCGGAAAGCTCCTTGAGCTCGGCCACCGATGATACGCACACAATCTCCTCCCAGTCTTCACTGACCCAGAGCGGCAAAGGAGTGCCCCAGTACCTGTTTCGGCTGACGTTCCAATCACGAGCATTGGCGATCCAGTTGCCAAATCGACCTTCTCCAATGGCTGAAGGGACCCACCTCGTTTGCTGGTTATTAGCTGTCAGCTTCGAAGTGATGGGCTCCACGCGCACAAAGATGGACGGGATGGTCTTGTAGATGAGAGGTGTTCCCGATCGCCAACAGTGTGGGTACGAGTGGGTGAGAGTGCTCTGCACGATGAGACGGCCCATCTCCTTGAGCTTCTTCTGAATAGGCTTGTCAGCTTCCTTCACGTGCTGGCCCTTGTACTCAGGCACCTCATCGGTGAACTTGCCAGACTCGTCGATGGGGCAAGGAGGGGCTTCATCTCGACCAACGATTCCGTTTGCGATGGCGACTCGGTGATCGTCGTCACCGAAAGCTGGCGCTTGGTGAACGATACCTGTTCCCGAGTCTGAGGTGACGTAGGTGTCGTTGAGAACCCGGAAAGCCTTGTCCCCATATTCCTTGACAAAGTAGTCGAAGAGAGGCTCGTACTTCCAGCCCTTGAGCTGAGATCCCTTCTTCGAGTCTAGCTGTGTCCACTTGGCCTTCTTGGAGTCTTTGTACAGAGTGGTGAGGAGCTTCTCGTGGAGCCAGTAGAGGTTACCGGATGCTTCATCCTTGATTTTAATGTATGTGAAATCGGGGTGAACACAGAGTCCGAGATTAGAGGGAAGCGTCCAGGGTGTAGTCGTCCATGCAAGAAGAGATGCTCCTGTCTCTTCCGAAGGAGATGTGACCGGGAAGCTGACTGTAATGGCTGGATCGGGCACATCTCTGTAATCCTGACCGGCCTCAAAGTTGCTGAGGGGCGTAGTGCAGCCGGTCGAGTAAGGCATGACCCTCATGCCCCGATACACTAGGTCCTTCTTGTAGAGCTGACCAAAGACCCACCAGACGGTCTCCATGAAGGAGATGTCCATGGTCTTGTATCCACCATCGAAGTCGATCCACCTACCCATCCTCTCTACGGTGGCCTTCCATTCTTCTGAATATCTCATGACGATGGCCCGGCATTCAGCATTGTACTTTGCAATGCCCATATCCATGACGTCTTGCTTGCCGGTGATGCCAAGCTTCTTGTCAATCTCATGCTCCACTGGCAGACCGTGGCAGTCCCAGCCAAACCTTCGGTCAACATAGTGGCCTGTGGCATGTGCGTGGCGGGTGACCACATCCTTGATGGTACCGGCGAGGAGATGTCCGTAATGAGGCAATCCGGTCGCAAAAGGGGGTCCATCGTAGAATGAGAAGGGCTTACGCTTCTCGTCTCTCGACTGCTTCAGTGAAGTCTTGAAGGCGTCGGTGTCACGCCAGTATTGAAGTACCTTCTTCTCTTCTTCGGGGAAGGAGAAGTGGGCGGTGAGGTTGTGTGATGGGAAGGCGGCGCTGGCGCTGGGTGCGGCAGCGTCCGTGGCCCCGGTGACTGTTCCGTCGCTGTTCGTCGTCGCCATTGTGAGACGATGAGCAGCAGATGAGCAGCGGTATGAGGCGAGGCGTATTTGAAGGTGTGATGGCTCAAGTAGGAAGATGAGAAGAACAGGAGTCTCTCACTGCACAGACGACCTTCGAGTCAAAAATGACTCGGAGCGGAGCGGAGCCGATGGCCCGATCCGCCGCTCCTTCCGCTCAGTGGGCCCAGGGTTCAGACAGTGACGGTCATCCTTCCACTCCTGCCTCTTCAACGCCTTGACTCGACTTGTACATTCTCGGCCTTAGCATCCCCTCATCATGTCATCTCAAGCAGGTCCGTCATCATCGTCATCCCCCCCGCCGGCTCCCGCTGTGCAAAAGTCCAAACACAAGCTAACGCCGGCGGAGCAGCAAGCTCTAGCCCTTGAGAAGCTTCTGGCCAATCCCGACCGGGAAATCAGACTGCCTTCCGGGCCCAAGGAGAAGACCCTCAGAGCGCCGAGGGAGATGATGAAGAATGTTTCTGGGTCTAGCGCAGGAGCAGGTAGTGGAGAGTTCCATGTATACAAGCATGCAAGAAGGAGGGAGTATGAGAGGATCAAGCTGCTGGAGGAGAAGGCTGCCAAGGTGAGTGGTGATGTTCAGTGCGCAGGTAGAACACGCGGAATGTGGAATAGAGTACGGCAATGATCTACACAGTTTTCAATTGCTAAGCATCCTCTCCTCGTCGTCCCCGTCATCCCTCTGACCCCGCAGGAAAAGTCGTCTTCGGCCTTCCTCATCTCTCAAGCTCAACAAGCAGCGACCGACGAAGCCAAGACGAACAAGAATCGAGCAAAACGGGACAAGAAGAAGTTGGCTCGAGAGAAGGCCAAGCTGCAATCGGCGGAGGCCAACGGCAAAAGTACAGGAGCCGACGCGAAGCGGAAGCGGGCGGAAGACCAGGGCGAGGCTGGCAAGGATGGAGAAGAGAAGAAGCTGAAAGCAGCCCCTGGCGCCGAGGGCTTCACATTTCGACCGAGAGAAGAAGAGGAGAGTGAAGGCGAGGAGGAAGAGGAAAGCTGAAATCTCCGAAGGCCTTGCCGGCTCAGGTAGAGGGAGGGTCAAAGTAGTCGTCACTTGCCCGCTCATGACCAACCCTTGTCACCTTGAGAGTCCAATCTCGCTCCACCTATCTATTATACCCGTCGCAGCAAAGCCCATGTGTGTGAGATGTCCTCGTATGCCGGCTCTTGTACGATCTTCTTCCTCGTCTCGTCGGCGATGCGGAAGCGTGGTTTGCGCCCCGTGCGCCGCTGGAAGAAGTTGAGCTGCGTTGGACTCGAGTCGCCTCCTTGTCCTCCTGACGGCTACGTGTCATATACTCATTCTCACCATACACCTCACTTCCTGGGCAATCGGGCAGGCTTTCTGAGTCATGCTGCGTCTTCTGCGGCGCTCGTTAGCCGCACTCGCTCTGCCTCTGGCATTCCTGGGGACTGCCGCCTTTGCAGCATCTCCAGACTCCAGCTCCTCCTCTCCGCCTGTGAACATTCGCCTCCGAGCACCATGGCAGTCTCCGCCTCTGCTGCTCGAGATCCTCGAGGCAGTCCATACAGAAGACGCAGCTGCATTTCACCCTTTCCTCGTCGAGCTCACGACGAATGAAGCATATCATGCTGCACTCGCTGGCGGCTCTGCCAAGGATGTCTACGAGGCAGCACAGACCGCCCTTGACTCTCTAGGCCTCCTGAAGGATGAGGGAGCTCGGCAGAACTGGAAGATGAGCTTAGCACTCCACTCTGAGTCTGCAAAGGTCGCAGCCTTCTTTCAGCTAGCGGAGACGTCTGGCTCGGAAGACAGATGGGCAAGCAGAGGGGGAGCAGAAGGGGACGAAATTAGGAGCAAGTGCGACAGCTGGGTAGACTGGTATGGCGAGGTCGTCTGCACAGCCGAAGAGCTGAAAGTGTCACTGAAGAGCTCTGCTGATCGAATTGAGATTCAGAAGGTGGCGACCTACCCATTCGATCACGTGGTGCAGTCAAGGGAAGCTGCAGCGACTATTCCCACCGCTGTGCTGTACGGCAATCCCATCAGCAGCAACTTCGATCAGCTCCACCGGATACTGCGCAACGCGGTGACTGAGCAAGCGCCCTTTAGATACGTCATTCGATGGAAGCCGCCTCATCCTGCTGAAAGAGCTGCAGCACCAGCGCTCACAAGTGGCTACCTAGCCGGCTACGGTGGGGCGCTCGATCTTAAAAAGGTGGACTACTTAGTGATCGATGACAGGAAGCTCAAACATGCCAGCGGCGCACCTTCGTTGGAAGGCTCCGCTCGGGATGCGAGCAGCCAAAAGCAGCTGGAAGACCGCGAATGGCTACAGAAGCAGCTGTTGGTCAATATCAGCAGAGTAGCGAACACGTCGTCATTGTCTCCCGAGGAGATCGACTATCTAGGCCTGCAGGCGGCTCAAGTCGTCCTGGCCTCGTCGGACCCGCTCAGAGCTCTTGAGCAGCTCACTCACGACTTTCCTCTACATGTGCAGGATCTAGCCAGAGGAGGCGTTACGCTACCACAAGATCTAGATGCAGAGTTCAGTTACTTGACCTCTAGGGTCTTCCGTCCTGGTGCGAGCGACTTTTGGGTCAACGGCCGACCCATCACCGAGAGCGAGGTACCTCCTCAGAGCCTCGTCAAGCTACTCCGTTCAGAGAGGGAGCTGGTGGATTCACTGATGTCTGGGCCCTTGCGCCTTACTCCGGAAGAGGCTGTGACGATCCTGTCCAATCAGACGACTGGCAAAGCCCAGGCACCCGGAGCCGAGCGCAAAAGCTTGTTCGACTCCAGTGATCGCATCGAGCGGCGTGAGCTACTGCAACAAGCCAAGGCTCGAGGCGACGCAGATCTTCAGACGATCGATGACGTTCGCGATGGTCCAATCACCTGGTGGAACGACGTGGAAAAAGACAGCGAGTTTCGTCCCTACTCTCCTTCGTTGAGGACTCTGCTTAGGCAGGTCATGCCGGGACAATTTCCCCAGATCCGGAGGAACGTCTTCAACATCATCTGGGTCTTCGACTTGAGAAGCAAGAGGGCCAATCGCTTCTTGACGGATCATCTGTGCCCTCTGATCGGAACGGCTCGTATTCCACTACACTGGGGCTTCGTTCCTGGAGGACTGGAGGAGGGTCCTGAAAGTGATGGTGAGTCGCAGACAATTTGACACCAAAGTGCGACTCACCTGTCTAGGCCGTACTGACCCTGCTTGACTCCCTACAGCGACGGGCATCGCTCGACTGTATTGGCATCTCTTTGAGCGTTTCGGCATCAAGGGAGGCTGTCGGTACTTCGAAGCACTCGCTGGGCCTCCAAAGCCGCCCAAGAAGCCACAGAATCCGTACGAAGATGAAGTCCTCGAAGAAGAGGAGCCAGATGTTTTTGTGACTATCACTCAGGCAAGGGCAGCATTCACGGAAGTCATCAACAAGATCAACCCTGCATCCCGCCTAGGCCCCACAGAGATCAGCACCACGCCCGACGCTCGCGAACAGCCCGCTAGGGACTACATTGAACGTCTTCGACTCACAATGGCAGACGACCGCGATGGCCACATGTTCTTCAACGGCCAGTACTACCCCTTTATCGGGCCGAACGTCTTCCAGCTCATCATGCAGCTGGTGTCCATCACTACTCAATCGCTGCAGCGTGCGATCTACATGGGCGAGATGCCAGAGAGCGTGGACTTGGGCAATCACTTCTACGATCAGCCTGGGGTGTTCAGAGGGCGGAGCAATCTCGTCTTTCCGCCTGTCGACGAGCAGGGTGAGATAATCGGTCCAAAAGCGAAGGCAGTCGATTTGGGGAAGGTCAGGAGGTCACTTGAAGACTCCACTCGCTTGCCTCTACAGACCTTTCTGACTCCGCAGGGAGATGCGAAGATCAACGCAACTGTGTGGATCGTAGCAGACCTTGACACTGCGCCTACTCAGCAAGTCCTGCAGGGCGCTCTTTCGATGTTAAGGACCGACAAGTCCTTCAGGCTCGGCTTTGTCCACCTGCCTTCCAATGATGGACAGGATGCCTCTGGACCCGGCCTTCGTCTTTCGTCCTTTATCGGTCAGGCGATCAAAGCGCAAGTGCTCGACAAGACTAGTGCTGACGAATTTGCTGAGGTAGTCAAAGAGCTGGCATCCACACACTCCAACCTCGATCGGGCTGGTCGAGTCTACAACGACTTAGACGGTTCCGCTACTCCGCAGTCAGGGCAGCAACAAGATGACAGAACTGGCGCGGCGTCTTCCTTCAATGCCTTTAAAGCTCGTGCTTGGAATCTAGAAGGCTCCAAGGAGGCTGACGACTTTTGGAAAGAGACAGGGCCCGCGATAGCTCGCGCTTTCGGTGTCGCGCCCGGCGAAGCAGCTCTGGTCGTCAACGGTCGACTCCTCTCTGGTGTCGACTTGGGGACTATCAAGAAGACGGACATAGAGGCCTTGCTGCACAGCGAGAAGTTCAAGAGAATCGAGCCAGTGCTCGATAGTCTGCCGGCGAGCGCTGTCGAGAAATTGAGCCTCCTGTCACGAGACGAAGCTGCCACTGCAATCGCAGATATCGCATCAGTGCTCGGCCTCTACTACTATCTTGACGAGTCCAAGCGGAATATGTTCGTTCCACCCGTCATCGTGAGAGTCAACAGCTTCGAGGGCATTCCAGCGAAGCACTGCTTATTCGAAGTCGGAAATAGGTCTACTGCGCGCCTTCGCTTCCAGGCAATCGTCAACCCTCTCGCTGAAAGAACGCAGAGGTGGGCATCGATCTTCCGTCTTCTGAGCAGCCTACCCGACGTTCACCTCGAAGTGATCATGAATCCGCAGCACACCTCGAGCGAGATGCCTCTGAAGAGATTCTACCGCTTCAGCGCACCGAAGGCTCTCGCGTTTGACGACGCTGGTCAAGAAATTGCTCCTACCCTCTCTTTCAATGACTTGCCGCAAGATGCAGTTCTGACTATGGGACTCGAGGCTCCGCCAGCGTGGCTGACAATGGCATCAGAGGCAGTGTACGATCTCGACAACATACTGCTTCGAGATGTACCCGAGGACGGTCGAGAAGCAGGAGTCTTGGCAGTGTACGACTTGAAGCAAATCCTCATCGAGGGGCACGCTCGTGAAGTGCTCACAAACAACATTCCCGCCGGTCTCCAGCTTCTACTCCAAACTCCTGACGGATCTCAAACGCTCGACACTATCGTCACCGCGAACCTTGCCTACTTCCAATTCCGAGCAAGACCCGGTCTATACAGTCTGAGCATCAGGCCGGGCAAGGGCGACGAGCTGTACGAGATGAAGAGTGTGGGGAACTTGGGCTGGGATAGTCCCGGGGTGGAAGTCACTGGCGACTCGATCACACTAGATACCCTACAAGGTCTGACAATCTACCCTACTGTGAAGAAGCGGCCGGGAAAAGAGAAGGAGAACCTGATCGAGCCAATCGCCGGGGCTAAAGACCTCAAGAAGGGAGTCAAGCCCCTCACGGCAGCCAAGTCGTTTTTTGATAATCTGAAGAAGGCCGCCAGTACAGCTGCTACTCCCGAGCTCAAGAAGAGCAACCAAGCGGAGCTGAACATTTTCACGGTCGCTTCTGGCCATCTGTACGAGCGCATGACGTACATCATGATCCTGTCCGTGCTCCGGCATACTAATTCCACCACCAAGTTCTGGTTCATCGAGAACTTCCTCTCGCCCTCATTCAAGGAGTTCATCCCTCACTTGGCGAAAGAGTACGGCTTTCAGTATGAGATGGTGACCTACGCTTGGCCTCATTGGTTACGGGCCCAGCGGGAGAAGCAGCGCACGATTTGGGGATACAAGATCCTCTTCCTCGACGTCCTCTTCCCTCTCGACCTGGACAAGGTCATCTTCGTAGACTCGGACCAAGTCGTCCGCACTGATCTCAAAGAGCTGACGGAGATCGACCTGCAGGGCTCGCCGTACGGGTTCCCTCCCATGGGGGATGACTCGGACGACATGGAGGGGTACCGCTTCTGGAAGACGGGCTACTGGAAAGATTTCCTCCGTGGCAGGCCCTACCACATCTCTGCTCTCTACGTTGTGGATCTGAAGCGCTTCCGCTCCATCACTGCTGGCGACGTGCTGCGAGAGCAGTACCACGCCCTCTCTGCCGACCCTCACTCGCTGAGCAACCTAGATCAGGACCTACCCCAGGTGCTCATGGATCATATTCCCATTCATACTCTGGATCAGGAATGGCTTTGGTGCGAGACGTGGTGCTCAACAGATTGGTTGCACAAGGCAAAGACGATTGACCTCTGCTCCAACCCAAAGACGCACGAGGCAAAGCTGGATCGTGCCAGGAGGCAAATTCCAGAGTGGACAGAATTGGATGAAGAGGTGCAGAGATTGGCCAGGAGGGTGGGGGGTGAAAAGGAAGGCGGGGGAGTAGTGGTCGTCGAGGAGAAGGACAAGGAGGAGAAGCCTGCCAGTGGCCACTCGCATGACGAATTGTAATGTCTGCCTGCTTGCTTTTATAAGACTCATCGTCATCTCACGTATGCGCGAGCCTCATTTGGCATACGATGTCATGAATGGCATGTCTATTTTCCCCCACCTGAGTAGCTACAGCTCATCATCATCCTCGTCATCCTGCTGCATCAGACCTTGATGCTCCGGTCCTCTCTTCTTCCCACCTCGTCCGGCCATCCAATCACCTCCATCCCTCATCCGACTTCGTGTAGCCTCTGCATCATCCTCTAAATCGATGTCCAGAGAAAAGTCATTGCCCGGTCTCGACCCACTCCCGCCTAGACCGAGCCCCCCACCACCACCAGCTCCGCCTCTCCTGCCTACACTAGCAGGGTCGAGGTCGATTCTGGATGGCCTCGACATGGCATTCTTGCCGCTACGCCGCACCACAGCCAGCAACCGCACGAGCTGCATGCCATTCCTAAAGATCAAGAGGAATGAGTCGAGGAGCTCTTCACCCTTGCCTTGCCTGCCGCCTCGACCTTCCTTGGAAGATCCGCGATTGTAGGGAGAGCAGTCGTGGGAAAAGAAGATGATGAGGAGGGTGAGGGTGCAGAGGAAGACGAGAAAGAGGTCGAGGATGTTGAAGGTGGAGTGCCAGAATTGCTGCGAGGGAAGGGTGATAGAGGCGGAGTCATATGAGAGTCAGCAAGGGCTGCAGTGGAACAATTGCTCTGCTGACCCCACTGCTACTCACTCTTCCAAAGGCAACAAATCTCACTCCCACCTCCACGACCAATACAACATTCACCAGCATTTCCACGACGTAGAACATCGTCCCTGGACAGTCGGTCATGAGACTCATGACCACCGTCAGCAAGCTAGCAAATGCCATTGAGGCATAGAGGTAGAGGTATGAAGTGGAATGTACGAATCTGTTGGCGAGTCCCTTGAGGACTTCAGACTGGGGTAGATGGTACTGTGAGCGCGTTGTGGACCAGCTGGGGAGGCTGCTGCCACCATTAGAGGATGAGGCATTGGTCACGGTGTTGCTGAAGGCGGAAGAGTCGAAGATCTGCCCACGACCAATCTCCTCGCTGCGCCGACTGCTGGGGGATGCGCCACCCAGAGGAAGAGATACATGCGCCATGACTGCGGAGAGGCAGGCAGAGTGAGGGTCGAAAAATCCTTTCGCTGTGAGACTGATGGTGTGTTGGTGTTGGTATGGAGGAGCAACGGGGACGATGACCAGGGAGCCAGGCGCGGCAGTGTGGAGATGAATCAGGTGCAGCTCCGCCCAGAGCAACACAAAGGCGCCCCTTTCCGCCTGCAGCAGCATACCGCATACACATACCATCCCTGGACCATCAATCCACCGGGGCATCGTACCTGATGGCAGCGTCGTACTCGACCTTTCACAACGAGGATGACGACGGTGGCAGGGAACCCCGTGACCAAGCGGGCCCCAGCTCTGCGCGCCCACACACCCAGACCGAGGAGACGCTGAACCAGTGGCTCTCCTCGCCCCTCGTTGCTGCGCCTCGCTCACGCTCACTACCTCGCAATGGCCAGGCTGAACACCCGTCCAGCCACCTCTGGTCTCATCTCCGTACCAGCGTCAATGCTACCTCTGCTCTCCGCTCAGCCAAGACCGACCGCGAGGCACGCAGACGCAACCGCCGTGCTGCCGCCGAGAGCGATGCCAGTGCGGGGTGGGTGGACAGTGAGGGGCTGGGCGACTTTCTGCCGGGCAGTGGCAGGAGGAGAGCACGGAACAGCAGGAGAGAGAGCACAAACGCCGAGTCTGATGCGGCAAAAAAGGCAGAGGAAGGACCGATGAGATCGTGGACCCCACTGGCTCACTATTGGCAGGGTCAGCCTGCAGGGAAGGCACGCAGGTCGGTGTACGGCACGCCAGGGGAAAGCCAGTCAGTCGCAGCTGGCGAGAGCGGCATCCATGCTGCGGGGTCCTCCATCAGTCAGACCGTCAATATGTCTGCACCAGTGGTGATGGAAGAGCCGGAAAGCCTGATAGATGGCAATCCTGCTCATATACCTCGCGGGGAGAATCCACTGGCCTACACCGACACAAAGGACCTGCTGGACAGCGAGAGTGATAGTGATAGCGACTCAGAAGACGAAGAGAAAGAAACGGAGGGTCAGCCTGCAGGTCCCAGGATACACCTTCTTGGCGGTAATCGGACTGGCTCAGCGACGGCAGGCTCAGCGACGTTGAGTCGCTTATGGTCATCTACCTACTCGAAGCTCTCGCATCCCTCGCCCCTCACAAAAGGCGTTACCAAGTGCGTCGTTGCATACTTCCTAGCCTCCCTCTTCACATACTCGCCACAAATATCGACCTTTATGGCGCACCTCCTCCCCAGCCACGACCACGACGACCTCGTTCCTTTTGGCAATCTCCACATGATCGCCACGGTCGCCGTATACTTCCACCCAGCACGTACATTCGGTAGCATGATCGAGGCAGACATCTTTGCAATGGGTGCTTTCCTCTTCTCCATGAGCCTTACCTTTGTCAGCATGCTCGCGGCAGTCAAACTTCATGACCTCGGTCATCCACACCTCAGCAATCTCATCTCTGTCTTTGTCTTTCTTGCGGGAGGCATGGCATTGGTAGGATATGCCAAAGTCAAGATGGGCAAGCCGACCTTCAATACGGCCTGCTCGCTGATCTACGTCTCGACGTTCACCGTCGTGGTCAAGGAGGGCGCAGTGCACTTGGGCGAATTTGAGACGGACAAGGTCTGGCAGGTGACACTAGTCATCTTTGCCGGCACACTCGTTGCGAATCTCGTCTGCTTTACCGTCTGGCCGCAGAGTGCAACGACCAATCTGCACAACGACGTCTCGCGGGTACTGGATGCTTATTCCACCCTGCTGAGGATCCTGACACGGACCTTCCTTCTGGAAGACCATGCCAACATCCACATCCGCTCCTCCAGAGTACGGGCAGCCATCGCCGCGCATCACTCAGCATACACTTCGATGCAAAAGAATCTGGGTGAAGCGAGGTACGAAGCCCCCTTTGATCCACGGATAAGGGGTCGTGTGAAGTTGATGCAAGAAGCCGTCGACAGTCTGAATCGCCTTGGCGGGCATCTTCAGGGCCTGAGGAGCAGTTGTGCCACTCAACACGAGACACTGGAGAAGAATCAGCGAGAGGAAGACTCGAGTGACGCGAGTCCCTCTTTCAAGCCCTTTCTCAACGCCATTGGGCCTCATATGCGCAGCTTGGTATTCACTTGCTCGCAGTCTTTGCAGGCACTGGAGGGCGCTACGAGGAAAGATGCCACACTCGAAGCCTTTGAGGAGCTAGAAGCGGACCTCATTGCCGCCGTGCGTCGCTTTCGGCACGAGCAGGTGGCAGCTCTGAAGACAATGTCAACCATCGAGCCAACGAGTGACGATGCTTCTCCGCTAGCATCGATGATCGACTCCGCCAGGAATGGGCCCACGGAGAATGACGAGTCCATCGTGGTCGTCTTCTTCTTCGTCTTCAATCTCGAAGAGCTGGCTCAGGAATTGACGGGACTGGTCAAGATCATGCGGCTGCTCTCTGAAAGGGCCAAAGAGATTCGAGCGCAGACCTGGACTCAGTGGCTGACAGGTCTATTCGCATTCGATCGACTTAGACGTGCAATGCGACTGCCGTTCCGGGAAACCCATAAACCTGTCCCTGCACCAGTCACTTTTCCAGCGAACCAGAGACACACACCCTCCACGGCTCACACGCCCGTAGCAAGAGATCGAGCGCAACGCCTCTCCTACAAGCTCTGGTCCTTCGGGGAATTCTTCAAACAGCGAGACGTGAAATTTGCCATCAAGACGGGATTTGGATGTGCAATCTTGGCCGCTCCGGCCTTCATGGCAGAGACGAGGCCGACTTTTGTGGAGTACAAGGGACAGTGGGCCCTCGTGTCCTTCATGGTCGTGCTGAGTCCGACGGTGGGGCAGAGCAACCAGATGAGCCTGCACAGAATCATTGGTGAGTAGTGAGAGGGGCCAGGAGGTCAGTTGGCGGCTTTTGACAAGCTCTTCGGCCATCGGCGTCCTGTTGTGCAGGCACCATATTCGGAGCCGTGGTGGCGGCAGCCGGCTACTGGCTGTTCGAGGACAACAATGTCGTACTACCATTTTTTGGAGCCATCTTCTCTATCCCTTGCTTCCAGTACATTGTCGGCAAGCCTCACCTGGCATCGAGCGGTCGCTTCGTCCTCTTGACCTTCAATCTGACTTGTCGTGAGTAGAGCGAATGAACGTGCAGTGGCGGCTGCGCGCCCCCTTGACTGATCTCGCGATCTCTTCCCCTGCCTTGCTCCACTAGTCTACTCGTACAATCTCCGCAAGACCAACGTCGAGGTAGAGTCAGTCGCCTTCGAGAGGACCGTCGCGGTCATCATTGGTGTAGTGTGGGCTACGATTTTGAACCACTTACTGTGGCCGAATGAAGCCAGGCGGGAGCTTGCCAATGGCCTGTCCGAGTGAGTGGCAGGCCTCGTGTACCACTGGGCGAGAGGACCACTGACTCGATGGCTCCTTCCCCTCTGCGAACGCGCAGTCTTCTTTTCAAGCTCTCCTGGTTGTACCAATGCCTGGTCATCGCGTACTCCTCCGAGGACCCTCACCTGCAAGAAAGAGGTCGCTCAGTATCGCGTCGCCCCACAGCTCCCTCCCAGTTGGAATCCCAGCCCCTCCTGGAGGAGTACTCCCCTACCATCTTCTTCTCGACAGCCCACGACTCTTCTTTCCCCACTCCCCTCTTTCAGTCCCTGGAGCTCCACATCCAGTTTCAGCTCGTCCGTCTCGAGTCTCTCCTGGCCCAAACTCGACACGAGCCCCGTCTAAAGGGTCCTTTTCCGATACGGCAATACCGCGAGTACCTGACGGCTTGTACGGACGTGTTGGATAAGCTGCATAGTATGCGATGTATAATCAGTCGGGAGGAATGGAGGAGGGTGAGACAAGGTTGGATCGTGCCTTGTAATGTGGAGAGGAGGGAGATGGTAGGAAATGTACTGGTGAGTGGTAAGGGTGACGTGTGACTTCCAAATTCTCCTCGCTTTTCTCCAACTGACAAACGCCTTGCACCGTACACACACCCTTACACGCGCACCTCCAGCTCTTCTTCCATCTCCTCGCAACCTCCTCAACCCTCAAGACTCCTCTCCCTCCTTATCTTCCCCCAGCCGAGCGCTCCCGTCAGGCTCTCCTAGGAAAAGTGCGCAACTTACCCCTGCGCATCGCTAGGAGAGGTCCTCTATCGACATCGACGTCGACGGAGAAGAAGAAGAAAGAGAACAATCCTCGGCAGACCGACGACAGTGGACGGAGTGGGAGTGGGAGTATCAGCAGTACCACTACGGACACGATTCTTTTACATTCCTACCTCTTGGCCATGCACGACCTCGTTGCCAATTTGGAAAAATTGGGCGTCTTGAGTTGGGAAATGTTTGGTGTGCTTGGTGCTGGTGCTGGAGCTGGAGAGGGTGGGACTGGGGGCGACGCAGGAGCGGTCAGTGGAGGAGGAGCTGTGGGCAGAGGAGCAGGAGCAGACGAGGATGTCGATACGGACTCGCCCCGCACCTCGCTCGGGCTCGATGGACGAGAGCGCTTCGAGCGCATCTTCCGGTAGATCGAGACCAAGACCGAGACCCGAGATCCGACTGAACATGCTCATGCCCAATCTTCACAAGACCGCTCTCAGTCTATATGTGTGTAGTCTATACAGTACAGTTCAACAGTTCAAGTCAAAAGAGTTTATTCAAAAAGTTCACTTCGAGGAAAGTGTAGTATAGTGAAAGAAAGAAGGAAAGGGCGCATCACGAGCGAGCGGTAGCGGTAGCGAGTGTGATAAGCAAAGGGAGCGCAGAGAGACGATTCGGAGTAGCGTAAACAGCCTGGAAGAGCCAGAAAAGAGGATACGGAAGGGAAAAGGGAAAGCGAGACTGATAGGGGTACGGATACGGATACGGATAAGAAACTACATCCCGTCCATGGTCGACGGTGATGGCGGGGAGAAAGAGACTTGCAGAGATGACGTTTTCACATACCTCTTTAGATCCTTCTCCTCCTTTTGGGGTGTGTTGAGCGTCGCACACTGGGGCGACGACGACAACAGAGAGCAGCAGTAGCAGCAGCGGGCATTTTCGCCCCTCACTGCTCTTCCTCGCTCTCATCTTCTTCTTCCTGCTCAGGGCGCGCAGCACCCAGCAGCTCATCTCTCTCCCTCTCAGCCCTCTCGCACCTGCGCTTCCAACTGCTCACCTCGTCCTCTAGCTCCTTGATCCTCGCGAGGAACTCGGCACGCTCGGCAGCCTTGCGGTGACGAGATCGTCTAGCGGCAAGGGTGTTGCTCAGACGCTTGGCCTTGAGCGGGTCGCTCTCGGCTTGGATCGCAGCCAGCTCCTCGGCACTCGGTCCAGCATCGACGTCCGAGGGTGGAACCCAGTCCTTGCGCGACGTCGACGAGGGCCCGAGGTAGTTGCGGGTTTGGATGGGAGCGTCGAGGGGCAGGAGGTCGTCGACTCGTAGTCGACGCTTGACGCCTCGCTTCGTGCACGCAGGAGCAGCTGTCGTCACACTGGAGTCGTCCTGACATCCTTCCGTACTGCTGCCGCCGTCAAAGGAGCAACTGTGTCGGCTGAACACAGGGGCAGTGGCAGAGTGCTGAAGAGGAGGCTTGGCGAGTCGGGTAGCATCGACGGTGCTGCTGCTGCTGTCCAATCCACCGTCGCCGGTGAGTAGCTTGGGAGAGGCAGAGTGGACGGGAGGCTGAGCCTGCTGGGCTTGAGCGTGCGTGTTGGCAATGCCCTGCAGAGCTCGCAGTAGCATGGTAGCCGAATCTTCTGCCGGTTCGGTCGCAGCTGGGTTGAAGGCCATCTGACCTCGAGGAGGCGAGGGAGGAGCGTGCACATCGGGGAAGAGCGAGAAGTTGGGAGACAGCGCCGTCGAAGCAGTCGCGCCCGCCCTCTCAAACGACACTTCTGTAGCTTGGTAAGGACTGAACAGGGTCATGTCACCGAAGAGGGGCATGTGAGCCACTTCACTCGCAGAAGCATCCAGATCGTTGGCCAGCAGTGGACTCGTGTCGCACGAGTTGGGCTCAAAGGAGCTGTTGTCGGTCAGGCATGGCGAAGTGTCGGTGAACAGAGGCGAGGTGTAGAGGTCCTCGTTCTCGGCGCGGTGGTGTTCCCAGCCAGGGAAGCCGGCATCACCAGACGACATGTTGGAGAGGGTGAAGGTGCTGAGGAACTCTTGCGTCTTGCTGTCCTCTCCTTCGAGGCTGAAGCCGGAACGACTGTTGTCCTTGTTGGTGAGTAGGCACGACATGGAGTGCGAGTGGGCTGGCTGCTGGTAGCGAGAAGAGCGAGTGCCGGAGGAAGTAGAGGCCTGAGGATAGATGGAAAAGCTCTGATACTGCTGAGACTGAGGTCGAGGGTCGACTGGGTAGCTCGGCCTAGAAGCGTAAGATCGCTGAGGGAAAGCAGACGACGAGGAAGACGACGACGACGACGACGACAAAGGGGCAAGTCGAGCTGAAGTCAGTCGAGGTTGCTGCTGTTGGTGATGAGTTCTTTGCTCGGTGAACCTCTTGATGAAGTCGGCGAGGGACTCGTTGATGTCGGTGGCTTGGTCAGAATAGTTTGCAGCGCTGGAAGCAGGCTGACGAGGAGCAGTGCTTTCACGGGAGGTGGTTACAGGTGGTTGCGAGCTGTGGGCAGGCGAACAAGCTAGGCCTTTGAAATTGGCTTGGTTGTTGCTGTCGTTGCTGTAGTCGGGTCGACTGTTGTTGTTGTTGTTCTTGTTGTTGTTGTTGTTGTGGTAGGTAGGAGCAGAGCTCTGGGGACTGAGTAGAGGAGGCCATGTTGGCGGAAAGGACCTTGTCGGTCGATTGGATGAGGGTGGTGGTTGGTTGTTGGAATTCAGTATATCGAAATTCAAGCTCGAGTGAGATTGAATGTTGGCTAAAGGAGGGGAGCGAGGGGTGCTGTGTCCTTGTAGTTGATGAAGATGGGAGTCTTCGTCGTTACGCTTAAGCGTAGAATTGGGCGGCCATGTTGGCAATTGGGGGTAGATGTGAGTAGTAGTAGAAGAGGTGGTTATGATGCCGGGCTACGATGTGCCTGGAATGGGTGCAGTGTCTGGAGTAGACGCTATGAGAGTGGTTGCTGCTATGAGTAGAAGGTGATGGTAGAGTGCTGGTAGAAGGAGGAGATGGTGAAGAAGGGAGGGAAGGGTGCGAGAAGGAGCAGCGTGTGCCTTGGCGTATATGAGAGGGGCTGGGCGGGGCAAGCGGGCAGAGATTGAGGCCCCCCTTGAGCGCGCGCGCCTCCCAATCTGCCCGCGTGCCTGGTGCGCTCCTCGGCCAACTCCGCTCTATGACTCGACGCAGCGGAGGGGGGCAGCACACGCAGCAGACGCAGCCGACGCAGGCACATGGCCACACACACCACCTCGCCCAGCAGCAAGGGTACGATGCGTAAGGCCAATGCAATCTGCCAGGGCTGAAAGAAGCATCGTGGCTTTGCTCCCAATCATGCAGCCCTAGAGCCCCGGCGGACGACGAAGATAGCACACCATCGACGACGTGAAGCGAGGGGCTATGAAAGATGTCCTTTGGAGGTACGTTAGGCTCCAGAGGGGTAGACAGAGCTCCAGGAATAAAGAACTCGGGGATACGCCGTTACCCCTTTTCCTTTCCCCACACGCGCACGCGCCCCGCGCCCCTCCCCTCGACGTTCCACGTAGACGAAGAGTCGATCGTGGGAAGAGGTCGGCGCCTTTCCGCTGAGCCTTTCATCGTGGAAACCGCCGGAATGGAATGGACGGGATGACCATAGAGTCCCCACTGTCCCTCTACTCCGGAATTCGAGAGATGATCGAAGCGGGGAGATATCATGGGCGTCACCCTTGTCCCTTAACCCCGTAAACCCGTCTTACCGACTGACTGACTGTATGCGACGCGAATAGCCTTCACGCTCAGCACGTCCATGTCCTAAAGTGGGGGCGACGGAATCGCGTCGACTTTGTCCGCTGCACGGCGTGGGTCCCGACACTCGCTACCGCCTTCTGAGTGGCAAGACAGAGCGGCCGTCAGGCTTTAGCGGGTGGGTGAGGGTCTTACCGCCGGCGTAGCGAGTACCGCTGATCATGGGAGTGATGTCAAAGGTCGAGAGCATACATTGCACATGAAAGACAGAGAGAACGGACCGCCTCAGAAGGAATTACACCAGGAGAGCGGGACACGCGGCACCGCTCGCAGCGAATCAAGCCGCACCCTTCTTGGCCCAATCGGCAGCGGCGCCGCCCACATGTTCGTCCATCTCAACGAGTGGGGGAGGTCGAGGGTACTTTCTCTGCCAGAGGACATTTCGCCTGAACCACGAAGGAGTGACTTGGGTCAGATTGTACCTGATGAACCTGGCGTGGCTGATGCTGAAGACTGCGTCTAGTTCCTCGAGGGTGGCCTGTTTCGTCTCTGGTAAGAAGAGGTATATGAGACAGAACGCCAATGCATTCAGTCCAGCGTAGAACATAAAAACGCCCAGTGAGGTGAAAGCCAACAGCATCGGAGGAAGAGTAATGGAGAGGACCGCTGCCCAGAAGAGACACGTGGCGACGGCCCAGGCCATACCGATTTCTCGATGTGCCAAGGGAAAGCACTCGGCCGAGTAGGCAAAAGGTACAGGTCCTTCTCCCGTTGAATAGAATGCTGCAAAGAGGTAGACAAACGTCGCGACGATGCCCAGCTGGGCAGTCGATCCAGTTGGTAGCAAGGTACCGCAGCCGGCAACGATTAAGCACCAGCACATGTTGGGAAAAGTGGACAGGAGCAACGCACGACGACCGAATGTGTCGATTGTCCCGACGGCCGGAAAAGCAAAGGCGAAGTTGATAGCACCGAAGCCCAGAGATGAGTAGATGGCTTGGCGTTCAGTGAAGCCAGACTCGACGAAGATGGTGGAGGAGTAGAAGGCAATCTGTCGCGGCAGGAGGTCATCATTGAGCGGGATGAGTATCTTTGAGACAGCCGATGAAGACCCTAGCCCTCCTCTCTCTCTCCCGCCTTCAACTCACGATGTTGATGCCGCACATCTGCTGTCCAAGCATGACGACGCCCGAGGCGACAGTCGCCCTCCTCACCCGCGGAATGGTAAACAGCTCAATGGCCCGCTTGATGAACGTTTCTCCCTTGATAATCTTGGCCTCCTCGACGATCATAGCATGGATGTAGTACAAGTCTCGAGCCGCCTGAATCTTGTTATGACGCAGACGACACAAGGATCGGAAAGCCTGAGGGTAACGATTCTTCTTGATGAGCCATCGTGGTGATTCTGGGCAAAAGTAAATCATTGCTGCCAGGGGCAAAGCAGGTATAAAGGCCGATGCCAGCTGCAGACGCCAAGTGATGGCTCCAGCACCAGCAACGATGACATTTGCGGCGAAACCGAGGAAGATGCCAAAGGCTGTCCAGAGCTGCCAGGACATGACTAGAGCGCCGCGGATCGCTGCTGGAGAGTTTTCGGCAGCAAAAATGGGGACGGTAGCTCCCTTTGCTCCCATTCCTAGGCCCATGACCAGTCGACTGACCAGCAAGCCCTGCCAATCTCGTGAGACACCAGACGCAATGGGAGTGGCGATGAGACAGAGGGCAGTCAGGAAGATGCAGCCACGACGACCGAATAGGTTGTTGAGAGGGTCTGAGAGCCAGCAACCAACAAAGGCGCTAGCGAGGTAGGCTGGGCGGAAGTCACAGGCCGACGGTCAGCATGGAGGTTTGAGCTTGCCGAACTCGATCCTCGACCCGTTTCCCACTCACGAGCTGCATTGACAACGCCGACGATCCAGCCATCTCTCTCCTCTTCACCACCAATGCCAAACTCGGCAGGGAAGGACAGATTTGCGCCATTGGAGCCGGTCTGGTCCCTAGTTCGTGCACGTCCGGAGGATTGTGGTTAGCAGCTGGATCTGAGAAGATGACTCAGCCTCCTCCTTTGAGGGTACACTCACCAACCCTGGACAGCAGCGCCAATCGAGCAAGTGACAATCGTAAAGTACAGCGGCCAAGGGTGACTCCACTTGTGCGTCAGCTCATAAGTGATCGCGTCCTTCTCCTCCTCGCTCAGCTCTTCCAAAAGGCGGTACGAAGCAGGATTCTGCGCCACGAGGGCTCCGCGTTGGATCAGGTTTCGGTGCTCTTCGAGGCCTTTTTCGTTGCAGAAACTGTCGGCTTGCTCCAGAAGCTGCTGTTTCGAGAGGTGAGCGAGAGGGTTGACAACCTTCCCTGCCGCTGTACCTTGGACCATCTCAGCCGCAGCGGGATCAATTCCGCCGTGGTCCTTGTGGTCGTTGTCGCGAGAGGTGGTGGAAAGATTGTCGATTCGCAAGGCAGCCTTCTCATCAGGAGAGCCCCTGCAGTCACTCGACACGTGGCCGAGAGAAGCCGCGTTGCTGGCACTGTTGCCAGGGGCAGGTGCACCTGCGGTGGACCCGCTAGTGGCACCGGGGTCTGCACCCGGATTATTGTTGTTATCTGACATGATCAAAGATGGAGAGGGCTTACGGCGAGAAGCGAAAGTCCGGGGTAGGGGGATAAACGCAGGGTTGACCTGGATGCGGGAGCTGGTCCTCATGATCTTTATACTCTGTCACACCGCACGCATCAGGTCAACCACACCATTGAGGTCGCTGTGAGTTTGTCCGCTTTCGCCAAGACACGACCAGCAGGGATGGAGCCCCGCACATCCCATTTTGAGTTTGGGCCTTGCTAGCGCACCGTCTTCCCGATCTTGCGGGATCGGGCAGGGGGGGAAAAGACAAGGCTCGTTTGGGGCTGGCTGCCGTGACGCCCGTGACTGAGAAGATGCCAGAGCAAATGCCAAAGGAGAGATAGCCGAACTCGTCTGGCATGACCACTGGGGCTGTGACTTCCTGCCGCAAGCTTGATCCTGCCCCCCATTTCTCCCCTCTTCCAAAACCAGATCATCGCGCCAGAAGAAGTCCTTTACCCCACACTCGCTTGCCTTGGCTTGCTTTCACCTTACTGATTTGGCTCTTGGCTTGGCGTGTTATCTTGGCGTCTCTCCTCTCCTCTCTCTCTGTCTCTCTTCCTCCCCCTGGAGAGTTCTCTCAATAGGATAGAGTATTCTTGGCGTCCCGCCTCCCCACCTCCTCGCTATCGTGCAGTACGAAAATAGCGAATTCGCACCCAATCAGGAATTTCAACTCCGACTCCGATTCACGTCACGCCAAGAAGGCCAAGGCCAAGACCAAGGCCAAGAGCTCACAAGGAGGGGGAGGGGGGGGGGCGCAAAACGCTTCGGTAGTCGATTCGTGGAGAGCAGACGCTGACGCTAACTCCTGACACCGTAGCCTGTTGCCTGTTGTGTGACCGGCCTGAGACAGGAAACCTCGAACATCAGACTCCTCGCTATAGGTCATCTTGTAGGTCATATGAGCAGTGTTAAAAGGGGCTCATCACCCAAAGAGAAACCAAAAAAAGGGGGCATGCAGAAAATAGTACAAGTGGAGACTAAGTGTATTGGTACAAATGAAGAGAAAGACGGGAGAGTTGGGTGACGTGATCGAAGGGGAGCAAGACGAAAGAGAGTTGTAGGAAGGAAGAAAGTGTAAAGAGAGTCTGCGGGCAGTGTTAAATGGAGCCCGCCGTCCAGTGGTATCGTCTATCTCGTCGCATCGTTAGAGAATGTGTATGTATGTTGCGTCTCTCCTTGGCCAAGACAGTGGGACTATGAGTCTAAATGAATGTAGAGCGTTGCTTCGAGCGGTGTTAAGTGGAGCTCGACGTCCTCGTTGTTCTTGTTCTTGTTGGTACAAATGGTGCTTCTTGAGAATGGTATTGTTGTGATGCGTAAAATGTATGAGTTGCCGAAGGGAGCTGTTGGTGCCCCTGCGTATGTGCCAAGACAGCAGAGGGTGCTTGCCCTTCGCAGGCCGAATGTGAGTGGAGAGCGTCCTTTCTCGACTCATGCCTTGACGGGAGCCGCTCGAGTCACATCCTCCTCGCCCTTCCACCACCCCTTGACTCGACGCTTCACCTCTCCTTTGATCCTCTTCTTCTCCTCGTACGCCCCACCTCCACTAGCGCCAGCAGCCATGACGCTCTTGTTCTCCTTTGCCCTCCTGACGAGGTAAGGAATAACGCGATCAAGCGGACCATAGGGAAGGTACTTGTACACGGCTTTACTGCCGTCGGGAGTGAGAAGGTTGCGTCCGAGACCATCGGTAATGTCATCGGCCATGCCGTAGAGCTGTCCGAAGCTGATGCGAGATGAGACGCCCTTGTTCATCACGAGGGTCTCGTCACTCTTATCTGATCCGGGGCCTGCAGCAGTTCGAACGAGACCTTTAGTCTTCATCAGCTCTACGACGAGAGCAACGCTGTGGCGGTTGTGAGAGGCGAACATGGCGCCGAGGGACGGGTACTTGTTCGACTCTGCCACACTGGATGCGACACCATCGACGAGAATCGTGGCACAGGTGTTGTAGCAGACGTCCGTCTCTTGCTTGCTCTCCCATGCGGCAGTGGGGACATCGATGGAGGCTGCGGCCTTGTGCTCCTGGTCTACGTATGCTCCTCGTACGAGCTTCACACCCAAGGGGTAGCTATGAGTCTGCGCATCATCGAGGAGAGCCTGCAGGAGAGGCTGGGAGCGTTTGAGAGACGTCTGCAGAGTCATGTAAAAAGTGGGCAGAGAAGCCTTTTCGTGGGTGAGGTTGCTGAAGCTCTGCGACCAAGAGGCAGTAGTGGTGAGAGGGTTTCGCAGCTCTCGTGCTACCGCAAGGAAGATGACATCGATCGCGGGCTGCAACCAGCTCTGCTCGGCATCAATGATAACCTTGACATTGCCAGGTTGGGCAAGTCGTCCTGCCTCTCGGAAGACTTCGACCAGCTCGTTGAGAGCGTCACGATCCGAGGACGAGAGGGAGGATTGGACTTGCTCGAGCAGTCCAGCCTTGGTCAATGCGGTGTGGCTGTTGCTGGTGAACATGTTGCGAGGGAGGACGGCGGAAGAGACTCGAATGAGAACGGCGGGGTCCTTGAGCATGCCAGAGACCTTCATTGCGACTGCTGTGTCGGCTCCCGAGGCGACGTTCATGTGTGACGCGAATTCGACGGAGCGCAGATTGGCAGAGACTAGGTCTTGGTTGAGCGAGGTGGAAGAGGCGGTGGTGGAGCCAGTGCCTTTTGCGTCGTCGGACGAGAGCTCAACAACGGAATTCTGGTCCGCCTCAACACTGTATGCAAAGAGTGTGCCGACGCCTCGGGCTGCGAGACGCTCAACGATGGGGGCAGAGCCTTCGATGGTGTCCGAGCCAGCAAACTGGGGTGGGGGAAGGTGGTTGTCCAGCTCATCAGGATACAGTCTTTGAGAATTATGCTACCACTTTCATGCGTTCTTCTGCTCACCTGTTCAAAGAAGGTCACCCGGACGATCTTTTCCATGATCCACTTTACGCCTGGAATCCTAGTAGCGTAGCACCAATCGATGATCTTGGGTCCCAGGTCGACGATGGTAGGAAAGGAGCACATGGTATAGACGACGTAAGCCCGGACGAGGTCGCGATTTGTGAGCGTGGTGAGCGTAGGTGGGTGCTCATTGGAAGGATCATCGGAGTCGAGGTAGAGTGGAGTTGCGAAGAGGGGCACAGCGAGCAGTCCAAGTAAAAGTCCCGGTCGTCTGAAGAAGCTCCTTGGTTGTGTTGGCTGGGGTAGGGCTTGGGTGGTGATCAGACGGGGTGTTGGGAGGAGACTGCTGGTGATATGACGAGGGAATACGGCGCAGCGAGGGACGTTGAGCCCGGTGCGGAGGAGCGTCCGAGCAGACATCGCGGTGGAGGAGTCGGGGGGACGGCAGACTCTACCTAGCACAGAGATGGGGCAGAGGGGTCGGAATGGATGGTTGGGAGAAATATAAAGAAGGAGGAGGAGGAGGAGAGCTGCTCAGCTGACGCCAGGGATGATAAGTATCCGCTCCCCCCTCCAGGTGCGGGGCCATGGCGGCTGCCATGCGAGGACCATGAGCAACAGCAACAAGGGCGGCGGGCGGCGGCCGTGCGCCTCGGTGCGGTAGAGATTAGAGGCAGAGAGAGAGAAATCCACTCATCGCGGGAAATCGCCGAAGGGAAATTTACGCGGACGGGAAGAGGAGCAGCCAGCCACACCCCCGCCAGCCATGCCAAGCAGCCCAAGAAAGAAGCGCACACACACACACAAGAAGCCAACCAGACAGGCAGCGCTGCCGCTCAGCATACCAAGCCTCGCCTGACCCACGCTCCCACTCACCGGCTAGGACATCGGCACAACTTGGCCTTTGGCCGGAGGAGACGTCAAGCTCAGGCCTGGACCATCGAATCTAGCAAGAGTCGCGTGTCCACTGAGGCGTAGGTACGCAGGCAGGTAGATCTCGGCTACACGTAGTGTGATGCCCCTGCCCTGCCCTGCGTCAGGTGATCGGATCGGATTGGATTCTTCTGGCCTGTCCTTCCACGGAGCGCCTTCTGTAAAGGTTGGGGACATCTCCGGCACAAATGACCCTCGACAGCTTGGACAGGCCGGAATACTCGCTTTTCTCCTCTTCTTCCTCGCTTACTTTTCTTCCCTCGATGGAGATTCTTTTTTAGTGGGGCGGGAGCCCGGTTGAGGCGGATCTGGCTCCGGCGGGTGGCTTGGCTTGGGGACGAGGAGACGAGGTACAATGGAGATTGCCGCTCCGCTCTAGGTCAAGTGCCCCTGCCACACTGGCCGCCCTTTCCGTGTCGCCCTTTGCAGCACCGGCCACTTCTTCTTCTTCGGTCCGGTTTCTATTTTTCTCGCCTCGCAAGCACCGAAGCACCAAAGGGCAGCCGTCCATCACCATTGGCCGGTTCTGTTCCTGTCCCGGTGCAGGCAAAGAGATTCAAGTCCGTCCGTCCGTCCGTCCGTCCGAACAACCGGGTATGCACTTGATTTAGAGCATCCTTTTCTACCTTCACCGTCTTTACTAGTACGCTACGTCCCTGGTCACCTTCTTTGTTAGGACTCAATACCCCGCCCCACTCCCCACTCCCCTCAAGATGCCCTCGCACTCGCCCGTCTACGATGTTCTTGCTAGTCTCTCCCCCTCGGACATGCCCAAGTCCGTCTACATCTGGGACCCACCTAATACCCCTCTCTCGACAATCTCGCCAGTAGCAACAGCCATTGCAACCTACCTCGTGGTCATCTTTGGTGGCAGATACCTCATGAAGGACAGGGCGCCCTTTGGAGCAAGCCTCAAGTATCCTTTTCTGATCCACAATCTCGCACTGACCTTCGGTAGCGGTGCGCTTCTGGCCGTCATGCTAGAAGAAGTCTTGCCCATTCTCAACCGAGGCGGTATGCTCTACGGAATCTGCCATCCTGCCGCCTGGACCACGCGTCTGGAGACTTTTTACATTATCAACTACTACTTCAAGTACTGGGAGCTGGTCGACACAATCTTCCTCGTGCTCAAGAAGAAGCCACTGCAGTTTTTGCACGTATACCATCATTCTGCTACTGCGCTGTTGTGCTACTACCAGCTGACGGGAAAGACGTCGGTGTCGTGGGTGGTCATTGTGCTCAATCTAGCCGTGCATGTTCTCATGTGTAAGTAGGCACTTGCAAGGAGTGCGGCAGGAAGAGTTACAGCGGACACTGACGATTAGATTGCCTTTCGCACCTCACAGACTTCTACTATGCCCTGTCGAGCTTGAAGATCCGTGTGCCATGGAAGCAGCTCGTGACCGTCTGCCAGATCACCCAGGTGAGTAATGAAGACGTGCAGGTTCGATTGAGAAACCCCTTTGTACAAGGACTCGCTGACTCGTCTCTCCATCCTCCTCGCTCCCCCGGTGCTCGCAGTTCGTCATCGACCTCTGCGTCGTGTACTTTGCTACCGGCCTTCATTGGTCCTATAGGTGGAACATCACTCTGCCTTTTACCTCGAAGCCCATTGACTGTGCTGGTGGAGAGGTTGCCGCTCTTGCAGGTTGCGCATGCCTGACTAGCTAGTGAGTACGACGAGTCGCCAGTAGCCCTCACGGGGGAGACAGAAGACTGACCTTACTCCTTACCTCTCTTCTGCTCTCCCGCACGACCCAGCCTCTTCCTCTTCTTGAGCTTCTACGCTCGCACCTACAAGAAGGACGGCAAGGCTGGGGTCAAAAAGGGCGTCCGCAATGGCCAGCCGGTGAATGGCAGCGCAAAGGCTGTGAAGCACTAGATTCAAAGAGCGGCTGGAGGAGGGGGAGCGTCTGCACATGAGGTACGGAATTGGAGGTGCGGTCGATCGCTAGGGGCAGAAGGAGTGTACATGGCGTCGCAGAGGAGCTTGGGTGGATGAAGGTGAGGGACGTCGGGTAGACAGTGTGCGGCAGCCAAGCTGAAGGTGGAAATTACGGAGAGTTGGGACAAGACAAAGCATCAGTGTAGATTCTGGGCATGCACAATCATCCATCAAGCGGTCCTCTTCCGCCTCCGTGCTTCTCCATGCCTGTCAAGCGTGGGAAGAAGCCCAAGTCGATAGGGCCCCCTCCCTGCCTGGCTGCGCTTCGGAGAAAAAAGTCTCGGCCGAGGTGGATGCGCCAAGCAAGGCGCGAAGGAGGTTGGCTGAGCTGACTTGAGGCTCAGGCTGAGGCGGAGGCTGCGTCGGCGTCGGACTCTGAGCGGGGCTGGCTTGGCTGGGCGGGCTGCTTGGTTGCTCCACCTGGCCGACGGGTGTGTGCCTGCATCCATCCATCCGTCCGCATCGCACTCAGGCTCATCCTGAATCATCCTTCCTTGCCTTGTACCCGAAGAGATCCCCATTCATACTTATATAGATCACATTATACCCTCACAATCCCCTCCCCCACTCACACGCAAGTATGACCTCTCACCAACCTCAAGCTCAAGCAGGGAGCACTACATCCCCTCTAAGCGCAGAGGATCTAGCGCAATTCGAGTCGCTCAGCTTCGGCACCGACACCGGCACCGGCAATGGCAGTGCTCGGGATCAAATGACGACTGAGCAGCAGCAGCAGCAGCAGCAGCGACAGTCGTTGAATTATCAACCGCCAGCCGGATCACCGCCTTTGGTTGCCAAGGCTGAGGAAGGGCAGGGACAGTCACAGCAGCAATATCAGCAGCAGCAACAATATGAGCAGCAATATCAGCAGGCCTATGCTCAGTCACAGCCACTTTACGCACAGCCACCACCACAGCCGCAGGGGATGCGCAATCCCTCTACATTCACCACTCACGGTGATGCTAATCCTGAAGCGCCTCATAATCCTTATAACCCCTTTCTGAGCGGTATGGCAGGGACAGCGCAACCGACAGGTCAATCCCAGAATCCAAGCATGCAGCAGCAGGACTTCACTGCGAACATGCCATCCACCAATCCTTTCGCCAACCCACAGTCCACCTATGCTGCGCCAGCCACAGCGCCGTATAACCCTCCTCCCACTCAGCCGCCTACAGCTTTCCCCATGGTCGAGGAACATCAGGCGTCTGCCGTTCCCATGGGAGGAGGAGGAGGAGTGCAGGGTGGGAATAGCACTGCCCCTGCTCCAGTGCCAAGGCAGGAGGACAAGGCGTGGCCTACAAAGGACGTCATCTTCCGTGGAGTGGATCGGAAGATTGTCATGCAGGTGAGTAGAATCGACACAGTGTGAGTGAAGCGATCATTTGACCACCATCCCCTTCCCTCTCTGCCGGCCATTCCTTGCAGGACGAGAACGGCCCTTGCTCCCTCATTGCCATTGCCAACATCCTTCTTCTCCGCGGCGATCTCGAGCTGCAACCACCAGACCGTCCCTTGGTGAACTACGACTACCTCTCATCGCTTATTGCCGAGTACCTCCTCACCCGCCCAGGGGACGCCTCTCTAGAGCAAGCCCTCAGTCTTCTCCCCCAGACGCAGTACGGTCTGAATCTCAACCCGGGCTTCATCTCGAACGAGACCTTCTACTCCTCCTCTTCCTCCCCCTCCGAGGTCGGGGCCGGTGGCGGAAGCGCTGGCAGGCCAGGCCAGCTAGCCCTCTTCGACCTCCTCGGTATCAAGCTCTACCATGGGTTTCTTCCCGATCAAAGTTCAGACCGTGAAAGCACATACGACATGCTCATCTCTCTCGGATCGTACGATTCTGCCCTGGATCAAGTTGTTCGCGGGGATGCCATTGCCGAGCAATTCTTCCGAGAGGCAATGGGGGAGAGTGGTGTGCGAGCCCCACTAAAGGTGCTTAGAGAGAGGGGAGGAGCTGTTCTCCTCGAGTCGAAGGGATGGGGGACAGCACTGCAGCGGCGCGATGTTGCAGCAGCACTTGAAGTGGGCAACTTTCTGGATAACAATGCTTCGCAGCTTACCTACCCTGGGTTGTTCGCACTATCTGCTCTGCCAGAAGGTACGCTATGTGCCCTCTTCCGCTTCAACCACCTCAGTGTCCTCTATCGTCCACGAGCGGAGGAGCTACCTGCTCCAGCGACGGAAGCGGATGCAGGACGAGCACCACCCACGCTCCTCACACTGCTCACCGACGAGGCATTCCTGGATGAAGGACTAGCAGTATGGGAGAGTCTTGCAGATGTCGACGGGAGTGCCAGTGGAGAGATCTACGATGGGAGATTTAGGAGGAGAGTCATCGATCAGTCTGCTAGAGCTGGGCGAGGGCGCGGTGGTGGTGGTGGTGGTGCTCTCGCAGCGGGCTTTGGTGGGGATGGCAACGCTGGGACTGGAGTTGGTGCTGGGATGGGAGGAGGACAAAGTGGTGATCCTGCCGAGGATGCAGAGTGAGTTGCCCTCCCTTCAACTGAAGAAGTCACTTTCACCGCTACCCTTCTTCACCCCGCTAACATTTCCTCCCCTCATCAAATCTCAACAGCTACGCCCTCGCCCTCCAACTGCACGTAGAAGAAAACGAACGAGCAGAAGCTCAACGCCAGCGACGCGCCTCGCGCAATCCTGCCGGAGGCACTGGTCCAGGCTCTGGTTCTCGCTCTGGTTACAATTACAATGGCAATGCCAGCGGTAGCGGCAGCGGCAATAATGGTGGTAGTCGTGGTACGACTGGCGCTGGAAAGAGGACTTCTGGTCTATTTAGTGCGCTTGGCAAGAGAGAAGGCAAGAACAAGAATGCGGGTGCGGGTGCGAACGGGCCAACTCCCACGGCCGAAGAGACGAGCGCTGGCAATGGCGCTGGCGCTGGTGCTGGCGCTGGAGGAGGGTACGGCTCTAATGGCTATGGGTACGAAGATGCTCGCAGAGGCGCAGCAGATGATTTTGGCTCTGGCTCCGGCTCCGGCTCCGGCTCTGGAAATGGCACCGGCGCTGCCGCTGGCGCTGGAGGAGGTTCTGATGGACCACCAGGGTACGGCATCTCCCGTCCTACTGGTGCCGGTGGTGCCGGTGGTGCCGGTGGTGGTGCTACTGGGGGTTCGTACAGCGGTGGAGCCGAGGAGTACGATACGTCTCGGCCTCTGGAGGGGAGGCAGAGGAGAAAGGATAAGAAGGACAAGGATTGTGTGATCATGTAGATGTAGAGACTTGAACTCGATCGGATCGAGCGTCGAGGATCGAGGATCGTGCATCCGGGAGAGTGAGGAGGGAAATGTACATATGACAGGTGCTAGAAGCGCTTCTTCTGAATCAAGTTACACGATGCATCATTGTCTCCATGACCGTCATAGCACATCCTTCCTTCTGTTCGCCCGCCCGCCCGCAGTCGAGATCCTCCAAGACGTACAGTAACGTCAGATCTTCCGCGTCGACCTCAAGCTTCTGGCCAGCAATGTCGATCAGAACTTCGTACTGCCTATTGTATTCTGCTTCCTCCTCGACAGGAGGAGAACCTCCTCTCCCATGGAGGCGGGAAGGGACGACCCTCTGCAGGGCATCAATCTTAGCTGCTAGAGTCGTCGCGATTTCCTCGAGTACAACGGAAGGAAGAAAGGCTCGATGGTACTCCACCTCGGACGCAAGTAGTCGATGGAGGGCGGGGAAGAGGCAAACGCGTCAGGGTTCGCCCACTTCCCTTCTGTTACATTCCATTCCGGCAGCGTACTCTACTGTCCAAGTCAGTCTCTCTCGCTCCCGCCTTGTTTCTACTTGCCCACCTGATGTCGCATCTTCATTAAGGTTACCTGACGGGATTGGCACACGAACATGGGCCTGCGCTGCTGTCTAGCCCCGCAGGCGTCGCTAGCGACACGTCGGGCAGTGGCGGGGTGACTGTAATGGAATTTCAACTGAGCGTCCAGCAGAGCGAGCGCCGTACCTCCCCAAAACACAGCTATGCTCACAATACCCCGAGAGACCGATAGAGACTTTCCCTATGCCTCTAGTTGGCCACACCCGCAACGGCAGCGGAGGGGGTGCAGTACTCCGAGTCTTTTGCGGGATTGAGGAGCCAGTGCGGCATGGGCAGTAGCTTCAGCAGGGTCACCGATAGGACAAAGACGACGAGGGCATTGATGGAGGAGCCTGCATCCAGGGCGGCAGACTGCGGGGAGAGGGGCGGAAGAAGAGGAGAATTGAGGGGTTCTGTGTCAGACAGGTTCAACGTACATTGTCATCCTGGTTGATGCACTGACCAGGACGTAGTTACTGTGGACGGAGGCAGTGTTAAAAGGAGCGGCCAGCGGTCAGTCATTGCCACCGCAGAAACGGTCGACAGCGGACAGTCTACACTCACTATCTCGCGAACCACTTCGGTCTCTTCTCCCTCGCCCACTTCTGACTCAAGAAGCTCGCCGTGAAACCACTGAGAATGATATTCGTCGGCACCTGAGGCGCCGCATTCGCCCCATGCAAAAAGATGGGAAAGGCGACTTTACTCAGGTCGATGCCTCGGAGAGCGAGAGGTTTGGCGTAGATCTTGTGGGCAAAGTAGAAGGGGAGGGGGAGGAGGAAGCCGAGAATGAACCCGTAGTAGAGGACGCGGTATTCGCCAGAGAAGAACTCGGCGGGACCGATGGCGCCCCCTGATTCGAACACGATGGAAGAATAGCGTCTCAAGGTCAGCTCATGAGGACAGAGGCCACCTTCTCTAGTTGATTACTCACAAATGATGGAAGCACTCCAGAAGATGTGCACTTTACGGCCGTCCCATTGTCCAGTGGGGTCCACAACCTCGCCGCTCAGGTACGGAATGTAGCCGCTGGCAGGCGAGAGCACGAAGGAGAGGACGGTGTAGTTGACAACGCAGCCGATGATAGTGCCGAGTAGCTGGGCCAAGAACATGGACTTGGGAGGAATCTGAAGAGTGGGAGTGCAAGAGTCCACGGTCAGCTTTGGAGCAGCAGTGTAGACCGAGCTTCTCATGCTCACCTTCATATACAGAGCTATCGCATGGCAGGAGTCGAGTAGAGTCAGCTGAGTGCTCCTCGTTACCGAGCCTCTCCTCACTCACCAAGTTTGAGGTCTACAATAAGGTCCAGCGCTTGCGACATGGCCATGTAGCCGTAGCATTTGAAGCAGACGTCTAGCGCAGTGGCATACAGAGGGTGCAGAAGAGGGTCAGGATCATACTCTGAAAGGCAGATTCGCAGAGCCGCCTCGGCTTTGGCTGTGACTGTGACTCACTAGCAATAGGGCGACCGGGAAGCATGTACCCGGCGACGAATTCGGTGATGACCTGGACAGAAAAAGGCGCGAAAGAGACGAGATCGTCAGTAGAGGAGAGGAGCTCTCACTAGACGGCCCTCGCCATCACTCACATTGAGGCCGACACCGGTGTCGGAGACGGCCTTGATAATTCCCACCGGCACCAGGAAAGTAAGAGCAATAAGGATAGCGATAAGGAGCCCCCATACTGGAAGCTGCAGAGGTGCAAATGCCACCAGTATGACCGAGGTACTCAAGGACACAGCCAGAGTCGCAAAATACCAAGACTTTGGCACGCTCTCGTAATTTCGCATTGCCCGATTGTGGTAGTCGTCATGAACTGGATTGCTCAGCGCTCTCACGACGTCTCCTCTGTGCCATAGGAAGATGTGCATCAGCAGAGACGTGAGGATGGCAAAGGCGATACCGTAGCTGATGGCAAAGTATGGCGTCAGCATGATCGGACCTTCCGTCTTCCACTTGACTAAGTCGAGGGTGTTGTCTGGCTTGAGGACATTGCTGACGTTGAACCTCTCGCGAGGGACCGAGGCGGTGTAGAGCCCGGAGCCTAGAGCAGATGGGAAGGAAGAGGCATCCCAGAGATTGAAGTAGAAGTAGAGCAATGGCATAATAATCCACATCATCAGAGCGAAGCCCGAGTAGTAGTTCAGCGCTGCCCACCACGGCTGAAACAGCGGCCCACTCCCGCCTATGGCCGTCCAGTCCAGCGAGATATTGCCCAGACCGAAGCCCTTGTAGCCGCTGCTGAGCGTCCTCGACACTGGGCTTTCGTGATTGATCAGACACAGAATGGCTATACTGCTCAAAGTGGGAGCCATTAGCGCTGGCAGGAACTGGTACGAGAAGATGCCGAGGAAGGCAACCACGAAGAACCTGAGTCTCCTCCTCATGTCCAAGCTCTGCGCTCCATGGAGAGTGTGGAACAGCGATGTGATGACGAGCGTAGATGGGAAGATCATCGAAGGCGTCTTGACGAGGAGGTTGTGCACCAGCCCGGCGAATCCGAAGCCTAGCAGCTGCGTTGAGAATAGCAGCGAGAGGGAAGAGATCGGTCCCATTCGCTGATTGAAGAAGAGGATCTGGATGTTGAGAATGTCTGAGGCGTACGCCGATGAGGCACCAGAGGATGCTGTGATGGGACAGAGGCAGCGAGGTCAGAGCCTAGCATGCGAACGCTCGTCTCTGCATTGCCATCTCACCTATCACTCCTACGAGCAGGTGCTCCTTGATGCTGAATGGACCCGGGTTGAGCTCAACTGGGCCGATGAACGGCAGCTTCACTGTCTTCTCAGGGACGTTGCGGGCTAGCCACCTGCCCACCGGGAGAGACACCAGGATGACAAAGTAAGAAGAGAAGGCAGGCGAGTTGGACTTATAGAAGAAGAGCTGTGACGGGGAGCACGTAGAGATCAGCATCCTCTGCCCTCCGGCAAGAGCCTGACTGGTCTGACATTTCCCGCACTCACCTGCGCTACTGCAGCCCCCAGGACTGCAAAGAAGGACCCGATCATGACTGCCCTCAGCGTCAAGGCGGGCAAGGTAGGATCGTCCGTCTCTGGTACTGCTCGCTTAACGAGAGTCAGGGGGTCACTGGGGTCAAGACCTTCATCGGGACCCTTGTGATGCCCATCGTCATCGTCGTCCTGGCCAACGACACCATTGGCTCTTCTACTAGATCTCCCGTTTGGCAAAAACTCATCGAGCTCTAATGCTCCATCTTCCTCGTCATCGTCTTCTTCCACCCCTCTCCTCTTGGACTCCTCGTCTTCCACTCCATCGTCTGTCTGAGACTGGGAGTGCCTTCGCCGAGCTGATATCGGGGTGAGGCTGCGCTGCGAGGCAGATGAGGATCCCGAGAGATTGGCAAGTGATGGGATAGTAGCAGCGCTTGCATCGGGAATGGGCTGGTAGCGGCTCGAGGAAGGGTGGGCAGGGTCCATCGCAGCAAGCGCGTCGGGGTAGCGCGTCAGAGCTGATAGCTGCTGCTTCGAGCCGCGGGAGACGTAGGGCTCGACTGGAGACTGGGGTAGTGGTGAGGTCTCTCTACTTCATACGGCTGTTGCGATGTCACTGATGATGCTCTTTCTGGTATGATTGCAAGGGGAAAAGGGCAAGGAAGGAAGATGTCGCTGCCGATGTCCTTGCTTGCTGCAAGCAACACAAACACACGCCCGCGCTCAGGCCACCGGAGAAATCTCGCGCCGCCACCAGGAATCAGGCACAAGAGGCGCACCTCCAGCCAAAGTCAGCCCTTCGCACAAGGCGAGATCAACGCATCGTGTCTCCCCGCCCTTCTTGTCATCCCAAGACTGTGAGCCTCAGCTTGTGCTCCCGGACATGATGCGACGCTTTGCTCTGGCCTGCTCAAGTATTTCTGTTCCAACGCTTGCAGCGATCGGAGCGATCGTTACTCTCTCACGATCTGGTGCCTGAAGGCAACTCCTCCGTCGGACATTTCACCAGATGACGTACGAATCTCTCGTCCCTGACGATTGTTATTTCCCAATGTTCGATTCAGGGTGAACCTTTGCCAGAACTATACCAAGCGGAGGGAAAGCATCCGCTCCGTGCGTCATCTCCACAAGCTTCACGAAGTGGTGCGGCACGAAGATTGCCGCTGCATAGCTTCGTACTCTTGACTGGCTCCCTCCAGACGTGCTCCTCTCACCCCTATACCTTCAAGGTGCCTATTTGTCAAGTACAGCATGCCGCCCCGTATCAATCGCTCGCTCACCAGCTCCGCCCGAGCTACTCTGACCTCAATGCCAGACGAGATTTTGTGGGAGGTGGGTAGGCCTGGCTCACTGGCGGAGCGAATGAGGCAGCGTACGTATGTAGCTACTAAATCTCGCGCTGTATCACATTATCTCATCTCAATGCGTTGCTTTAGATCTGCCTCCGAGTCGATAATCTTGGAGGCCTTGCCCAGGTCTGTAGGCGCCTTCACCGTGAGTAGGTGTCTTGAAGCGTCCAAGGGCGATGGCTCCGAGGTGTTTTCTGCTGCGGTGGAGCTGTAAGGGGCACTGAAGCTCTCGTCATCACTTTCGTAATAGTATTTTCGAAGAGCAACACTCTTCGTGCACAGTACCTCGTCAAGACCTATGGCCGACCGTATGCGATGTTTCATGCCATCGCTCGACCTAAGATCTTTGACCCCCTGCTTTGCAAGGTGAGGAACTTGATGCATACATGAGCAACAACATGACAATGACCGTACCTCCCTCAACAGGCTTTGATCGCTGCGGGAGCCACCATCTCTCTAGCACTCGTCCAAGAGTTGACAAAGGTGATCTCGGTCTCCAGAGCTTTCCGTAGCAGAGCTCGAGGTCAAACTCACATCTGCCTCTCACGTCACTCTCATTACATTCAGCGCTACTTCTCGTCCGGCAACGCTCGTATTGAATATGCAAAGAAGGATTCCTGGTGCTTGAACCTCACGTTCCTCGCTGCCACAGCTGTGATTATTGAAGGGGCTATCAGAGTCAGTGAAGAACATAGTCAACCAGGGCTGCAGAGAGACCGCTAACCTCTTACAATTCGACTCGATGTGCAGTACTCTCATCTTAGGCTGGAGACGTCCGAAATGGAGCTCTTCCTGGACTGGACCACCGGGCGTATCGCCCTATCGCGCGCAGCACTCGAAACAATGTTTCTTGAGCGACAATTTGCCCCGCTACCCCTGCGCATGGAGCAATACAAGGCGTCTTACACGAAGAATCTGCTCTCCAATGTCCTCGAGAATGTGAGTAGACCCCATGGCTGTGACAGTAGAGCCGACCTGGGTCACAGCAGCTCTGCTTGTCTCATCAGCGACCTTCCTCTGCCCTTCACAGGCAGCCACTGTAAGCGAGCTGCTGTACGCCCAGCTGATCCACAACTCCCGCAAGCGTAAGACTCCAGTCGTCTCTAGCGGTCCGGCCAAGATAAAAATGACGAAGACTTGAAGAATTGAGTCCTGCCTTTCAACGTGCCTCGAGAAAGACTGCGATGATGGGAGCCTCAAGACTCACATTGACTATCCTACGGTTCAATCTTCTCTCCTTACGATGTCTCCTGTAGACCGTATTCGTTCACTCGCTGTCGCTTGCTCATTAACGTCTATCTAGCTTGTTTCATCCTGATGGTCGCCTGGCGTGAGCTTAACGATGCCTCGTAATGAGCGTGCGAGTGGATTGGCATCGACTGTGCTGGCTTTGTTCTCCTCCTACGTTGTTGTGGACGCTGGCACGGTTGGCATATGAGGAAATGGGGGCAAAGGCGTGCAGAGCCTCAGGAGACCTTTCATGGCTTTGGCCTGGCGCTCGCATTGCCTGTCATTCCGAGGTGATTGGCGGAGCCTCGAAGGTGTGGCGCCAGAATTACGGCCTGAGAGCCGAGGTGAGCGCGGAGCTGAGCTGCGCGTGAGGTGAGCTGCAGCCCTCCCGAAGACTGCAGCCTTCCCGCCAGCGACTTGTCCGCCTTTTATCCACTACAGCGCCTCAAGAAGATTGAGAGTATGGCACAATCAGGCTCCCTCTAAGAAGCTGTGATGTGATCAACAACGAGGGCTGTTCTACTAGCGGCTTCCTCTGTGGTGTGTCCAGCCGCTTGCAGTCAGGCACCGGCGGACGTGTGGGGTCTGAGCGCGACGCGAGGCGGGAGTATAGAGTGGTAAAGACATGCAGAGCAGGAAGCACATCCTTTGCTCTGTCTACCTTCTCTCCTCCTCACCATCCTCTTCTTCTTCAGTATACGCATCATCCCCTCCAATCCCCTCTCCGCATCCATGATGTTGGCAGAGCCTGTCACTCCCGCTCAGGGCGGCGGCGACTACCTGGCGTTGCTGCCTGAAGAAATACTTCTCCAGGTGAGAGATGCTTTGCTCGCAGCGTGCTCGACAAGATGCATCGCAGTTCATTGACACCTCATCTTTAGATCTGGATGTTGCTACCAGAGCCTCAATACATGGCCGAAGTCTGCAAGCGATTCCATAGTGGGTATACTATTCGTGTGGAACTGCATCGTGGTGAGATACTTGACCAATCTTTGCATCCACAGACCTCTCCCGATCTTCTTCGCTCCAGGCTCACTGGTTTATCTCCACGCACGGTCGAGCGTATGCCCTTTTCTACGCTCTTGCGAGACCAAGACTCTTCAAGAGGGAGCTCCTCCATGTACGTCGTTCCTCAATTGGGGGTTTCGACTTGAACCAGCTCTGACTGGACGGACTCCCGACCCGCAGAAACTTCTCCAACTCGGCGCTGTCTTCTCTCTGCAACTCGAAGGAAGTGCGCACCCTTCTTTTCAATTCCATCGGACCACGGCTTTAGGACTGACCGTTTGCATTCTCTCTGTGTCGCAGCGTCGTTGCAAAACTGACGGAACGCCAGCCCAATTGGACACCTGGGGGCAAAATCTTTCACACGATGCGAGCGAAGCAGTCTTCCAAGAAGGCGAGAAGCAGGTGAGTCACACCAGAGCGCGACGAGCAGCGTCCTTTCAGACTCATGGACTGCGGAACTGCACTCGTTCTGCTAGTATTCCAGAGAGCTATGCTCTAGCGTGTGCTGTGGACAGAGCTATGCTGCGTGGATTGCTGGAGACGAGAAGTTGCCATACGACCAGCTCGAGCTCTTCTTCGGGAAGTTTAGGTTCATCCCTCTTCCACTATTCTCGTGCGCTGGCATGATGCACCTGACGTTGACCACCGCCGTAGCGAAGGTACGTTGAATGGACTGTCCGTGCCGCACCACTGAGTGTCCTTCGGGAGCTGACACTTCATGCTTTTACCTTGTTAAGTGGCCTCGAGCAATCTTACACTTCGCTAATCATGGCATTGTCTTTAGCGACGACGAAAAGAGGGCAATTTTGACAGAAGTGCTCAACGGTTCAGAGAAGGGCATCCAGCCTTTTCGTACTACGGCAGCTGTAGTGGCTGACTGCGAGACCCTGCTCAAGATGAAGACGAAGCACTGCTCTTTCGTGCTTGATGAGGCTCTTGCTGTGAGTCTCACGACCGGCCAGGTAGTAGCAAGGCGGGGAAGACTCATCCTGTACTTCCCTACATCTTTCACGAATAGGCCGGCGTTGTCTCGAACCTTCGCCACGTTGAGCTCCTCGAGGATGAATCATGGCGCAACGATTGCATTGGTCAAAACGCTTCCCGCTCATTTGAAGGTGAGTTGAACGCTGAGATACCGACATGCTATGGCATCCGTCTGTATGAGCCGACTCGTCGTTTTGGACCATCGCAGCTCTCATCCAGATCTACTGGAAAGGGCTTTTGGACCTCAATCTCCCCGCTCTCGTAACGAAAGTGGCAACTCAAATGGCTAATCAACTTGGAAGTTGTGATGCTATGAATGTTATTCACTACTTGGTACATGGTAATCACAAGCTCATCGATGGCTTCGCTCAATTTCAATGGTGAGCTCTCCGGAAGCAGCTCCGTATTTGACCGAGCTCCGACGATCGCTTCTGATCATTCCTTCCACGATGACTCTCCAGGGTTGCCTACTGGCTCACACATCAGCTTACCTCCCTTAAGCTCTGCTGCGCTCCCAGCAAGGACCATATCATCTTACCCAAGCCAAAGCTTATCTCCCTCTCTCAGCGACTTGACAATGTGAGTGCGGCCCGACCTCGCATCGCGCCGACTTGTCTTCGCCGCTCTAGTGACACACAGTGGTGATTTCTTCAACACGTGCAACAGGTATCAGACGCAATCATCAATGTTCTGATGCAACCTGGCCTTTTGGACGATACATCGGTACTTCAATTTGCCCTGAGCCAGAAGATGGTCGTCAATTGGCCATCATTCCTCAGTCGCATCAGCAAGTGTTTGCTACTCGTACCGATGAAGGTGAGAAGCTCGAAGTTAATCGTACGGTCGGGCCAAAGCCGGTGCGTGAGACCGCAGACAGATGACACACCCCTTCTTCCCATACTCGATCGGAAAGGGCGAGCTGCTGATTGCCATCAACAATTGGGTTTCCAAGGCCTTGAGAATCAATTTCTCGGAAATTTTGAGCACTGAAGTAGAGCGCCATGGTAAGTCCGTTGCAACGTCGATTACACCCGCAGAGCTTGGTCTATCTTACAGCACTGAGATCTATCCTCTCATCGCCTAAGCTTTCCCTTGGCATCTGGGTCAACCTATTGGTGAACTCTACTGGTGGATCGAGTGCAAAGCTCTGGCTGGCAGAGCAGCGGAGGGACAATCTGCTTCTCAGCCAACGGAGCGGGTGATCACTTGCTGCGAGGAGCCACAAGACTGGATGGTTGAGGATGGCGAGAAATTCCTCAACCTGAAGAGGTACATTGACTTCGGAAGCGAGGTCGATATCAGCTGTCTACCCGCAAAGTTTCGACAGAAGCATCAGGACGAGCTGGACCTTGCCGAAGCTGTCGATGCTATCTCTGAGAGCCCACTTGTCAAGAGGCTAGCAGCTGTACCGTCTCAAATGCGCTACGTGGGGTGAGTAGAGGACCCTATACCAATTTGGACTCTAATTTGGAAAAGCAAACCAGTTGACTTTTGCTAAGCATCTTCGACCACCGTCAGACACAAGAAGACTACTCCCCTCCTTTCTCTGGCATCGAATCAGTGGCGACGCAACTCTTACGCCATCGTCAACATTTGTGGCAGCGGCACCATGGCACAGTGGATCGTAGGCGATCACATCTCCCTCGAGTGGTCCTTGTCCGGCGGTAAATTCTTAGCGAGACGAATGGCGAGACTAGACTTCTTTCCTCCCGAGTATGACCCTCGTAGGGACAAACCCACTTATAGAATGCAGAAGGGCCGCCGAGTCAGGGTTCCACCCCCTACATTGATCCCGATGGGTCCGGACCCCTTCCAGATGCTGTAAAGAGCACACAACGAGATGAAGGCTCAGAGTCTCGACATACAGCACAATCCTTTCCTCCTTTCACTTCCTTCGGCTCCTAGCGCTGGACGCAGCCCCTGAAATGAAGTCTTTTGCGTCCCGACGTCATTCTTCTGCTCTGAAGAAGTGTTGTTCGAGACGGGTCTCTATAGCAACAGCTGGTCTCTCCTGTGAGCTTGTGACCTTAGCGGCTGCCCGTAGCCCTCATCTGGCGGACGGCAATGGACGCGAGAGTGCGCCTCCAAGCAGCCGCGCGAGGTGCATGTAGTCGAGCGTGGCATTTGATTAGCTGTTCCTCCCCTGCCCTTCCGTCGCTATTGCAACTCTTCTCATCACTACTTCTGGAGACTCTTCCGGCGCTGTCTTCTCCCATTTCCGCACCATGTCGGACACTGGTTTCCCCGACTCCAGGTCGGACCTTGATGTCACTCCTCGCAAGTCCACGCTTGAGTCGATGCCACATGAGATTCTTGTGAAGGTGAGAGGACATGCGGAGATAGTTCGGGATCTTGGCCTCATCTTTTGCTCTCTGGCACAGATCTGGATTCATCTAGACGATCCTTGTGCTCTAGCGAGCACGTCTTGGAAGCTTCGACGTGGGTAGGTCACCTTGTCTTCGGCTTGTCGCTGCCTTCTGAGACCTTCTTCTCATCCGCTCCAATTGGCTTACCTTCAGGCGCCTCACAAGCATCCGATCTGCGGGCACGATGGCTACTGGCAGAGTTTGGTCCAGCATACGCTGTCTTCCGCGCTGTGGCCCGACCTCGACTGTTCAATGAGGAAGTCTGCGATGTGAGTTCCGTATCATTGGCAATTGTTGCAAGAGAACGACGGTGTTCACCCCTCCGACCCAATGCTGTAGGTCCTCGTAGCTTATGGGGCAAACATTTCTCTCAGTCTCATTCAAGAGTTTGCAAAGGTATGACCTCGACTGCTACCAACAGACCATTTGACACCCATCTGACTGACCGCGATATTACTCAGCGCCACTTCTCCACTGGCCATACACGAGCTTTGCTGAAACGCGAAGATCAATGGGGTCTGAAGGCAAATTTCTCCACCGCCATGGCTCTTATGTCAGAAGGAGAGAAACGAGTGCGTATATAATATTGCAGCATTTGCACTGCAACAACAAGGGGCGCAAGCCCAAGAGAGGTCGTTGAGACTAATTCCTCTGCTCTTCCGCGCCTTCGACGCCCCTTCGCATCGCAGTATTGGCAGCACCATCTCAAAGACAAATTCAATGAGATGGACCTCTTCGTCTCCTGGCTGAGCGATGAAAAGGACCTCAGCCCTGCTCTTCTCCGAGAAATGTTTGTCGACCGACAGTTCGCCCCACTTCCGCTGAAAGGTCATTCATACGAGGCCTCCCTTAGAAGCAACCGGCAAGGCAAGCCCTCTGCAATGCAGCTCATCGAAAAGGTGAGTTGCCCAGAGTCAATGTATGATAGCTACCTCTCGGAAAACAGCTGGTCCACCTTGCCAATGCTGCTGCTGACTATGCAGTACCCATCGTCAGTTGGCCACTGTGACCCAATACCTACATGTCCAACAAGAGCACAATGCTGCCAAAGCCAAGTCACTCAGAGCTGTAGCGCCAAGGGACACTTGACTGGGCGGCGGACGCCCTTGAAGAGGAAGAAGATGACAAGGCGAGAGCAAGCACCGCATCGAACGAATGTTTCTATTGAGTTGGGCCTTTCGTTCCACAGCATTTCGTACACTTCCTGAACGAGTGAAAGTCGTCTGGTGACATTTGACCCTTCTCCACGTCAGCCGCCTCCCAGGCGTGAAGAACCCGACGTCACTCGCGGAGACGGAAAATTGCGGCACGACCCCTTGTTCTACTCCCTTCCAAAGGGGTACAAAGCGACTTCTCCTCGCCTTGAAGACCTCACTGACCTACTGTGCCTCGGAAGACTTCCATGCCCGGCTTACAGTGGGCACCACCGCGTGAGCCACTTTGGACCCGAGCCGCGAGGCGGATCGTTCTGGAAGGTTCCGCCGTGTCTGCTTGCTGTCTTTCTTTTTCCTTCTTGCTGTCCTCCGCTCTTCATACCACGCTGGGCTTACTGTCCTACTCCCTTGACATCGTCCCCTTTGCTCATCCTCGATTTTGAAGCCCACACGACCGAGTGAGACTCGTAGTCTCCAGGGACATGGATTGGCCTTCACACTTCCCTCCTGATGAGATTCTATTCGAGGTAATTCGAGGGGAAGAGGCACATGCAGGCAGTGTTCGAGCGTTAAGACCCTTTGCAATTCCTATATCCTGGGACACTCTTCAGATTTGGCTGCATGTAGACGACCCATGGTGTCTCACGTGGACCTCCAGGCGCCTCTACGGTACGTGCAGGGGTCAAGAGCCGGCATAAGCTCAGTGGGCCTAGCGCTGAGTGAGCGACGCTCCTGCCGACAAATATGCACCCCAGCCTTTTCAAAGCAAACCCACCTGCGCTCTTTGTGGCTCCTGCAGCAATACGGCGAGCCCTATGCCATGTTTCACGCTATAGCTCGTAGTAAGATGTTCGATCCGGAGCTCTTCAGGGTACGTGGTACCATGGACGACCACTGTATCAGAACTGGGCTGACCTACAGTAAGCTCCCTGTGCGACTTTTCAGGACCTGCTTGCTTCAGGTGCCACTCTTTCGCTGGCTATCGTTCAGGAACTGGCCAAGGTGAGTCCGTGAGAATGTGTTCAGCTTTCTCAGGCCCGCTGAACGCTGACTCGTACCTCTTAACTCGGACGCAGCGGCAATTCTCAGACGTCAACAATAAACCCATGATGGCTTTGTCCTATATGTCCTGGGGCAAGGGCATCAGCTTCGAGGCTGCCCTTGCCGTAGTTACAGAAGGAAGACGCCGGGTACGTACAACGTGTCTTTGCTGAAGAGGATGTCATAGTCTTAGCTGAGCTTCTTGCACATCCCCGTTCACGCTCGGGCCCACTAGTACTCGCAGCAGGCTATGACATCGCGCTGTGATAGCCTCAAGTATCAAGACTGGCTCTTTGGGACACAGGAGATGCTCGAGAGTCAATTGGAGGAACTGTTCTGCAAGCATCAATTCGCACCTCTTCCACTTCTGCCGCATTGGCAGTCAATCTCTCAATCGGAGGACTCTTGGGTGAAGGAATCGGCCATGGATAAAGCTTACTCGAAGGTGCGGGAACCGGACTGAAAATGAGCACGCTTTCCAAAGTATCTCACTGATTCCACCCTTGCTTTATACACTAGATACGCCTGGTCGTGAAGTACATGCAACGCCAGCGAGAGTACAATGCAGCCAAGCGCAGGCTTGCGGGAAGCTCTGAGTCAACTGTGAGGGTCGGAAGTAGGCAGACGTCTAGCCGAGACTTGTAAAGGCATCATCCCTGTCATTTCGCATGTGCCATGACGAGCGTCAAGGACATCGCAGTAATCCGAGCTGCTGTGCTTCAAATTGCCAGCGCTAGCTTAGCCCTGCTTCCCTCAGAGAAGGGCTTTCCATAGCCACGAAACTTTGTCCCGTAGACCCTTGCAACCAAGCATGAAGGTAGCGTTCACGAGCGTCTGGGCTACAAGTCTGCGGTTGGACGATCCTTGTTGGTGCTTGCTGATAAATCCCCGTGATCCTGCCAACCGCTCCCCCTTCGACATCGTGTCTGTCCGTTCCCTTTCCGTTATTGCCTGTCGGACCGGTAGCGACGCGTCCGAGGCCGGGGGCACGGTCCTTTCCGTGTGCTTCGATCCCGGCATGACCGAGGTTGGATTGACCGCCACCCTTCCCTCCTACTTCTGAGCATCCTTGACCACTTTGAAAGCCCTGTCCCCTTCTTTTGTTGCAAAGATAGATAAAATGACTCCTCGTAAGTCCTCCCCACGTAAGCCGCAGGGTGGCGCGCTGGCGTCCATGCCAGACGAGGTTCTAATGAAGGTGAGCAGAGTCAACGCTGCTGGCATGCAGACCGCAGACGAACGACCTCCGTTGCCCGACTGTACTGAATCCTTTGCAATCACTAGATTTGGCTGCTTCTGGCGGAGCCGACGAATTTCCCCCTGATTTGCAAGAGTATTCGAGGTGCGTCGTGCGGGACGATCACCGGCAGCTGTCCGTACAGCCGAAACACGACTGCTGCAATCCCTCACTTACGGTACTCCTGCTTGCATCTTCTCCCACAGAATTCACCCAGCGACCTGACGTTCGAGCCAAGTACTTTCTGTCTCGACACGGAAGATATCTTGCCATGTTCCATGCAATGGCATGCCCTAAGTTGTTCGACGAGGCGCTGTGCCAGGTGAATCAATCCGAATGGCCAAAGGTATTGCATGCCCCGCTGCAGCGCTGATAGACCACCTCACCACATGCCAGTCGCTCGTTGATTCGGGAGCACACATATCCTTGGCCCTGATGCAGGAATTAAGCAAGGTGAGCTCATCCTCGCCATCGCGTCTGTGCTAGTGGGATCGGCGGGCGAGATGGAGCTGAATGTGTACAAGCTCCCTACTTTGTCCAGCGTTGATTCGCTTCCGGCTATACCCGAACCGACTCCAGCAACGCAGACAAGTGGTGTCTCAATCTATCCTTCGCTGCTGTCCTCGCCGTTCTTTCGGCGGGAGCTAAGAAGGTGAGTCGTTTGGACCGCCGTGGCTTTTGAGTGGCCACAGGCGCCTGCAGCTTACCGGACATCCTTCATACCTCTTGCTTGGCAGTTTCCTAAGCTGAACATCGCCAAGACCTCTGAAATGGACCTATACTCAGACTGGCTCAATGGTCGAAACAGCATCACACGTGATGGCCTCATGACCATGTTCCTCAAGCGTCGCTTCATGCCCCTACCTTTGCGTAACATTGTCTTTGGTGGGTACGGAAGCCCTTTGATTACGGTCGACAAGGTGAGTTTGAGCAAGAAAGGGAGAAGACAGGAGCGGGAGACATCATGTACAGCTAGTCTCGCCTTTGATTCTACTCTCCTGTCTGTGTTTCTTCTTGCCAGATCACGGCCGTGGCGGACTGCATGGTTGCGCAGCGCGAGGCCGACAAGCGCAAGAGGAAGAGAAGACGACACGATAGCTCGAGCAGTGCAAGTGGAGAGAAGAGGAAGCGTCGAGAGAGCACCAGCAGTGGAGAAGGAGAGAAAGGGAAAGTACAGGCAGACTCCAGCTGTGAGACAGGAGATGAGCGTGGTGTATGAGGTCATGATCGCCTCCCACAATGAGCTTGATTCGTTCTGTGCTTCTCTGTCCGGCAATATCATGAAGTCTTTTCCCAGGAAGGCCCCACGAAAGTCTACTGTATAGATGCGGCATACCAGCTGGTATGAGATCGCCGTGTCCGCGCGCCTGACGGAGGGGGTAAGGGGGTCTGGCTGGAGATCGTGTTGAGGTTGGCACGTTCTCTCTTGCGGACCCGTACCGCGCCTCTCTACCCGCCCGCCGGCTTTCTTCGGAACGGGAGTGGTACGCGTCGACGGAAGTGGACAGGGGGCGGCGATGGTCCGAGCGTCATTGCACTTGGTCTCTCCCTCTGCAATGTCCGTCTTCCACCTTCCCTTCCATCCTCACCCCACTAACCCCCCACTACTCACTCGGCATCGCCTCACCCGTCTCTCTGAGCTTCTCCCACATTTCACTCCTCATCGCCGCAGCATGGCGGAAGAGGTCGATGCTGCCGCCGAGGCTGCAAACGTCGGCTTCGACCAGCTGCCTGACGAGATTGTGGTACAGGTATGAGGATTTGCCGCATTCCAGGCTGAATGTGCTCAGCGTTGACCTACGTCCTGCTTCGTGGCTGCCTTGACCTTTCAGATTCTCATCTACTCGGACAACCCAGGATCTTTTGGCCGAGCCTCCAAGCGCGTCTACGGTAAGTGGTATACTAGAGACTGCCTCAGATGAGAATCACCAGCTCAAGAGACTCTTGCGTCCTCTCCGACTCTCTAGACCTTTCCCAGAGCTGCCACACGCGTGCACAGTACTTTCTACGAAAGCATGGCAAAGGTCTTGCCCTCTTTTACGCCATATCTCGAACTAAGATCTTCACCGAAGATCTATTCAGAGTGAGAGCTTCGGCGGTATGACGAACGTAATTTCTCTTGCTGACCTGACGACTTTGTGCACCCGGGCAGACGCTGCTGAATTCTGGCGCAACGCTGTCACTGGCACTTGCCCAAGAGCTCGCAATCGTGAGTACAGCCTAGCTGCCTCCAGCACTACCGTCAGGGCTGACAATGTCCCGCCACGAGCAGAGAAACTTTAAAACTACACCGACTCGACATTACTCCGCCTACGGAGACGAGGCGACAAAATGGGGAAAGTATGCGGATCTGCAAGCAGTCTTGGCGGTGCTGGCTGAGGCTCATAAAACCGTGAGTCGGCTTCTCGTATGCCTTCGCAACGAGAGCCTCAACATTGTGACGTTGAGCTAAGCACCGTACGTGTATCGGCCTCATCGTCCCACACAGTTCTCGGGCCTGCACTTGCATGCTCGCGAGACTGAAGAATACCAGAGGTGGGCCGAAGGCTCCCGAGCTCGCCATGGGGTGTCCAATACTCGACTCGACCCCAACTTCAAGCCCGAAACCCTATTCGAAGAGCACAAATTCGTCCCACTGCCATTTGGGATCAAAGACATAGCCGACTCTTATTTTCAGAGGACGATCGGACTAGCCATTTCCAAGGTGAGTGAAATCACTTGGATATGGTGCAGTTGTGCATGGAGCTCACTCCTCGTTGATCTTGACCATGCCATCTTTAGTGGCCAGATCTGACGGTTTGGCTTGACAAGCAGGAGTTCAACCTTACCAAAGCGCAGGGCGAAGACATACTGTCGGCACTGATGCGCGATTGGGACGTAACCGGAGATCTCAGTGCCTTGGATCAACGCCTGGAACAGATGCACACGTCAGGACACCCGAGTCTGCGGGTCGAAGAATCCTTCGCGGTAAGTGCGCAAGCTGTCGGAGCAGCTCAACGACCCTGCTGTAAAGACGTTCGCTGCTGAGGCCTCTTTGTGACGTGTTGTTAAACCCTCTCGTAGACGCGAGTCCTCATGTCTCTCCGACACTGCAAAGTCGAAGGGGAAAGCGGCTACGTATCCGATGCCCGTCGTGTCGACACAATCAAGAGCGCCTACAATGGTGAGTAGGCAGGACTTCAACGACGACACTCCCACTGATCATCAGCTCAAATGCTTCCCATTTTGCCGCCATATGGGTCGCAGCTGTCTTGCGACTGGACACAAAGGGTATGCTGGACTTCAACTTCCCAGCTCTGGTCGAGAAGGCTATCCTGACCCTTGCTCAGCGGGAGAGCGGCACAGACGCTGCCCGCATCTACCATTTCGTCGTACATGAGACTGACGATACCTCTGGATCTACGAAGCTCGCTAGATGGTGAGGAGTGCCGCTCGAGCTGACCCAAAACAGCGTACCTGTCTGTCTCACAGTTTTCGATCCCTCCTATGACACACCATTGCTAGGTTCGCTTATTTCCTTTTGCGTCAAATGCAAGCTGCGCGCTTCCTCAAGGGCTGCACTCTGAAGTCGGACAGTGCACCCGATTGGACAAAAGCAAATTCAGACAGGGTGAGGTGGGGATGCGATGGTCTGACACAAAGCTCATACTACGCACTAGCTCTTGATTTTCGTCATCTCACTGACCCGCTCTCTGACTGGCCGCGCTCTTGCATTGCATCGTAATGCTTACGTCAGACTGAGGACGATGTTCTCGGCGTTCTGCTTCTCCCGGCCATTGTCGACGACACTAGCGTTCTCGTCTACGCAAAAGCTCACGGTTTAGTCAGCGACTGGCCGCAGTTCCTCGCTCGAGTAGCAAGATGCTTACTGCTTGACCCTCTCAAGGTGAGACGATAGCAATCGAGTCTGCGAAGACTTCTCTGGCAATACCGAACGAGTTGGTCATAGCAACAGCGCTGAGACTTGAAGCTGTTCTCTCACTACCATTCAGGGCAAGCTGCTCAAAGCAATCAGCAAATGGTGCAAAGTTGCCGGCCTATCGCACTTTCCAGCCGTGCTCGCGCAGGCTGTTGAGAGCCATGGTGAGTAGGAAGGATGAGCGATGTCTGTATGACGAGAGCCTACGTGACATTGTCTTCATTCGATCATTAGCCATTCCTGCGGACTTACAGAGGGTCTTGCCTGCTGACATGTGGGAATTGAGCGAATACGGCAAGGAGCGTCGCTTTTATCGAACTTGGGGTTTCCCACGTATCGCGACTGTTCTGAGCTCCACCCAGCACCTCTACCGCACTGAAAGTCCACGAGAAGGCTTCTTCCTTCCTTTGGAACATTACACCGACTTCGAGAAAGAGAGTGCGACATCCGAACTTCCAGAGCTTTTCCGGCTGGGCGTGGCACGCAAGTGCATGAAATTGAACGACTTGTTTGATTATCACTTCGACAGGAACAAACGCTACAGTTATCGGTGAGAAAGCTGAACTGATTTTGGCTGGGCAGACCTCTGACCAAGAATACGCCCATTGCGAACCCGAATCGCAGCAATCGCCATGCACCTCCCGAATATCAAGCACCCTTTATGGACAAGCTCGAAGGGAACTCCCTCGCAATTGTGAAATTGTGTGGATCAAATAGCCCGGCAGCTGCAGTGGTGGTGGATCATGCTGTTCTCAGCTGGACACCCTCCTCTTCGACTGAGCTTCTTGCTTCTCTGATCAAGGCAGGCTGCAAGTTCACTCTGCGACACCTCTACTTCTTCAGTCGAGTGGCCCGAAAGTTTCCGCAAGACTTGGAGAGGAGCTTGTCTACTCTCGGGGCAACGCCGTTGGCCGGCCTGGAGGAAGATGCGGCACTTTTGAGCTGTGTTGCTACCCAGCACATGGAGTGAGTGCCAACCACACTAGTCCCTGGTCGATTTCACACAACGTGACACTGATGCCAGCGAATTACCTTGCGCCTCTGTCAGCGACACAAAGTTAGTGACACTGCAGAAGCATGTCGACAAGACCATCGCGGAGTCCTCGAAGCGGACCATTACTCTCGTATTCGACCACGACGATGTGGGAAGGGTTTGCTGTACCCGCAAGCCCTCTGTGAAATCAGACCTTGAAGACGAATCAGAACGAGACGGATTGAAGGTCTTTTGGCAGCCTTCACCTAAAGGAGAAGTCGACGCAGGACTTGGGGGCAGCGTTACCTCCGATGCCATCCCGTCCGAGAGTACGGGAGGCGTCAACGACTTTCTCAATGCCAGTCTGTCCTCCAAAGACCTAGCAGCACTTCCGAAGCGAGGAGGAGGGGACCTGGAAGTCACCGTCTGCGTTCAAGATGTGATGAGTTTGAAGACAAGACGAGGCCTGCCACGCCAGCGGCATAGGTGACGGTCGATCACTCACCTGACCTTGCTCCCGACATATAGCCTCACAAACTGAAGGAAAACCTACGCCGACAGCTACTCCTCAACGCCCAGGTTGGCTATCGACATGTCAATGCCCTCCTTCACAGCGAAATTTACAAAGCTCAAGTCCGTAGTTCCCTACTGAAGGACGCCCGCGCCCTCTGTTCAGAATACCAGACTTACCTGCAGAATATCGTCAACACGCTAGCAGCCACGATTCAGGCCTTGAAAGTGGTGGTCGTACCTCGCTTCTCCCTGAAAGACGGTTCGGCTGTCGAGAAAGAAGAGTACAAGAGGCAGCACGAGCTTTTGACCGAAATTGCCGCTCTGCACAAGGAGATTGAAGGAAACACTAATGGCACTGAAGAATTGGCTAGTATCTGTAGTACAATTGGCGCGGACAAATACGCAGTGGCACCCTCTAAGAAACGACAGAGCTTCCAGGCGGCAGAGCAGGGTATTTCTCAGGAACTCAAGCGTCGAAAGAAGGGCAAGAAGGCAGAGCCAGGTGAGTACCAAGGCTCGAAACCTTGACTCGGAAGCTGTGATCCGACAAGGTACCTCCAGATGTAAGTCCAATGCCTCTGACGGCCTTGCGCATCTTCCTTCCCTTGTCTCAGACGCTGAAGATGAAAAAGAGGACGTCGATGTAGATTACGAGCCGCCCCCTCGATCCGCCGATGAAGATGGGTGCTCAAGCGTAGAGAGCTCTCAGGGAGAGAGCATTGCCGAAGAAAGCGAGCTGGAAGGCCTCCGAGCTGATGGCGACAAAGATTCCGCGATGACTGAGGCAGAAGACACCGCGATGGCAAGCGTCGACGACTATCAGCCTGTTGAATCTCAAAAGGGCGAGCATACGCCTGCTTCCACTGACAGCGACAGCAAGAAAAAGGGCCCTCGAGGTCCAAAGGAAGAGGCGTTCCTGGCGGGCGACGATGGAGTGCCGACTCAAGGGGGAACTTCCACACACTATGGAGCCGGATCCTCCTTGCCTACGAGCCAGCAGAGCCCCGGAGAGCCTGGCAAGGCCGTTCGTCGAAGTGTCCGATCAAAGCGATGAGTGGCTGGAGCATCAGTATCCTCCCTTTGTCACGGGACCCCAGCTTCCCTACGCATTCATCCCCCTTGTCGATACGGCCCATGAGCCGCCTTCTGAACTCTTCAACACTTTTTCCATGAGTCGCATCCATCGCAGTACAATACAGCCATTCACAAAGCGACACTGAACTCAGAAAGGGAGGCTCTCGGGGTCATGAGAAGCGGCGCTACAGTTGTCCCTTAAGCTTTCCCGAAGATTTCACGCCAGAGATTTCCTTAGACATCCGCAGTAGCTGCTTATCGCCCGTCGATTGGGGAGACAATGAACTGCTCCTGAAACAATGTACATTTGAGCATCCTGCTGAAAGGCTGCAATGGTCGCCATTGATTGACAGTGCGTTTCGACCTTTCTTCCGCTCCGTACCTCGATATCGGACCGGTAGCGCCGCGTCCGGGGCCGGGCAGACGCGCTTCCCTTCCGTCCGTCTGCCCTCTTTCATGAACTCAGAGGTGGAGTGGCCTCGAGTCTTCGTTACCGTCCTCCACTCAAAGCCACTCACCATCATCGACCACCTCGTACCTCGCTCTTCTTCTCGCCAGGATGCCGCTTTGTAGAGCCTCCCCGCCTGAGCCTGGCAAGGCGACGCTGGTGGCCATGCCTGATCAGGTTCTGCTGGAGGTAAATTGGGCGTAAGCTGCTCAAGCTTACGCTCAAACAGGTAGCGAAGAATTCTTCTCAGTTCTTCATCTCTCTCTCTCTTCCGGTCTCTCTCTGGGTCTACAAATCTGGCTGCTTCTGAACGATCCCCTGGACTCCACCTATCCAATCAGACGACGTGCTGATGGAGAGCGCCCAGGGCGCACAAGCTTTTCCGGACCATGAAGAAGCACAGAACACGAGCGGCGTAGAGTGCAATGCCGAGCCAGAGACTTCGTCAATCGACGCAGGCAGCTTCCTCCACCATCAGAGGCGGAGAGGTCGGAGCTATCGCGGGAGGGAAAGTGTTCTCAGATGCCGTCGTTGCAGCCTCCATTCCTAAGCGGAAGCTAGAGCAGGCTGACGGTGAAGCGGTCAAAGCTGTCCGCCACAGTGGAAGAACGGACGGCTGAAGGGAAAGCGACTCCTTCAACTCCTTCATCCCCTTTTGCCCCTCCCTATCATCCATCCCTGATTTTCTCGTTGTCGATATGAGTCTAGAGCCTGAATGCGGGCGACCGACCATCGGTCCGCCGCATTGCCCTCTTGGTAGAATTTGTCCCCAACGGTCTACGCAATGGAAACAGTCATCAACTTTCTTTTCCTGCACTGCCCATTGGTGTCTTTGGTATGCGGAAGAGCTGTAGCCCTCTAGCGTCGAGCCACGCGTCGACGCGAGCCTGTCTGGACAGAGCAGCTCTACAGCCGCCTGGGTGCGTCCGGCGCGCGAAGGCCCTTGCGCCGGGTACTGATTGCTGAAGGTTGTCTTCAGCCTCTGTCTTCTCTACCATCTGGACCCTACCACCTTCCACGACCATGTCCCCTTCCATCAACCCCGCTCCTGGTCCCTTGCAGGGACCTCTTGGACTACTCCCCGACGAATTCTTGGAGCCGGTGAGTACCCCGCTACTTTCTCACGTCATGAGGTCAAGGTCAGCAGAACATTTGCTCTGGAACCTTGTGCTGACAGACGCCTCTTTTCTCTCCGCACCCCGCACCAGATTTGGATCGAGATCCATGCTCTGGACCCCGACTTTCACTCTGTCGAGAACCTGCACAAGGTCTGCAGGGGCTGGTACAGTGAGTGAAGGGTCATTGCTCTATGCTATCGCGAGTGCTGAGGGCCAGTGCTGATCCTGTCCACGCTTTCACACACAACGCTCTGCTTTATCCGAACTCCAGCCCTGTCCAAAGACGTTGATCTGAGGGCTGAATGCTTTTTGGCAAGGAGCACGCCCGCGTACGCAGTCTTCGAAGCCATCGTTTATCCAAAGGTGTTTACCCTCGAGCTTTACCAGGTGGGTCAAGAAGGTCACCTACAGCAGCACACCTCTACAGATCTGCTAAGCCTTGCATCTTCATTCACTCGTAGCTCCTGCGCAAGAAAGGCGCTTTGTTGTCCATGGCTCTTGTCCAACAGCTGTATTCTGTGAGTGCCATCATCAGCGCGTCTCAGGTCTAAGGCACAGAGCTGACCCTTCCACGGACCCCGTATTCAAACCCCTCTGACCTTTACTGCCTCTCTCAGCGATACGTTAGTCGAGACCTGCAAGAGGTTGACTGCGACTGGGGCTTGAACATCAGGAAGGAATGCTACAAAGCCATCGAAATCGAAGGATACGAGCTGGTTCGTCGGAGGCGAGGCTTGCAAGACCGCCCCTACGTGTACTGATACTCAGCCGTGCTCTGCATGCTACTTTCACTCATCATCTGCCAGTACGGAGACTTCATGAACAAGGTCATCGATCATGACCTCTGGTCTCGATGGTACACCGGCTCGATCGACCTGGAGGAGAAGCACATCGAAGCCCTCATCTTGGAACGAAACTTTGCTCCTCTCGCTTTGCCCTGGAAAGACAGCAGGTCAATCAGCAGCCGCTCTAACCTCATGAATATGCTCAGATCCTACGAGATCGCCATTGTGAGCTGTCGATGTGTGGTTGGGTAGCAGTGTACAGTACGGCAGCGCCCGCTGACCAGCAACCTGCTCTGCTTTTGTATTCGCCCATCCTAGCGCCTCCGTATCGCCCGCAAGTATCTTACTATACAACAATTTAGAACTGGAGGGGATCCACATTTCTTGCACCCTGCTGTGCAGCGTCTTCAGGATCGCTTGCCCATTGCGTCGCCTCAAAAAGAGGCAGAGATGTCCGAGACGTTCAAGCTGATGCGTCCCCAACCACCACGCCCCGATACCAATAGCCGCACTACCGATAGACGCAGGGAGCGCTACAGGTTGTACGATTCGCACGATTCGGTTTGGTGAATACAAGAGAAGAAAGTCATCGCGCAAGGACGGTGGACGATACGCGTCGTAGCAGGCCAGTTCCAGATGATAAGCAGTCTTCAGAAATAGCAAGAGATAGTCTAGTTGGGGCTTTCGCACGGGCCATAGGATCGATTGGGCTCAGCTCGGTTGCGTAGACTAGCGCGCAGAATCTTGTCCTCATCTAGCGGTTGTCTCAGAAGCAACAATGAAAATGTACAGTAGACTGGCAGCCATAGACTCCTGGCTCTTCTTTCCCCTTTCTATGTCACCCCTTTTTAGCCCAAGGAGCACTCGTGCCGCCTGTCGCCCACGGAGCAGCCGTCCCGCTGACGGATGTTGCAGGAAGGGGAGGTGGGGCCATGCCTCTGGAAGGGGTGCTCGAGGGCGGTGGACCTCTTCTGGCGCTGCCAAGTGGGCCCAGAGTGGCGGACATTGTCGACGGCGGTGGCATTTCCGACGTAGTAGGACGTTGTGTTGCACCTGGCAGACCGGTTGCTGCTGCTCCTCCTCCTGAAGCCCACGGTGCCCTTGTTGCGGGCTGTTGAGCTCCACTTTGACCAGAAGCGGTACCTCCCACTGCTTTCCCTTCCTCTCGCACATCTCCCACCCCCTCTCCCCCTTCCCAAATCCACCCCACCCCACCAAAGACAAAGTGCTGCACCACCGGTCTCTTGCCCAATACCTCGACCTCCCACATTCTCATCATCCCCTTGTTGACTTTTACCCAATTGGGTACCGAAGTGGAGACGTCGTATAGGAGGGGGGAGTGCTCGTGAAAGGGACCGGATTTGAGGGCGTGGATGCGGGAGATGGACGAGGTGAAGAGGTTTGGGAAAGGTGGGGAGGGCTCCACGGAGGAAGATGTAGGGAGGTAGTGTAGTAGCTCGGCGGGAGAGGGTCGTTTGGAGGGTTTGTGAGATCTGGAGGAGAAGTGAGAGGGGAGGTATGAGGATTGTAGACGGAGTTGGGCTGAGCCGATGATGTAGGGTATAAAGTGATAGTCGTCCTGTAGAGAGTGGAGAGAATGGAGGACTGGTCAGACAAAGCCATGTCATCGAAGGAGCTGATCTTGGACTCTCTTCACTCACCAGTCCCCAGACACCATGCGACCCAGCCGGCTCAAGTGCGTACCGATCCTGCAGTCCCCACACGACCTGTAGATACAGCGGGAGCACCTCCAGCGCCAGTGCCTCCTCTACCTGGGTCGCCTCTTCTACACTCCCGTTCCTCTTCTCCGTACTAGTGCTACCGCTCGCTCCACCCGCGTTTGCGTCGTCCTGCTGGTCGAAGAATCCAAGCTTGAAAAGGAGTCCGAGCCAGGCGAGAAAGGTGACTTCGTGACCGGAGCCATAGTCTATCCGCACAAAGGAGCCGAAAGAGTCGACGAGGTAAGGCGAGAGCTCGGGAATGAAGGGGTGCAGGTGGAGCTGAGAGGCTAGGAGGTCATGATGTAGCTCGTCGAGTTGCTGCGCGCAAGAGGGAGTAGAAGCAGGAGGAGCTGGGCGTCAGTATCGCCTTTCAAGCGATTGTTCTGCCGGCCTTGCCTTCTCACCTCTTCTAGTCTCGCACCCCAGTCTCTGAAAGCGAGGTTGCCAAATCTCTGCGGCGTCTGCTTTGGCTCGATCTCCTCCGTCCACCGAAGAAGTGTCTGCAGCAGCTGAAGGACCGCCTCTATTCCTGTATTCTTCCTGCGTGGTATACTCTCCGAGGAGCTGCCTTCCCCTGATCCGTCCAGCTCTGCTGCACTCCTCGGCCAGCGCGTCTCCTTCCCAACAGCCGCCTCTCCCAGTCTGCTAGCGAAGAGGACTATATCGGCGTACGCTTTTGAATTCTTCCACTTGAGGAGATCCTCGTCGGAGTGGATCTGCTTCTTGGGCGGGGAGATGGCTTGGAGTACGGCGGGAGAGCGAGGGTCGATGCGTGTGAGTGGTGGAAGCGCTTGAGCTGGGAGAGTATTGACTGTTAGGGATGGTGGTGGAGCCATCGTGGTGAGGGTACAAGGATGAAGATGATGGCTGAAGAAGATGGTCAAGGCAGATGTGGGGAAGAAGACCCTTTGCTGCATCGTCTCCTTGTCCTCTTTCCGCTCCTGCTTCTCCACATGGCGCCAAAATCGTGAGCGTGAGCCGTGAGCCTGTGCTGCCCCGCTCCGTTCCGTGCGGCCGCGCAGCGATGGCGAGCGAGTCGAGTCGAGGTCCACTTCTTCGGAAGTACAGAGGATACCAGAGGCTGAGAAGGGGCTGCTCCTTTCACTCCTCTTCGGCATTGCCACCATCAACCTCCCGTCACACCATGTCTCGTACCCTTCTCGTACGAGCTCTACCCAACCTGCGAACAGCAAGCTCATCCTCCACCGCTAGCGCACGCGCCATCTCCACAACCGCTCCCAGCATGAGCAACGCAGCCGCCTCCGCTACTCCCTTCTCCCCTCCCAAGCCAGGCACAGTCAGCGGCTTCGTAGGCGCAGTAGGCAACACTCCCTTGATTCGAATCAATTCTCTCAGTGAAAAGACCGGAGCGGAGATTTATGGAAAGGCAGAATTCATGCAGCCCGGTGGGAGTGTCAAGGATAGGGCGGCTCTTTGGGTGGTCAAGGATGCCGAGGAGAAGGGTGAGTGGGACAGGGTGGAGAGGTGATGAGAGATGGAGAATCTTGGAAGGTCTCTTGAAGGCGCTTCAGCAGCAGTTCTTATCGCCAATGAATATCGCTCACCTCGCTGAAACCCATGCTGACACTCTCCCTCCTCCCTACTCGCCTCACGCCTCCCCCTCTTTCCAGGTCTCATCTCGCCCGGCGGAACTGTGGTAGAGGGAACAGCAGGCAACACCGGTATTGGACTCGCCCACGTATGCAGGTCAAAGGGATACAAGTGTGTCATTTACATGCCCAACACGCAGTCCCAGGAGAAGATTGACTTGCTGAGGATGCTAGGAGCAGAGGTCTACCCTGTGCCTGGTGAGTAGAGGTGTTGGATCGGGAGCAAGGAGCCAACGACTGCTGCAAAGCTGCCGTGCTGAGACGTCGTCTTTTTTTCTTCCCCTCTCTTCTCTTTAGCTGTCGCATTCGACAACCCCCAAAATTACAACCACCAAGCTCGCCGCCATGCCGAGTCTCTCGAAAACGCCGTCTGGACCAACCAATTCGACAACACTGCCAACCGGCAAGCGCACATCGACTCTACCGGTCCTGAAATCTGGGCTCAAACCAACGGTGGGCAATTCGATGGATTCATTGCCGCTACTGGAACCGGCGGTACGCTAGCTGGAACTACTCGATTCCTCAAGGAGAAGAGCGAAGGGAGGATCCAGTGCTGGCTTGCGGACCCTCCTGGCTCTGTCCTCCATCAGTACATCCAGCAGCAGAAGCTAGAGCGTACAGGTACCGGGTCTATCACAGAGGGCATTGGACAGGGACGACTGACAGAGAACCTCAAGCCCGAAGTGCAAGATGGGCTCATCGACGACTCGCTGCATGTACCAGACGCAGACTCCATCCGCACAGTCTACGAGATGCTCCACGAGGAAGGGCTCTACATCGGCGCCTCTTCCGCACTCAATGTCTTTGCAGCGGGAGAGATGGGCAAGAAGTTGGGCAAGGGAAAGAAGATTGTGACGATCATCTGCGATGGAGCATACAGGTATCAGAATCGCCTCTTTTCACGAAAGTGGCTGCAGGAGAAGGGATTGCTAGAGGCAGTGCCGAAGCACTTGGAAAAGTACATTGTCTTGCCGTGAGAGGGCGCGCGCTGATAGAGGCGCAGGGAAGGTGGGAGAGAGGGGAGAGGAGGGAGGCAGAATGTAGGTGGTACAGAGCTCTACCCGCTCTCGAAATCTGCTCGATGTCACCATCAGTCTCGCAATCGATGGGCTTGATCAAAGAATTGCTCCAAAGTCAGGGCTGTCCATGTAGCCCGTGTTGGATTCATGCAGCGCCTGCTCGTTCAACTACAGTGGTAATGGGGATTGGGGTCGTCGTCAGCTTGTTGTGTGGCATCAGTCTGTATCAGGTGGCGCCTCAGTACTCACCTTGTTCCTGAGGGGCCTAGGAATTAGTCTGTGCGCCTCTCGTAGCAGAAAGTCCACCTGTCCCAGCACCCGCGGAGCAGCTAACCCTGCTGCGCCACCTCAGCAGCTTGGCGGTGGATCTCTTGACTGCTGTCAACCCAAGCCCCCGCCGCTTCCCAGATTTCTTGGCCTGGAATGACTCTCTGCGTTGTCGGAGGGGCTGCGCTGCTGCGAGCTGCTTGAGGAATGTCTGCTGAAGAGTGTCGGTCGTTGCCATTTCTCGCTGGCGGGACAGGGGTAGAAGAGGCTTTTTTTCGGACACTGGTGTCGCTGGTACGCTCGTCGGCAAGTCATTGATGTACGCCGTTTGCGTGGGCGTGCCATGCGGGTACCCGCCGGGAGCTGACGAGGGAAAGGCAAACAGGGCCGTCTGAGGAGCCAGATTGGATCTTGGGGGCCCAGGCTACTGAGCAGCGAGAGTAGACGGACGAGATGATCCAGGCTGCTGAGCAGCGGAAGGAAATGGATCAGGCTGCTGGGAGCCACTGGCAGACATGTGGATGTTGCAGTTGTTGAGTGTTATGAGAGCGGGACCGGCAAAGTGTGCAGGCATCTTCACAATGGTAGTTGTCGTGGATGTCGTTGTGTTCACGAATGAACGGTCGTCGGGTCCATCTGGTGACGGGCCGAGGGGAGGCTGTCCAGATGACATTATGATTCCGAATGACAATGGGAAGACTGGGATATAAGAGCGCTGGTGGGGTTGAAAAGAGGGTGAATGAGTACAGGTAAGTGGAAAAGAGGTGAAGCGGACGACGGGCTTACGCTTGTCCTTCCTGCTATACAGAGTCAGCAAGACAGCCCCCTTCGATGCATTTCCTCTCCAAATCATCGAAGATTGCGCTGTGTTCCGGCGTGGTAAATTGGAGCATCAGCTTGAACGAGCTAGACTGAAGGTAAGCCTTGACAGGTCTGAACACGCCGGGGTGTCATAGAGTGAGCAAGTCTACCCCACCAGAGACTACAATTGAAGCATTTCCCGTCTACAGTACAGCACTCGTGACGTCTATTGAGAGAGATAGCATGAGACATAATCCACAGTGATCAGCTGCACGTCAAACAACAGACCTAGATGCTCTCTCAGCCGTTGCGTATCTACTGACCTGCGGTACTGGCTGATCGGCGCGAGCGATGCATTCAGGTGAAGTGCTCCTCAGGAAATCGAGCATGGGCTAGTCGTGGTGGCATGCCTCACGTCACATACGCGAGCGGACACACAAGAGTGTGCAACTAGAGCTATGGCATCGAATAGATGAGGCAGATTGCAGGTGAGAAGGTCAGTAATCTTTGTCTTGCGATCTTACATCGACTGCGTGCTTATGACGGTAGAGGGGAAAACTTACCTTTTGATGCTATGGCTGACGCACTTGCTCAGATACGTAGTAATATTATGGTGTGATGAACTTCTTGATCTGAGCTCTGCCGCAGTAAATAGAGAGGGTCTCGAAGTCCTGAGTACAGCTTGAGTTAAAGGCGTACTTGTGGTATGAGGTCCAGACTCGAGTAAGAGCGAGGGTGTAGTATGATGGTCGATGCCCAGCACGCAGCACAGTCTGAGTCGAGGTAAGATTGAAGATTGATGGTAGTCAGCAGTGAAGACCTCACTTGTGTATCGCAGTCGCAACGCACACTCACCACTTCTGAAAGACTTGCGAACATCGAATGTAGAAGAGCGAAGGTTGAAAGAGAAGCTTGCTCATGGTGTCGGCTGAGCACTTGCTCTCTATGCGGATGTTGACGAAAGTTGGGGGTACAAGATGAGTGCTCAAAGGAGGTAGAAGCATGGCTGAGAGCCAGTGTGATCGTATGGGGTGAAGAGGCTTGTCGCTTGCAGTGGTGACTTGTAGAGAGAAGAGAATGTGAGGGAGGTGGGAGAAAAGGGGCAAGGGGGAAAAAGAATGTGACGACTATAAGAGGTTCGAGAGAGGGCGTCAGGACGAGGCGAAAATTTCTCGTGCCTTCGTCAGGCACAGAGGCGAGAATGGTTGCTCCCAGGCAGGGCGACGGACCTCACCGGTATGAGTAGACTGTGACTGCCGTTGTGCCTCTTCCTCGGAGAGCAAAAGATTTCCACCGTCACATGTAATGATCTGTTCTGCCTCAAGAGGAGTCGTGCCTTGTGCAACGACCTAAGGGAAGAAGAGTAGTAGCGAGCCGCAGAGTCCCGTAGACAGAGTGCTGAGTGAAGCGGTGGCGACGCCGGGTTGCAGTACTGCTGTGAGGCTGGCTGGTGCGCAGCAAGAGGGAATCACCTTCGTCGTCCTACTCACTTGCCGTTCCCCTGCCGAACAACCAACATCGCTACATTGCCCACTCACCTCTGCTTACGGGACGACACCATGTCAGATCGCCCACCTTCTCCTCCTGGTCCTCGACCGGGCACCACTCTCGACAGAGACATCGTCGTTATCAGGGTTCCTCAGCACGCCAGACTCTCCCCCTCGGTGATGCAGTTCCTTGCCGGCCTCACCACTTCGCGAAGCGATAATCGTCTCAATCCCACTTGGCCACTCATGAGCCCCTCGGATGAGGGTCAAAGCTTTCAATGGCAGACTTGCAGGCTTCTAGAACATACTCCATCTACCTCTGTCATACACCGTGATGATACATAGGCGCCAGTACCCAGCTCACCTCCTCAAGAAGGACTGGTACAGGGGGCTCTTGCCTGTGGGCCTGCTCCTGCCGCACACACCACCGCGAGACCTCGAGCGAGAGACTCTTGTAGAGGAATCAGGAAAGCGATGGATTGTCTGCGAGTGCCAGGCGAGCCACCAACCGATAGCAGCGACACAGGTTCCCTCTTCTCTGAGCCTCTTCATCACTGAAATTTCGACTTCTATGGCCCGCAGACGGGTGATCAGTCCAAAAGGCGAGTGGGCGAAGAACAAAATCTCTATGTAGCTGGCCTTCCAGAGTCAACCAGGGCCCTCACGCCATCTTCTCCTTTGGAAGAAGGCCCTCGTTCAATCGCCTATGCTATCTCATCCACCTCGAGTCTCCTCCTGGAGGGCCGCATCCCCAGATTCACCACAAAGCAGAGCGTCGAGTCAAGTGAGCAGGGACTAGCTGTGGTCTGAAGCAGGGAGATCCCCCTTCCCATTACAGCGCCCTGCTCCCTGTAGCTCCACAGATGATGTTCGCCGATGAACTCGGCCTCACCAAAGACGCAGTGTGTGGAATGAATGTCGTGCGAAGTCTTGGCGGGTATTGCTGTGTGTGGTGTGCCGTGTCTTCCGCTGACGCTACTCTGTCAGGGGGTGAGAGGTGCCCTTGACGTGCATTGCAGGCTGCCTGACCCGGGTTGGAGGTGCGGGAAGCTGCTCGCCTGCCTGCCACACCCAGATCACTTTTCCGGTGACTTTGAGACATGGCTTCCCCACACACAATCTCGCCGCCAGGCATCAGAGCAGAGGAGAAAGCCGCGCGGCCACTTGACGGCGATTCAGCCGGAAAGCAGCCAAGCCCATGCACCCCGCACCTCCGAACACCCGGCTTAGTCTCCCCCCCCCCCCCCGCACTCGTGCTCAACCCCCCCCCCCCCCCCCCCCCCCACCCCCCCCCCGCATCACACCCAGAGCTCCACTCGTCAGCTTCTTCTCCCCCCCTCCCTCTGCCATCCTCTCCCATGACCTGACTCCTTCCTTCCTTTCTTCCTTCCTTTACCTTCTTCGTTCACTTTTCCCCTTTTCACTGGATTCCTTCACTGGACTCCCTCACCCTCTTCCTTCACTCCCTCTTCGCTCACCCCTCACACTATGAGGCTTCTCACACACGCTAGTCTCCTCTTCCTCGCTGCAGGCTCCCTCGCCACAGCAGCGCCCCTCGATGATGATCCCACTCTCCTGCTGCGCGACTGGGCCAGTCTCTCACCTCTCCGACGGCAGCAGCAAGACAACAATGCCACCGCGGGCTCCTATACTGGACCCTACGCTTCCGGTGGTGCGTGGACCGATGCATACTCTCAAGCAAAGGCGCTCATTGCACAGATGACAATCGAGGAAAAAGTCAACATCACGACCGGGCACAGTGGACCATGTGCTGGTAATAGTGGTGCAGTACCTCGCCTAGGAATCTCGCCCCTCTGTCTGCAGGACGGCCCAACTGGAGTACGCCCCGCCCGCCGCACCTCCCAATTCCCTCAAGAGGTGACCATGGCAGCCGCTTGGGATCGAGACCTGGCCGCAGAGCGTGCCCAGGGCATTGCAGAGGAGATGCACGACAAGGGCGTCAACTTCTGGCTCGGTCCAGTCACAGGCGGACCTCTTGGACGATCTGCTCTTGCAGGGCGCAACTTCGAAGGTTTCAGCCCGGATTCCTACCTTAGCGGCGAGAACTCTTTCGCCAGCGTACGGGCAGCACAGGAGGTGGGCGTCGTCACCGTTGCGAAGCATTTCATTGCCTATGAGCAGGAAACCTTCCGCGACGCCTACTCGCCCAATCAGACCGTCATTGATGCGAGTGGGGAGAACTATCAAAGGGTTCTGAACCAGCTGCCCATAGACTCTCAACTTGACGATAGAGCCACGCACGAGGCGTACATGTGGTCCTTTGCCGAAGCAGTCCGTGCAGGGTGAGTCGAATGAAGTAGATACAAAAAGGCTGATTGCGATGCTTTGACTCTCGGATACTGACTCCACCTCCTCGTGCCCTCACGGCCATTCATGCCAATCCAGTACGGGGTCGGTGATGTGCTCCTACAATCGCGTCAACGACACCCACTCATGCTCCAACTCTTACGCAATGAACGAGCTTCTGAAGGGAGAGCTCGGCTTTCAGGGGTCCGTCGTGTCTGACTGGTAGGTAGAAAGCGCGAGTCGAGGCTGGATCCCTCGACGAATGCAGACTGACCTCTTTCCCTGCTCTGCGACTTCAGGGGAGGCACTTGGTCCACTATCCATTCTGCCCTTGCGGGCTTAGATTTGACAATGCCTGGTCAGGGCTACGGCGGTATCTTTGGAGACTTTTTCGACGGCTCTCTCATCGACGGTGTACAGAATGGAGCAGTGCCCGAATCACGACTGGACGACATGGTGCTGCGCATCCTTGGACCTGCTATCCACTTCCAAGGCAACTTCACCGAGTCGTACCCTGCTCCGACCTTCGATATCAATGATGTCAATGGCCCGACCAACAACGTACGACGTGACCATTACAAGGTCATCGACCGGATTGGGCAAGAGTCTGTCACCCTACTCAAGAACAACCGAACGCTTGGTAATCATTACGGTCTTCCTCTCCGCAACAAGAAAGACATCTCGTCCATTGCCATCTTGGGTGAGGACTCTGGCCCCAAGATTCATGGCTACACCTCATGCGGAGACTTTGGCACAGCCTGTGCTTTCGACACGCCACCTGGGCAGAACGGGACGCTGAGCGCAGGCGGCGGATCGGGCTGGTGAGTAGCAGACCCTCTCATGCCTCGAAGACCGCTGTGTGGTCTCTGATGCTGCTTCTTCTTCTTCTTCGTCTCCCCACCTTCAGGTCGTATCCTCCTTATGTCTCAGATCTCCTTGCCGCAGTCAGTTTCGAGGCTCGTAGCGGAGGGTTCGACATTAATTCTGATACGGACAGCTACAACTTGGCAGGAGCAGCAGCACAGGCTGCAAAGTCTGAGGTAGCCATGGTTTCTGTCAACGCCTATGCGCGTGAGGGCAGCGATAGGCAGAACCTCACGCTCTTTGGTGGTGGCGATGCGCTGATTGAAGCAGTCGCAGCCGTCAACAACAACACCATCGTTGTCATTCATGCTCCTGGGCCAGTGCTTTTGGAAGAATGGGTGGACCACCCAAACATTACCTCTGTGCTTTTTGCATACTACCCCGGTCAAGAAGCCGGCAATTCTCTCATCCCGGTCCTCTGGGGTGACGTCTCTCCCTCTGGCCGTCTTCCCTTCACGATTGCCAAATCCGCCGACGACTATCCGGACATTCAGCGCAACTACTCCCTCGACCCTAGCGTCTACTTTGAAGAGAGTACCGATATAGACTACAAGCTCTTTGAGAGACGCGGTGTTGAGCCTCGATACCACTTTGGGCACGGGCTCAGCTACACTACCTTTTCTTTTGACTCATTGAGTGTGCAGTACAACTACAGCGCCGATTCTACCTCGATGCAGAAGACCAATGAGCACTTTGACGCCACGTATGGACAGGGCGACTCGGTGTACGACCAGCTGCTCACCGCAAGCGTCTCGGTGACCAACGAAGGGAGCGTGGCGGCAAAGGCGGTCCCACAGCTGTACGTCACCCTCGACGGTGTGCACAATCTGCGCGGATTCGAAAAAGTGCTCATCCAGCCAGGAGAGACTGTCAAGGTGCACTTCTCCCTCAGAAGGAAAGACGTCAGTCGATGGAGTGTAAAGAGGCAGGAGTGGTACATTCCCGATGGGGACCTCTTGTTCCAAGTGGGCAAGAGTGTAGGACATTTGAGCACAAAGGCAACTTTTGCCTTTACTGCCAATCAGTAAGCGAGATTAGTAAAAAGGACGGACACTCTCTACATTTCTCTATGACCTGTATTCAAGCATGAACACTAAGTCTGAAAAAAGAATTTACAATGAGCATGGAAACATTTGTTCGTCTGCCTGCCATCGTCCGCACGTCAAAGCTCCAGTCGTTTCCTTGCCGGGTCGGGTATACTCTTGAGCGGCCTCGGGGGAATGTAAGGCCGCGCTGGCACGACTGCTTCTGAGTGCCCATTCTCTCCCTTCTCTGAGGCTGCATCGAGATCTACAGGCAGAGCAGTAGTGTCATTCTCGTCCATTGCAAAACGCAGCGTCGCCGCGACTCTTGTGATCCACCTCAGTCCCTCTGCTTCGAGGACTTCAGCGTCTTTGCCTGCCCTCGGGGCGATGACGAAGCTTGTGAGCCCGCGCTGCACGCTCTCGCGCTCTATGCCTCGAGTGAGTTCATAGGTAGAGGAGACGGTCGTGAGGAGCCTGGCTCTTACTCCATCTGGGAGAGAGGAAAGGGAAAGGGCAGAGCGTAAGGCGACAAGAATCTGACATGAGGCGGTACGACCCACTCACCATCAATGACGTCCCTCGCCTCCCTCGTGAAGAGAAGCGCCGCAACCCGTCCACCCAGCTCAGTGCACCTCGCAAAAGCCACCAGCTCCTTCCACGTCCGCTTCACAGCGTTCCTTGAGGGACGCAGCACGATGGACCAAATGCCAAAAGCTCTTGTCAGCGTGTATGCCAGTCCAGTCGAGTAATGAGAGAGGAGGGAGAGGCTGTTCGATTTTGCCAGGGAGTCTTGCAGAATTGAGTTGTATACCATGGCGTGCAGATCGAGAGTGGAGCACAGCTCGGATGTAGAAAGTGCCTTGAGATCTAGAGGTGCTGAGCCGAGCTTGACCATCAGAGGAGAGAGCCAATCTTGGACCGCCTCTGGAGGGGTGCCGAGAGGCTCGTCCAAATCCATAGGTATCGGGGCTGCAAATGGTGCATTGGCAGTAGAAGGCTGGGCGCCATCTTCCTGAGGAAGTACCTCAACATCACGTACACTTTCCACGCCATCTGCGACGAGCTCTTGCTGTTCTTGCTGAGACAGATCGACGTTGCCATGCAGATCGGACCGCGGTCCAGTATCTAAAGCTGGTACCACGCCCTCTGGCTCGGCAAAGGCAGGTCTTGGACTTGGTGCGGCTGAAGACCTCCGACTTCGAGTCCAAGACGGAGGGACCACTCCCACCTCCTTGTGCATCACCTCTTCTGTCCTCCTTGCATAGTCTGGTCTCAATTTCCTCACCGCTCGCCAGGCTTGAGGTCCCTCTGTTCCTCCTGGTAAATTCTTCAGTCGCAGCCCTGGCTCGATGAACATCCGCAGCACGATAAAGTATCTCCTTGCGAGGTCTTCGCTCAGCTCCGTTGTTGAGCCGAGGGCCGCAGGGGGCGGCTCTACAGCAAAGCTACTATCGCTCTCCTCGCCCTTGCTAGCGCCTTCGGTCTGACGCACGCGCAGGACTGCTTGTGAGACGAGAGGGGCTATATCAGGCTGGCGCTGAGGACGAGAGAGGGAAGTAATCGCAGGGGCAGAGTATGCTGAGGGCATCACGCTCACATCAGCATCATAGCCCTCCTTTTCTGCTTCTTCGTAGGTGTGCCGCGGTGACTGACTCAGATCCAGCGTCTGCCTGAGTGCTTCTCTAAACCGCCGAATTTCCTCGGCTACAGTATCCCCTTCCGTAGCAGCACCGCTCCCTGCGAGGGCAGCCTCGTACTTTGCCCAGTGCTTGGCGCCGATCGCAGTCTTCGCCTCGGCATTGATGCGGTCTTGACCACGCGGGCCCAGAGCGGGACCGAGGTACTTTGCAGCGAGGAAATAGTGGTCGGGATGTGACGTCGTTGGAGTGACTGTAGCAGGACGAAAGGCTCTCACAAGTCTCTGCAACTCTGGAAGGGTTGAGTGACGATCGATTGGGCAGGCAAGCCATAGCGGGTACGGGCTCTTGCCTTCGTTTGCTCTCCCAATCTCGTCATGAAGTTTGTCGCTCAGGACCTTCCAGGCCTTCTTGGAAGACGATATTGGCTTGATGTAGACGGTCAGAGGACCCTGAGGCTGCCTTGGGCTAGGCGTCACTGCCAGCTCCTCTGCTGCAGGTGGCATAGGGGCTGGACCAGTCCAATGTTGTGACAGGCTCTCGAAGGCGTCCCGCTCACCAGCCAAACGCTCGTCGGGGGAGAGAAACTCGCAGTCTCCCTTTCGTTCACAAGCATGGAATCGCGTGGTCGTCTTGGTCGTCAGGAAAGAGAGTACAGGATCGTCTGCAGCAGCGTACATCTTCTTCTTGTAGGGATCGACGTGTACACGCGGTCCGGAGCCGCGATCTGAGAAGGTCTTGCCGATTGCAAGGTAGATTTCCTCGTAGCCCCAGGTAAAGAGGTCGATGAAGAAGTTGGTGTCAGAGGGATACCGCTCCATCAGACTAATCAGATCGAGTACAGCGTCTTTTTTCGCCATTGGCCATTCTGGAGATGCGATGCCCTCGTCGTCGATGTAGATGTTCTTCAGTCGCAGGTCACGCGAAGTAGGCCTCTCGCGCTCTCTTGTGCGGAGGGCTTCTGGCGATTCCGAAGCTTGTGTTCTGCTGTCATGAGTGTCTATGCTGGCTTGCGGGACAGCCTGCGTCAGCACCACCTGTGTGGCCTCGATCTGCTCAGCTTGCGAGCGTAACATGGGGGAGTTCTCCATCTCTTCCTTTGAAGCAATAGCCTTGGCCTCCTCCCACGAGGTATAGCGCTGCATTGCTGGGTTACGCACCAGACCCTCGAGCCACCACTTCTCAGCTCTACAGTCGCCTGTATGAAGCACTGCTCCTCTGTGGCCTTCGACCAGGAACATGACCGCGCCTGGCATATGATTGGCATCGAGTAGAGTCAGTTTGACCTTGACTCCCGGCAAGTACTGGACACTTGTCGGTGTATTGAGGGGAAGCGGGTGAAGAATGTCCCTCGGAGCAACACTGCTTCCAGTCTCGCGCCTCCGTATCGAAGCCTCTTGCTGTGTGAGCTTCAACCACTCGTACGGTCTCTTGCGGCCATGGGAGCCCATTGCTACTCCGGCTTCGCCTGCGGTGCGAGAAGGGCCAGGCTCCAGACGTAGAAGCATCTCCTTTGTCTGATATGAGCAGTAGATGGGCGCTGCGTTGTACAGAGGTGAGTTGAGACCTTCGAGATGGTCAACGTGCTGGGACAGAGATAGCGACAGTATGTGCGCCAGATTTCAGATACGTCAGCTCTTCTGCAAGGCTGCAGAAGCTCCGGAACACCCACTTACTATGTGGGTCAGCAGCTGTATCGTCGGGTGCGGGAAGCAGTCATCTGTCCCAGCCAGCTCAAGATCCTGCCATGGGGCGTCAGCATACTGCGCTTCACCGTTGCTGTCGTATTCTCGTCTGCGAGCTTGCGGTCTCTTGAGATAGGCTGGTATGCGCTCTCTTGACTCTGTGAAGCGGTCCACACGGATCCGCGGATACTCGTGGAGAAACGAATGGCCTTTGCGAGACCTGAGGTGCCAATGATGCGAGAAGTGTGCAGCGTTAAGGAGCTCAGGATCTGCTCTGGTATGTATAAGTTGAGCTTCATCGACTCACATTACCCCTCATGCTGCGAAGCTCTTCGACTCCTGAACTCCTTCGGTACGGGCAAGGACTTGGACTACCTGTGAGGGTTGTACGAATCTCTCCTACGCGCCTCCCTTTCCGCACCACGTGGCCCGGGCGAGCTGTTGCTCCACATGACTTGTCCGACTGTCGAAGAAGCTATAGCCGGCCATTAGACCTAAGTCCGGGTCTTCCACAACCGCCCATCTCCATCGTTCTCATCTCTCCTTCTACTCCAGCTCTACATCTCGTTTGATGTCACACTTGCTCAGACCCTCGACATCGTTTTCATCTTCTTTGCTCTGCAGGTCACTGGTCGCCCCCACTCGAAGTCTCGCTCGACCTGCTATTGTATCGACTCGCCTCCCAGCAGTTCCTGCGCCATCTCCTCACGCCCTCTTCTCCTCCACCACTCGCAACATGGCGCCCTCCAGCCTTCCTTCCTCGATGAAAGCCATTCTGGTCAAGGGTGGCAAGGGAGACTCTTCAGCGCTCTACTTTGATGACCACGAGCTGCCCACACCAGGGCAAGACGACGTCCTCGTCAAGGTCAAGGCATTTGGCCTCAATAGGATGGACATCATGCAGCGCGAGGGGAAGTACCCTCTTCCGCCCTCTGCACCGAAAGATATCATGGGTGTTGAATTCTCCGGAACAGTCGTCGGTGAAACGCAAGGCACAGATTGGAAGGAAGGAGATGAAGTCTTTGGTCTTGCTACCGGAGGAGCCTATGCAGAGTACATCAAAGTGCCGAGCAAAATGATCCTCAAAAAGGATGCTGCCCTCTCTTGGGAACAGGCCGCTTCCATCCCAGAGGCCTTCTTGACTGCTTTCCAGGCTTTGAGGTTCATCTCCGACATGAAGTCTGGCGAAGACGTTCTCATCCACGCAGGCGCCTCTGGCGTCGGTCTCGCTGCCATCCAGCTCGCAAAGGCATTCGGCGCAAAGAGCATATACATCACAGCTGGCTCGGACGAGAAGATCAAATTTTGCGAGGGATTAGGAGCCACAAAAGGCTTCAATTACAAGACTCAGGATTGGGGCACAGAGCTTGCCAATGCCACTGACAAGCAAGGTGTGGATGTCATCATGGACTTTATCGGAGCGCCCTACTACGAGTCGAACATTGCATCGCTCAAAAGGGACGGCCGCCTCGTCTTCCTTGCCTTCATGGGCGGATCGAAGACCTCAGTCGATCTAGCCCAGCTCCTCTTCAAGCGTCTACACCTCGAAGGCACAACGCTCCGCTCTCGCTCTCTCGAATACCAGTCCTCCCTCGTGCAAGCATTCGTCAAGAGTGGAGCGCTGCAGAAGCTCGTGGATGGTGTCGGAAAGGAAGAAGCAGAAGGGCAACATAGGATCCAGATCCACAAGGTGTTTGATTGGGAGCAGATCAAGGAGGCGCATCAGGAAATGGAGGCAAATAAGAACACCGGCAAGATCGTCATGAGAATCTCTTGATTTGGTCGCATTAAGCGAAAGAAGAGGCAATTTTGTATTGATCTAATGTACAGTGCGAATTGTATCATGTGCTTCAGAGTGCCCTCATCAGCTTGCCCATCAGCGCTTCTTGTTGGGTCGCACAAGGGACCGACTTCCTCCAGTCTTGCCTTTTGCATGCCCGTCACGCTTGCCCTTTGCTCCTCCCGCATCGCGTGACCTCGGAGCTTCCCTTGCATCATGTCTCTTGCCTCCTGGGCTTCTCGAGCCTTTCACCCCATCACGCTTCACGCTAGACGACGTCTTGCGATCCTTGCCTTCTGTCGAAGGGGCAGGCTTGCGTTTCTTCGCAGCCGCCTTGTCCTTTCCAGCCCCACCAGGTCCCGGTGCTTCTCCACTCCCCGCCCGGACCTTGATACAGAAGTTGTTGGCCGTAGCGCTGACCCTGATCTCCTCCTTCTTCCAGACCTGTCCATCCCAGTAGGGATGATCTTGACTCTTGGCCTTCAGATTCTTGCCCTTCTTGTCACCGGCAGCTGCGGCAGGCTTGCTCTTCAGCAGCCAGCGGGTCAATTTCCGCGAGTCGCCATTCTTGACTACCTCCCAACCCGTGGAGTCGAGGATCTCCTCAAGACGTGTGTGGTCCAGGTAGCGCGAGTTGGCTACGCATGGTAGCGGGAGGACGAGGTAGAGGTAGCCTCCTGCTGAGCTAAGGTAGGAGTGGGCATGTAGCAGGAGCTCTCCTCTCTCGTTGAGGTCTCCGACAAAGTTCAGAACTAGACTGAGACAGACCACATCAAACTTGTCCTCCTCGTCCTTGGGCACGGGGAAGTCAAAGAAGTCGTACTGCTGTACATTCTCGCCGCGAGGATTCAAGTCAATCGAGGTGACGTCGATCCACTTTTCAAAAGCAGTGTAGGCCGTACCGCCAAGAGCGCCCACGTCGAGCAACCTAATCTTGTCCTCGTGCTTGTTCTCCTTGACGATTTCGCGCAGGGCTGCAGCGCACCACTTGCCGCTTTCACCGCCTTTGGTCTTGTCCGCTCCGATGAGACTGGCATCTTGGTATGCCTCTAGCCCACCAAAAGAGTCGATCTCGGCTTCGATGGCAAGACGACGCTCGGTGGTGATGTACGGCTGGTTCAACTCCTTGAGCAAGGCGTGGAAGTGGGATATTTGCAGCGAGTGGGCAGTGGGCGCTTCAGCCTCCGGCGAAGGTGACTCCGAGTCCTCCTCGCCTACTACGTCCTCCGTAGCTGCCTTGAGTCTCTTCTCGACCTTCTTCACTAGCTCTCCGGTCTTCTGGGCTCTTTCTGTGGCGCTCTTTGCTGATGGCTTGCGGTTCTTTGCGCCCCCGCGCTTGCCTCTGGGCCGGATGAGCTTCGTTCGCTTCTTGTTCTTGTTGATGACTTTCTTCGGTGCAGAATCATCAGTGGCCTTCGTGAGGACTGGGCCAACGCTCGCCTCAGCAGGGACAGGAGAGGACATAGGCAGCTCGATGTAGGGCAGGGATGATGTTGATACGGAGTGGAAGGTCGAGTGAGCCGTATGTCCTACTGACCCCGCGAAGCAGTGGAAGAAGTGCGGAAAAGGCACAAAATCTCTCCTGCGTCTCCACAGCCGCGGCCCGACTCTTGTCTGCCGACATCGGGCCGGAACAACGCCAAGCCGACCGGGCGAGAGGCGAGGCGAGGCGAGGGGTGGGGTGAGACTCCAACACCTCCATACCAAGGCGTGTCTCACTGGTTCTTGGTCTCCCTTTTGATTAGCCTGACCTTTCCGAGGACATCGGCTTGGAGTTCCGAGTGAGTAGGCAGCCTGGACCACCTCATCCCCTTCACCCGTCTCTTTGCATCGTCTGGCCTTCGTTCTGTTCACTCAAGAACGCTAGTCTTGCCACTTCGGATTGGCTTCGGCCATCTCTGATCCCTCGGACTGCAGCTCGACTTCTGAAGCGAGTCAAAGGACACAGCACTAGCTTCCGGCAATGGACATTCTCTCCTTTGACTGGCTCTTCTCGAGCTCCTCCCATGACGACCCCTCCTTTCAAGGGGCCGATCGGGCCTCCCGGGCTCCCCAACCATTACCCGACGTACAAGCAACGGCGGCATCGGCGCAGATAGCCAATGACTCCTTCTTCAATCGCCTCGCCGCTCTGGGAGCCAGTCAACCCACTCAAGATCCAGCTGACAGACCGGATGCTGCTAGCTCTTGGTTTGGCATCAGCTCCTCTGCCTCAAGACCCGGATCTACAGACGCCGAAGGCGCAGACAACAGCGATCAAGAAGGCTTCGAGCCGCAGATGTGGACCTTTCTCACCTCGCGGTATGCCATCAGTCTTGTCGTCATGGGTGTCTTAGTGAATCGAATCCACCACATCTGTCGACCCAGGGGAGGCCGACCAGCTCGGATGCGCGGGCGAAAGCGTCTAGCCCTCCGACTGCCAGCCCTCTTGGCGCTGGGATACGCAACTCTTGCGCTGGGCATGAGGGTTCTGCAGCTCTGGGCTGGAGACTACATCCCGGGACATTCGTGGCTGGCTGATCAGCTGGCTACCCTTACCAATCTCAGGCTGGATGCAGCTCGTAGAGATGCTGATGAGAAGCTGCTCTGGATCACTTACGTTGCTGCTTGCCTCGGCATTGCAACGGAGTCCTTGACAAGGACTCTGGAAGCCGCGTGAGTATGGAGTTGTAAGAGCCGAACATGTCAAGCTTCATCTACTCATGTTATAGCTTACGCTCACTCTCGCTCCACAGCCACGAACCCTCTCCTTCCTTCAACCTCATGGGCTTCTCACTGACAGTACAATCGCATCAGATGGAGCCTTCTCACGTCTCATTGCACTTTTTCCTCTTCGTTTTCCTTGAAGTGGCGGAGGTCTTCTCCCTCTGTCTCATGTCCTGCTGGAGGAAGCCGCGGATCAAGAGGCTCCACATCACCACCGTCTTTGGTCTGGCGGCCACAGCGCACTACCTACTGGCTCCGGCTCACCGGAGACCAATCATCTTTGGCTTCAACAAGATGCCGGATGTGGTCATGCTGGCCATAGTCCTCGTCACGATGGCCTTGCACTCCCTCACCATGCTGGTCACAGAGGGTAAGATCGACACGAGTCGCCTCCTCTTCACAAGGTCCAACTTCCCATCCGCATCAGACGACTACTCCCTTGCCCTTTTCAAGCTCGGCACCGCCTGTCTTCAGTCCACTCGGCTTACTGGACTCTCGCGAGAACTCGTCTCGATTGAAGTTCCCGAGAAGACATACATCGAGGTGGACGAGCTTGGCAACACCCGCATCAAGACTGGTCTGGAGGGCCTGATAAAGGGTGACGGCAGCGGAGGCCTTACCAATGAGATTCGCATTACCACGCCCGTATCTAGGATCGGAGGTGGCTGGAGAGGAGCCGACTATGATAGTCCTATCTTCATGTCGGGAGCCAAGTGGCGAGAGGTGAAGCGCTTTATCTTTGCCGTCTTCGGAGTAGCCGGTACCATCTGGCGAGCAGTCTCCAGCCGAGCTCCTCGTCCGCCGTTAGCCTGGCTGGGGAGATGCGTGCCTCAGTGGGTGCGAAAGCTGCCCAGGTGGATCAGGCTGATATGGCATGGTCAAAATGGAGAAAGAAGACGCGAAGAACGTCTTTCGCGTCAGCAAATAGAAAGGGATCGGCAAGAGAATCTCAGGAAAGAAGCCCTCAAGGCTGTTTTGCGTAGGAATGGTGTAGATATTGCAGAAGGAGAGGATCCCAATCTGGCAGCATGGCGGGCGATGAGGGAGGGCGTACAACGCCGAGAGGATGGACTGAGGACCCGGAGAACAGCAGATGGGGGAGATACCACGGAGGATCAAATGGGAGTGCCTGCGAGTCTTTGGAATCATCTCCTTTATGCTACTGGAGAAGCCTCGGCTCAACCCAGCGCAGGTGCCCTTGCCGGAATGGACACTGGAGACGAGGACGAGGACGCTGATTGGACTCTGGAAGAGCACGCCGAAGAAGACATGAGCGACTCAGCAAGTGAAGACGACGGCGGGTCTCCATCGGTCTCGGTCTCCGACAGCGGAGCTGGAACGCCGGCTGCGTATTCCCTTCGCTCTCGGTCGAGCTCGCCAGCCGTGTCCAGATCGACGGCTCGGGAAGCAGCAGCCTCAGCGGCTATCAGACGGTCCCGCGCTCTTTCCCCACTACAACAACAGCATCTCGACACGATTTCTGTATCTTCTGACGCCGGAGAGGACGACGAAGAGGCAGAAGAGGAAACGCCAATGTCTCTTCTGCAGCTCGCACGTAGAGCTTTCAGTCCCAGTCCGGAAGCCGAGATTGGAGTCTTGGAGCACGAAGGGGACGAGTCGCAGTCAGACGCCTTTTCTCGAGTGCTCCTAGTCCATGCTGCTGCGCCGAGTGGATCCCCGGTAGTCACACGAGCAAGGTATCGCTCTCTGATGAACAGCAGTGGAGCAAGTGCTGGTACGCAGGCCCTCACATCTGCCACAGCCGCCGACGACCATCTCCACGAGACGATCCTCCGTCGGCGAGCCCTTATCCCCAGTGGCGGCGGCGGTGCCTCTCCCTCTGCAGATGCAGACGAGGACCGCAGTGCTGAGCGAGAGCGTTTGAGGCTCTGCGTAGTGTGCTGCTACGAGGAACGAACAATTCTCTGCTGGCCCTGTCGATGTCTCGCCCTCTGCGATGGCTGTCGTGAGGAATTGGCATCGAGGCCTGGTCGTGCTGGAGGTGGAAGGGCTGCTGGAGGCGCGGGTGGAGAAGGGGGACTGCACAATTGCCCTACTTGCAGGGCTGAGGTGAGGGGGTTCAGCAGGATTTACCTGCCGTGAAATGAGATGGCAAGGGACGGTGCTGATTGGTGGACGGATCGGACTGGGCGGTATTAGTCCCGTCAGACGCGACGCCCTCTTCGGTCCTTCCTGATCTACCTTTCACCTCCTCCCAGCCGTCACACTGCGGATGTCCTTCCCACGGCCTCAGACACGTCGGCAGGTTGTCCAATGAGATACATACATCGCTCTTCAGTCCGCCGAGGTTTCTTCTTCTCCTTGCGTGATTTCTGAGAATTCCCGAGAGTCTCTGAATCGAGTAGTGAGATGCCTGCTGAGTGCCTCTGAGTATCTCTGAGTGAGTGGAGCGGAGTTTGAGCCGATTGATCGGTCGCACGGGCCGAAGGACTTCTTCCGCTCACGGATCCACCGATTAGACTAGGACCGCACCCCAACTTTCCCTCCTCCTCTTCCTCTTCTTCTTTCGTCTCCTTCATCACGCCTTGTCCAACAGCGAGGATAAAGTACTTCGAGGCTCCTACTCGTATACGCTAAGAAGCTACGAGTCAAGAGAGAGAAGCAGAGAGGCCGAAGCCACGGTCAAGGTCAAGGTTGTGATGGTTTCCTCCGTGCACTCTCCTCGTCCTCCTTCTCCCTCAACAACTCCACCCGGAAGCGACTCGTTTGCATCTGCTTCCTCGACACCTGTTGCCTCGACTTCTGGCTCTCATCTCACGCAAACAGCTGGGGTATCATTGTCTTCTAGCAACGATACTACTGTTGGTCAGAAGCGGGCGAGGCGTTCTTCTTCCCCACAGGAGGGACCGGGGCAGCCGTACAAGAGGGCGATGGCTCAGAATGGCGAAGCAATCGGCGGAAGTGTGACCGCATCAAGTAGCAGATACGCCATGGACGGCTCAATAAGTCACACAAGGAGCAGCTCGTCAGGCCATCAGCACAACGGACCGGGCAGAGGTTTGGCGAGCCTGCCTGCTCGACCGGACATGCCTATCCCACCACCGGCCCAGCTACAGTCAGCCGCAGGTCCCTCTACCACCTCATCGTACCCCTCAGCTCCACCTCACTCTCCAGCTCTCACCTCTCCAAATCCCTCAATCACCTCCGCTTCCCAACCTAACTGGCCGCGCTCCCGCTCCTGCAAGCTAGACCTAAAGGACCGCTCCCGCACCTACTGGTGCAGCGGCAGCACTAGCAGTCGTCGCAATCTCCAACGGCCTGAACAGATCACCAGCTTTTCGTATGATGAGGAGAGGAGGCTGTTCCATGATGACAGGAGCCTGAAGTACTTTCATGCGCCGCCGATGAAGGTCGATCTGGGGAGGGGAATGGAGAACCTGAGGGAGAGGGATCCTACGAGGGTGAGTGAGCAGACAGGCAACGAGAAAGGAACAAAGTGAAGTAGAAGTGCCCTGATCTGGAGACTCCCTCTTCTTCTCATTCGACAGAACGAACACCTTGATTCTCTCCTCTACTCCCTCATGCACCTCGCCGCAAGCACTCCCGACGGATCCTCTGACTTTCCTCGCCGGCGAGCCGACGTCATCACCTGGCGCGGCATGGCTACCAAGCTCTTCTCTGCGCTGTACGAGGAGCAGAATACCTTTTCGATGAACGTGATGCTCGTAAACGACACGCTCTACATCGAGGAGTGGGTCTCCCTCGAAGCTAAGGCGGCAAAGGAGAAGCAGATGCAGGACGAGCGACAGAGACGCATGGGCTACTACGGGTATGCTTTTGAGAGCTGGTGTACCCACTCGCGAGACGTCTCGCGCGGGGAGCGCATCGATTTTGACTATGCGCACGACGACCCATGGGACGGAGATGTCAATACGAACGTACAGTGGTGCTCGGTGGTCAAGACGAAGTTGGGCGAGCTGCGTCTCATCCTCGGGGGAGAGGTGGACTGCGTCGACCCTCGCCCTCCCGCTCCAGACACGACATCAACAGCAGGAGCACCTCCCCCGGCCCTCGTGGAGCTCAAGACCACCGCCGTCCTCCGCCGCCCTCAAGACGAGGTTCACTTCGAAAAGAAGATGCTCCGCTTCTTCCTGCAGTCCTACCTGCTCGGCGTGGACCGCGTCTTGGTCGGCTTCCGCGACCAGCGTGGCTTCCTCCAGGCCACGCATGAGTTCAAGACGGTGGAGATGCCCGGACTGCTCAAGGGCAAACCACACGCGTGGGATAGGGGTGGGTGCTGTAATCTCGCGTGGGCAATTCTGAACTTTGTTAGAGAGAGGGTCAGAGAGAGGGTCAAGGAGGAGGAAGAGGGGCGGACAGAGCAGGGCGGGCAAAAGGAATCCAAGCATGGGGCGGAGAAGGACGTCAATGGAGGATCAGCAGCGACTCACGCAAGCCCCGCCGTCTTCCGCCTGGACTTTGCCCGCCCCTTTAGGGAAGTACGTCTAACTCGGCTCACGCCAGAGGAGATCGACGAGATCAAGGGCGCAGACGTTTCCAGGGTGGGCTTCCTGCCAAGGGACTACTACGACTTTGCCATGCGTACACAAAGAGTGTACCTCTAACGCTACGCTCGGACGGTCCGTCCCTGTTTTCATCTTCGTCGTCGTCACCGGTGTTGCTGCTCGTCACCGGCGTTGTTACAGTCCACTCTGTGTGACAATGATATTTCATAAACAGTGCATTGCATGGTGTCATGGTGTCATGGATTCTAGTAACAGCCGCTCACGCCCGCCCGGGTCCCGTCTTCGTCTCTTCGTCTGATTTGACCACGCCGCCCCTCAGACGGCCAGATCGACTCTGGCTGCCCTTTTCAAATAGTCCTGATAGGGCGCCAGTGCCGGCTCAACCCAGTCCCGGATGAACTCATCGACCTGCTCTGGTGCTCTCCCGATGAATCCGTCGGGCTGGAGGAGCTCGTCCAATTGACCGTGCACAGGCTCGAAGTACTCTGTCGCCCTGATCCGGTCGATGAGGTCATTGTCGCCTCCTTCGACCTTGACCACTCGAGCCGCGTCTTGCGAGTGGAGGCGGATGTGATCGTGACAAATCTGCCTGTCACCGCCGGCAGTCACCATGGCCATGATGATAGGCTCCGTACCCATAAAGGGAAGCTCAGCAGCGATGCGGCGCGCGATGATGGCGGGGTACACCACAAGTCCCTCGGTGACGTTCTGTAGGGTGCTGAGGATGACATCCGTTGTGAGGAATGCCTCGGGCAGCGACATGCGTCGATTGGCAGAGTCGTCCAGAGTACGTTCCATCCACTGGTTGCCGGCCGTCTCGCGGGCATTGTTGGCGATGTTGCCAAGCCAGCGAGCAAGACTGCAGATGCGCTCCGAGCGCATGGGGTTGCGCTTATAAGCCATTGCCGAGGAGCCGATTTGGCTCTCCTCAAAGGGCTCTTCGATCTCCTTGAGGGAGCAGAGCAGACGGATGTCAGTGGCCATCTTCGTGGCAGAGGCGGCAAAGGAGGCGAGGGAGTTCAGGACATCCACGTCAATCTTGCGAGAGTAGGTCTGTCCAGTGACGGGGTAGGCATAGTCAAATCCGCATAATTGTGTCACCCGCTTGTCCAGAGCCTTGACCTTGTCGTGGTCGCCTTCGAAGAGTTGGAGGAAGGAAGCTTGGGTACCCGTGGTACCCTTGACGCCACGGAAGCCAAGGTCGTTGCGGGCCCTTTGCATATTACGAAGATCCCAGAGTAGCTCCTGCGAAATGGATTGAGGGGATCACAGAGGCGTGTTATGGTTAGCTCTCATGTTCGACCAGGCGGGATGCAGTCCCGCGCCCTTCGGTTCACTCACCTGGATCCATAGGGTGGCCCTCTTGCCCACTGTGGTCATTTGAGCGGACTGCATATGCGTGAAGCCCAACGTAGGCAGGGCACGGTGCTCCTGAGCAAAGACCTTTAGCCGCTCGATGACCAGGGCTAGCTTGGGAATCGCGACGTCAAAGGCCATTTTGAGGAAGATTAGGTCGGCATTATCGGTGACGTAGCACGATGTAGCCCCCCAGTGAATGATCGCTTGAGCAGCGGGACACTGGGCACCAAAGACGTGCACATGGGCCATGACGTCGTGCCTCGTTGCCTTCTCCTCTACGGCTGCTGCTTTCATCTGCGCATCGTCCAAGTCCAGGTTGGCCTTCATCTGCACGATGGCTTCGTTTGGGATGTTGAGGCCCAGCTCCTTCTCTGCAATGGCAAGGTTGAGCCAGAGAAGTCGCCAGGTCTTGAATCGTGTGGCATTGGAAAAGATGGCAGACATTTCCTTGGAGGCGTACCGACCGGAAAGCGGCGACTGCCATGACTGCCATGAATAGTCTGTGCCATGGGCAGCGGGGGTGGGCAGCGCAGAGTGAGCGGTGCCGTCGAAGTGTTGCGTGCCACCATTGACGGGGGGATCCTGAGCTGGGGGAAGCTCTTGTGTTGGAGTGGACATGATGGTTGTGGGTACGTGTACCTCTTTGGAGAGAGAAAAGAACAGGAGTACAAGTCGTATTTCTAGGGAATACTCGGCATCGAGGACGAGTCATGGCTCAAAAACGCAGCTGGAACATCCCGCTTCCGCTGAAAAGTCAAGGTGGAACATCGACTCCCGCTTCCGGTTGAGACGTCGGAGCCGATGATTCGCAATTTC